ACCTGTTCCTATGGTGTCTTGGACCACATGTTTTGAGAAGCATGGCCACCATGCCTCATCCCAGCCCTGGGGAGAAGGGAGCATGGAAGGCACACCCCTTGGGATTCAAGCCCTCATAGTAACACACATCTCTTCCACTCACATCTGTCAGCCAAAACTTGATCACATGATCATACCTAATTGCAAAGGAAGCTAGGATATTAAGTCTTTCGGAGGCACATGTCCAGCTAAAAATCAGGAGTTCTATTACTATAGAAGAAAGGGAGAATATATTTGGGAGGACATCTGCCAGTTTCCGCCACATCCTCCATCTCAGATGTGATTCTTTGCACATGATTGCACTCCTGTCTGCTGCAGTTTCACCCTCACCCCCTCTTTTCAGCGCAGCCTCCCTGCTGCCATCAGAGTACTTCCCATTTTAGAGTGCTGTCATGGCACTGCCCTGTTCACAAACCACCCCTGACTCCCTACTACCTAGAAGAGTGACGCCCAGACTGTAAAATGCATCAGGAATCACCGCAGGGCCTGCTGAAACAGACATCTGGGCCCCCCTGGAGCCCTGCTGATTGGGTAGATCTGGGCCCTGAGAATTTGCATCTTTATTAAGTTCCCAGATGCTGCTGATGTTTCTTGTTCAGGAACCACACTGAGAACAACCACTGACCTTAGGAATAAAGCCAGTGAACCTTAACCTGCCATTCAAAGCCTGCCCCAGCCTGGTCTCAACCTACTTTATGCCTCATCTCTCATCCTTCCCTCCCCCTCCACACATCCAGGGCTCCAGTCACACTGAAGTTCTCACCTCTCTCTAAGCAAGCCAGCTGTTCGCACCTCTGTGCCTTGCTGTTCCTTTTGTCTGGAATGTCTTCTGACCCTCAGCTTCCTTTCCACATTCTCCCCGAAGTCTTTCCTCACCCTCTAAATGAAAAGGAAGTGTTAATTGATCAGTTGTGTCCGACTCTCTGTGGCCTCTTGGACTGTAGCCTGCCAGGCTCCTCTGTCCATGGAATTCTGCAGGCAAGAATACTGGAGAGGGTAGCCGTTCCCTTCTCCAGGGGATCTTCCCTGACCGAGGGATCAAACCTGGGTCTCCCAACATGGCAGGCAGATTCTTTACCATCTGAGCCACCAGGGAAGCCCTCTGACCCTCTGAGCTGTTATTAAACCAGTCTCTGTCCCAAGTCCGTGCAGATTTTATACATTCTTCTGTCTGCTTTTATTGTCTTGTGTTTTGGTTGTCTGCTCAGCTGCCTCCCATTGTCACCCACGTAGTTTTAGCCAGGGTAACAGGATCACTGAGGTAGGAAACAAAAGTATGAATGAGGAAATGGAGGCAAGTAGATAGAGCGATAAATGTTTTTATGAAATGAATAAAGAGAAAAAGCAGTGAGTGAATTAATACATGAACAAGTGAATTATGGTCTGTTTATGCTTAGCTCTCTCCTTTGAGCCCTGAGCCACTCATCAGGAAAGGAATTTACTCTCTGACCATTTTTCCACAAACTTCCAGCCATTGCTTCGTTCTTTTTTTTCTTTGGCTACACCCTGTGGCTTGCAAGATCTCAGTTCCCCCACCAGCAAATGAACCCAGGGGTCACAGCTGTGAAAGCCCAGAATCCTAACCACTAGGCCACCAGGGAATTCCTCATTGCTTCCTTCTTAGCAGAAGTCATGTGCAACCTTGCATCCCCCAGTTAGTTCCCCAGAGTGCTCAGGAGCTGAGAAGGCCTGGGGACCCATGCTAGGTCATGTTCCCTACACCAGGGTTTAACCTCTACCCAGTCCTGTTCTCACTCACCCTGGTGTTTCTGAAAGTTAAGTGTAAGGCATTGGGGACTCAGGCTAAACAATGGTAGTGGATGATTTTCAGGGATGATTTTCAGGGACAACACACAAAAGACATGTTTTTACCAAATTGGTGATAAGGGGTCACTGTCATTTCCAGTTAAAACTCTAGCCTAGGGAATTCCCTTGCGGTCCAGTGGTTAGAATTTCACACTTTCACTGCTGGGGCCTGGGTTCAATTCCTAGTCGGGGAACTAAGATCCCACAAAAAATAAAAAAATTGGAGCCTTGAGATGCCGAAACTAATCTCCCCCTTCTCAAAGGGAACCCAGCTTTCCCCAAAGCCCATAAAGGAGGCCTTCTTTGGCTCTAATGGACATGGGTAGGCCATAAGAAGGGACTCCCTGTCCTGTTGTGGTTGTTACCTGTCACTGGTACTAGCAGGGCTGTAACCATTCTTGCACTGAGGCTGTGTAGCCTCAGAAGGCAGTGAACCTTTTTGAGCCTGGATGCCCTCCTCTCCAAGGTAGATGTTACTCCTCACCTTGTAGGTGTGTAATGAGCATCAAATAAGACATGGGAGCGAAGCACCAGCATAGTACCAGGCAGAAGGTAGAGGTGCAATAGAGAATAACTAGAATTCTCACAACCGATCCTTGAAAGTTCCATTTTTTCCCTGATGAACTAGGCCCAGTCAGTCTTCTAGGGTTTTTCCTTCTATTTATAATGTCTACCTTCCTCTCTCCCAATTCTACCTAATCTTGGGACCTCGGCTGCCATCCTTCCTCCTCCACAAAACCGTCTCTGTTCCTGGAACACTGTGCTAATGACGCCTACTATACTTATGGTCTGGCCTAATGGACATGAAAACGAGTCCTAACTAAGAACAGGTGGTCTGTAGGCAGGGCTTCCATGTATTGCCGTACAGGTTGTGCACTACCTAAACCTAGAAGTACCATACACAGACTCTAAGGAAGTGGGGCCCTAATGTGTCATAGAGAGACTCAGTGTGCAAGTCAAACTGACTGAGCTTGAAACCATGCTCAACCACTAATCCACCACTTGAGCAGGCAAGGTATATCAGCTCCTAAGACTTAAGTTTCCTCATCTGTGACTGGGATATTATTAGTACCTACATGAAGGATGTTTGAGAAGATTCAATAGCTTAAAAAGTTTAGCAGTGCCTTGTACAAGGCCGAATTTATTGAGCACTTAATTTTAGAAATTAAGTGTGGGTGTTTCTGAGAAGGCTGTACAGAACCTCAGGGCAGTGAATCACTGAAATCTGCAGCAGCACCTCCCCCACCCCCCCACCGCCACATAGCAAGAGGCAGAGCCTCCCTCACACTGTCCTCAGGACTGCACACCACCCTTCTTTTTGCCAAAATCCACTTGTATTAGTCACATCTTTTCTAGTTGACAAATGACAAAGCTCCAAAGTAGATTAGCTTAAGCCGAAAGAAACATTTGTGGGCGAATATAACTGAACTCCAGTGGAGGATCCAGGGCATCAGCTATATCGTTTGAGAGCTCTTGTCTTCCATCTCCTGGCTCTGCTTCCTGAATTGGCTGTATTCTCAGGCAGACTTTTCCATGTGGCGGGAAAATGGGTTACTGCATGGTTCGAGCTTATAGTTTTTTTCACTCAAAAGAGAAGTCCTCCTTTCTTTCAGCATCCATAGAGCAGTCTTACGTAAGGCCTCTGATTAGCCCAGCTGTGGTCACTTGCCCACTCTTTGGACCAGTCATTGTGGCTAGAGGGATGGCAGACTGAGATTGGCCATACTGGTGTCACGTGTCCACCCTCGTCTGACAGCCCCACAGAGCCAGGTGGAATGGGAAAAAGGCAGTTCTCTAACAGGAGAGGTGTTGGCCGTCCTGGCCATCCTCCTTTAAGGCTCAGTTCATAGGTCACTTCCTCAGGGAATCTCTGCACACACCCCCGCCCCCAGATGTGGACCTCAACCTTCCCACAGTAAATTGCAAATTATTCTCTCTCTGACACTGAAGTTTAGGAACAGTTGGAGACAGAGACAAGACTGTTTATTCATCTGTTCTACCCTGTCTCCCCACTGCCTTAGGCTTAGTGGGGAAGCAGACTTATTTCTCATGGAGCGTGGTTTAAACACATTAGAGTCATCCCTTGCTAGTGGCTGGTTCAAGAATGCGCATGTAGGACCGAGATTGGGCTGGTGAGACCTAAGGGTGTCTGGGAAAGACTTCTTGGTCTTTGGGGTTGGCCGTGGAAGCCAGCTGGTACCTTCCTCCCCTCTCGTGCTGGACAGAAATAAGGAAGCATTTGGCCTCCATCAGCTGTTACTGGCTGCCACTGCACAGCAGGAAGGGAACCTACTTCAGGCAAAAGCTGCCACCACGGAAGTGTGGAGATACCCGGCCCTTTGGTCAGCCAGGGCTGAGGGGACGCCACCCTGCCCCAGGAGCACCAAACCCCTAGCTAACACATGTCTTTACTGTCAAACCACCCTGAGCTGAGCTGTTACCTGTGGCCACAGGCATCTTCAGAAAGTTCTCCCTGAATGAATGAGCCGGGTGAGTGGCCACAGGCTGACAGCCATCGCATGCCCTAGTCAACTCTGCCACTCACACCAGTTCCTTTCTACCCCACAGAACAGACATGCAGAGATTCTGGGTGCTTTTTAAAAAACCATGTTTCAATCTCTTTATTCTTAAGTCTGCACTTTACAAAACCACAAGGGAGAAGTCCTTGAGGGTGAAAGGGGTGGGGACGGGAGGGGGTGAGGATGACCCAGAAATGAAGGCCCCCTCTCATCTGGGGGACCGAGCAGAGACTGGGCCCCAGGCCAGCCCAGCAGGGCCTCTCATGTTCTGGCTGTATAGAGTTAGGCCAGAAGATGTCAGGGAAGGGCCCAGTCTCTAGAGACTGCTGCCATTTGACATTAGCTAGGCAGCCATAGGCCGAAGCTTCTGGAAGCCCAAAGGAAGTGGGCCTCCCTCTCCCAGGCCAGGGGAAGGCAGCCTGAGCAGGGGTGACAGCTACCCGTCCAGCAGCTTCAGGATGCTCTCACGCTCCTTCAGAGTCTTCCAAGCTTGGTCTTTCTCCTTCTTGGTGGGGGTCCGTTTCTTCTGCCGGGCAGCCATGATCTTGCGGAAGGCATCCATGACCTCATTGTCTGCCATGCGGACCCGCTGCCTCAGCTCCTGCCGGCTCACTTCCTCCTTCGCCAGCCTGTGGGTACCAGCCAAGCAGATGCTGTGGGAAGCCCCCTGACAGGGGCTCCTCCCTCTTCCAGACTGAGCCCATCTGCTACCCAGGGACCCATGGACCTACCCGTACCAAAAAGCAAAGTTACCAAGCCACACTTACGTGGTGCCCTGTGCCAAGTACTGCCTCTTCAAAGACGGTATTTCAATTAATCCTCATAACAACCTTGTGAGGTAGGCACTACTATTATTCTTGTTACCAGTGAGGAAACTGAGGCTCAAGGAGGGTAAGAAATGCCCCAGGATCCTACAACTAGTGAGCAGGAGATCTGAATCAAAGCAGGCTGGCTCCCAACTATCTTTAAAAGGTGTCCTGGTGCCAGCAAAAGACCTGCTTACTTTGGCATCCAAATTCCAGAGCCACCTAAGGGTCCAGGCAGCCTGAAGTTTACAGGAGGCGAGTGAGATGCCAAATTGATGCCTCTGAACGGAACTTGACCTATCAATTCAACTGATGGTGGAGCTAGAAGGTCACTAAAGAAATCCACGTAGTCTAACCTGTTGATTTTTCAGAAGCGGAAGCTGCTGCTCTGGGCAGATGCCTTGCAGCCTGTCCACGCAGGGCTGAGGGGTACACGGCGGGCCTTCGGACAGCCACTGCCCCTGACTTCCACACCTGCACAGCCCCACTTCTCTCTCCCCCTGCCCTCAACCTCCCTTCCTCTGTACTCTTTCATCTGTATTGTCCTCTTCTTGCCCTTGAGAGGGAACTGGAAAGAGGCTCTGGACTCAGCCTTGGGCTTGAGTCACAGCTTGGCTGTTGGCTGCCTGTGTGACCTTTGGCAGAGTACTCATTTTGCTGGGCCTTTATTTCCTCATCTGGTGCACAGGGAAAACTGCCAGCTGCTCTCTGGGCTGCAGCGGAGATGAAGTAAGAGGGCAGACATAAAACCCCCGGTACGTGGTAGACACTCATACACCCTCATCCTTAAATACCTCAGCACCTCAGCTGGGGTATCAGCAACTTTCTCTTCTAATGGTGCATGTCTTTGCCAGCCACTCAAGCAATGACCATAAGCCCTTTGCCCTGCCTCTCCTTCTAACCCCCAGCACCAGGTCTGAGAGACAGGCAATCTGGCCAAATGGATGAGTGTGCCCTGCTCTGTTGGGGCTCTGTGAGGTGAAGACACAGCACCTGCCTATAAGAAGCAAAGGGACTTAGTTGGGCTGTTTGTCTGTCTCCCCAATAAAATGGCAGCACCTCCCGTGATCTCCCTCTGGTTACCGCCTGCATCCTTGTTGTGACCAATGCGGGGCAAGATGCATGGGAGTGAATACAAAATGAATGACATTGTACTTCAACACTGGTCAATTCCTGGTGAGAGGCTGATAATCACAGATGCCCAACTAAATGTTAACAGTTGATAATCTGAGGTAGAGAGTATATTGGTGTTTACTGTGCTAGTCCATCAGATTTTCTGCCTGTATGAAATTTTTCACTATAAAACTTGGGGGGAACAAAAGGTCTCTGGTTCAATCCTGAGTTTTGGCGCCAAAAACAAAGAGCAAGAATCAAAAAAAAAAGGATACTTTGGGATAAAAAGAAAATCAGCATGGAGAGACTTAAAATAAGCCACATGACAATGTGAGTATAATTAACATCACTAAACTGTACACTTAAAAATGGTTTAGAGGGTAAAATTTTGTATTGTTTTTTACCAGTTTGAGGTAAATAAATAACTCACAGATGCCTCAGCTCTAGTCAGCGGAATTAGAATGTCTGAGATATAACCAGTGAGGTGGTGCCCAGCAATGACTTTTTTTTTTTCAAAGCTCCTCAGGTCTTCAGAGGCCCTGCCAGGTTTGGAAAGCCTGTCTTCAAGCTCCCAGAAGGTGACCCCTGTGGCCGAGGCCTCACTGGCCACCTCCTGGCCCAGTCCTCCTGTCCACACTCACCTCAGCAGGTCGTGCTTCTTGGTGCGGTTGTGGGCACTGAGCGCCTTCAGCTCAGCCTGCCGCTTGCGCAGCTCCGCCAGAACCTCGTCCTCCGAGTCCTCTGCGGGGCGGTCCTCAGATTCCAGCAGGCCCTGGGCGATCAGCTCCTCCTTGATGCGGCTCTCCAGGGACTTAGTATGAGGCACGCTGCAGGGGAGGCAGTGCTCAGCTCACGGGCCAGTCTGCGGGGGCCCCTCTGAGTGCCCAAGTTAGCAAACACCTTCCCTTCTCTCTGGGGCCCCCTCTCTGCCTGTCTACATATCACAATATAGAGACAGACACATTTGATCTTGTTTCAGACACAAGCAACAGATATCAATATATTATGTAAAATAAAATACGGGAAAACCTATAATGCTAACAACCTAGAGAGAATTATTATTTTGTTATCTGTTGTTATTACATGCCATTTTCTTTCCATATGGTATATACATAAAAATATGTATTTTATGTTACTATTATATAAACACTATACGTATCCTAGATTGTGTTACATATTAATCGCACCTTTTTTTTTTTTTAAATCTTTTGGCTACACCTCATGGCACTGTGGGATCTTAGTTCTCTGACCAGGGATTGAACCCGCACCCCCTGCACTGGCAGTGTGGAGTCTTAACCACTGGACAACCCGGGAAGTCCCTCTTCCCACTTTTATTATGGATTATTTTAGCTTCTTACCCACTATGTACACACATTTAAATATATCTTAAATAAAAATAGGGTCATATTGTGCTACAACTGATGTTTTCCACTTATCACTCTACTGATCCCATCTTTTCATGTCAAATAACTATATTTCTCTAACTTGATTGATAGTTGCAAGTTATTTCATCATATGGAGTTACAACGAGTTAGCCAGTCAGTCCCCTCCAGTTGGACATTTAGGTTTACAGTGAGAACAGGGCCATGATGAAAACCCTGAACTAAGTCTGTGTATGCAGAAGTGCTGGGCCAGCCCACACATCTGACTTCTACTGGACTTTATCAAAATGTCCTCAGTCTCTCTATGAATATAAAGACCACCCCATGTTGGGACTGACAGAAGTCAACAGAAGCAGAGGCCAGCCTGTGGATAGGATGTCACTCACCTGAAGGGCTTGTTCTGATTGCGGGGAGAGGTGCTTGCCCCATCTGCCCCCGATTCTTTCCCAGACATGTCTGGAATAGGAGAGTCCTCCATGGGGGAAATAATATTTTCCTAGAAGAGCACAGAGATGTCAGAGGAAGAAAGAGCTGTAGTATTACCATTTTCCTGCTCCCCTCTAACCTACATGGACAGTCTTCACATAACGGAAATAATCTTTTCTTCTTTGCATTCCACCCATTCTGGGAAGTCTTCCCACACTGGCTCCAAAAAGCTTTGATCATTTTATAAATTCTTGTTTTTGTACTGATACAAAAGGGGGCACAGAAGAGTGACGGCAACACTCGACAGCAGTAATGAGAAGAACTAGGGCTCGTCAGGCATTTGCAGCGCACCAGGGGCTGTGCTGAGCACTCCGTGGCTGAGGCTGCTGGCTGTCCAAAAGCCATCCTCGCCTTTCTTCCACAGGAGCTAAGGGCTGCCCAGACACACCCCGCTTCCCAGCCTCCCCTGCGGTCGGGGTGTTCATGTGACAAATACTCTCCAGTGGAAGTGATTGAAGAGATGACAGCCACAGCAGCGGGACCTTCACACACTCCTCCTTGCTCTCTTCTGTGGGCTGGAGTGCCGGTCACATCTGGAGTGACCCTGTGCAGAGCGCATGTTGACGACAGCAAAGTGGGCTTCCCTTGGGGCTCAGTGGAATGCAGGAGAGACATGGGTTTGATCCCTGAACCAGGAAGATCCCACATGCCGCAGAGCAACTAAGCCTGGGCACAACTACTGAGACTGTGTGCCCCAGAGCCTGTGCTCCACAACAAAAGAAGCCACTGCAATTACAAGCCCAAGCACCCCAACTAGAGAGGAGCCCCTGACTGCCACAACTAGAGAAAAACCTAAGCAGCAACAAAGACCCAGCACAGCCAAAAATACATATATACATTTTTTAAACAATTAAAAAGCCAGCAAACCTGGGGTCCCTATCTGATGGTGTGGAACAGAGATCTCCCCCAACCTCAACTGACCTGGAGCATGTGCCCAGAATGCTACATGGGAGGGCAAAATGCTATTGTGTTTGAGCCAGAGGGAAAACTGAGGCTCATAAGGTGAAGCGACATGCCTTGGGGTAGCCAGTGGGCATAAAGAAAGGGACGCTGAACCTGGGGTTTGAATCTTGCTTCTGCTTATTAGCTGTGTGATGTCAAGCAAACAGTTCCTTTTATGAGCCTCAACCTTGTTTGGTGTAATGTGGGGTTAACCACTATCTGCCTCTAACAAGAGGATGTGTAGAAAGCCCTTTGCACAGGGCCTTTCACTAATGCTCCACAAAAGGAACTGTGGAGTAGTGGCTACCCTGGAGGTGGGAGAGGTTAAACACTGGGAGGGGCACGAGAGGGCCTTTAAGGATACTGATGATGTTTTATTTTGTGATCTTGGGACTAGTTGTACAAGGGTGCTCATTTGTGAAAATCAATCAAGCTGTACATTTATGACCTATGTACCTTTCTAATATATATAATATACTTCAGTAAACAATTAAACTTTGAAACAGAGTGAGAGTGGTTCCTGTTTGGTGTTGGGGGTACTCACCTCCACCAAGGCCTGCAGCAGGCGCTGTGTCAGGGCACCAAAGGGACACCCGTCTTCTGGCTGCTCATGCTGGGCCTCAGACTTCTTCAGCAGGGCATCCACATCTGAATTGGGCAGAGACATGGTAGACTGGTGGGCTGAAGCTCTGGGAACTCAAGTCTTAGCCTGGGGTGGGCACGGAGGTGAGGAACTTACCTTTAGTGTCCAGTTCGGTCAGGGGCCCCATGAGGCCTTTCTTCTTGTCAGCGACGGCTGCTGCCCGGGCCCCGTCCTTCTGCTCCTCCAGCAGGTCCTCCTGTGCCCAGCGCTGGGAGTAGTGCTTCCCCAGGGGCGGAATCTGTGGGAGACATCCCACCCAGCCCCGAAGAGATAAATACAGGCCAGCAATGCCTGGGGTGTGGCAGGGTCTCTCTGTGCACTTGGAACTGCCAACAGACTCTCTCTTCACCCTCATTCCTTCATTTATCTGTCTCCCAAGTATCTAGCCCAGGGCTGAGGCCTGAGCCTCAGGTGTGAAGAGATACAGGAGATAAAAATCTCTACACTCACAGTTTAGTAGAGAAGCCAGGTACATAAACAACTACAACACACAGAAGGCAATACAGGAAAATTTCCGCGATGTAAGGTGCAGAATGGTGTGTATACAGACAATTTCAGTTGACAGCTATTATCTCTAGAGAGAACTACAGGCCTTAAAGTTAGAAGTGAGAGAGAAATAGCTTATGCACTGTTTGAACTTGTGACTGCCTGTATAGATTACCTTTTCAAATAAGTTTTTTAAAAATTCAGACAAGTGGAGTGACAGTAGGTTAAGGTGTTGTGGCAGTGCAAAAGACAGACCAACCTTCTGCTGGGAAACCTGCAAAACCATTCTGATGCAGGTAACATGCAATAAGGGGCTGGAAGGGTATTAGTTTGCCAAGGGGAGATGGGCATGTGTAGAGGCCCAGAGACCAGAAAGGACCCTGTGTGAGCCTGGAGTGAGGGTAAGGTGCTTAGTGGGGCTGGCAAATAACAAGCAGTAAAGAGGTGGTGTGGCCAAGGAAACTGGAAAGGGGCACTTGGGCTGTGCTACCAAGGACTGAGGCCTGGACTTGAGTCTGTGGGTAATGGGAGCCACAAGAGGCTGTGTTGTAAGCACCTCTGATCATGATAGCGGACCTATGGGAGAATTCCCCTCCAACATTTTCCTGTATTTTCTACACTTTCTTTAACGGAACCTCTTTTATTTTCATCACAAAAACTAAAAATAAAAAACTTCTATACATTAAAAACATTAAAAAAGGGAGGGGGGATCAGGATGGGGAACACATGTAAATCCATGGCTGATTCATGTCAATGTATGGCAAAAATCACTACAATATTGTAAAGTAATTAGCCTCCAACTAACAAAAATAAATGGAAAAAAATTATAAAAACATTAAAAAAGAGAGAGAGGAACTTCCATGGTGGTTCAGTGGTGAAGACTGCTCACTTCTACTGCTTGGGGTGCAGGATCGATCCCTGATCAGGGAACTAAGATCCCACATGCCACGTTGTGCATCCAATAAAAAAGGGAGAGAGAGAATCCCTCCAGAGGGAAGCAAGTGTTAACAGGCTTTAAAGGTAAAAGTTGATGAATTTTTGAGCCAAAGCAAAGGGGATGACAGAGACAAAGGGCGGACCTCACTGAAGAAGATGCCTTAAGATGTAGCAGGGTAGAAGGGAGGAAGCTGAGAGCTAGAACCGGTGTCTGAGTGGGTTAATGGAACTGTCAGGAGGCTGGGGAGACAGAAAAAGGAAGATGATATACAGCTCTGTGATCTTTGATTCTGAGGCATCTCTGAGCCCTCTTGTTCTCCATCATGTCTATCTAGGCCTGGGGTCTTTACCTTGTAATGTTCAGCCTCATCTTCTGGGGGTTTCAGTAGCTCCTCTAGCGTGCGCACTTCCTCACTGGTGATATCAGCACAGTATGGCTCCACCGAAGCCCAGAATCTAAAGAGAGAAGCAGAGCCTGAGGGGGTGCCCCCTGCCCCACTAGCCTCAGCCCCAGGCCCCTCCACAGCCTCCAGTGCTCAAATCCCAAGGCCCATCTATGTTCCCGGGCCCAGAACCTGTTGGGGGCGTCATTCTTGGGGATACGTGGCACATCAATTGGGTCATCAGTGAATTCATATTCCTGGATCTTGGGCTGAAGGTTTTTGGATTTGGGTCGCCCAGGGCCAGGGCCAGGCCCATGTCCCGCCTTCCCTTCCAGTTTCTGCTTCTTGGGCTTCCCATGTTTGGGGGGAGCTCCAAGCTCATGGTCTCGACCCAGCTTCAGGAGTCGTCGGTCACCTTTCTTATCCTGCCAGTCAGTGAGGATCTGAAATTCAAAGACTGTCACTGAGAGTGAGAAGGAAAGACACAGGACGACTCCATCTCCCCATGAAAAATTAAGATCTGGAACTCAAGGAGGCTCTAAGTCTTTCCCCTTCCTCTTTTTATCTAGCAAACTCCTACTCATACTGCAAAACTCAGCTCCTTTTCTGTGCCCATCTCACAAGATTTTTTCATACACTTGTCATCACTCCATTCACTTGTCTGTACTGATTCACCTCTGCAGCACCCAACCTGGTCACACAGTGTTAGCAGGTCAAACAAGCAGATCACATAGCAGTGCATGTTAGCCCGAGGAAAATATGCTGGCAGTAACATTCTATTGAAGGCACGCATGCCTCCCAGCAAACCTTCACCTCAAATGTCACTGTGACTAGGAAGCCTTTTCTGTATCAGCTATCTAGCTTCTTAGATGCTAAAAGACAACCAACTATGCCACAGCCCCACTCGAAAAGCTTCCATGGGTTCCCAGGGACCACAAGTTAATTTTATTCATCTTCTGAGGTTCAGTTAAAATGGCATCTTCTTCCTATAGGAGTCTCTGGTACCTTGCAACCCTAGGCCCAATCATGTCATCTGGTCATAACTAGAATAAACAGAGTACCTTGTCTCTTCAACAGGACTATAAGCTATTGAGGACCAGGAAGTTCATCTCCGCTATTTCTGTTCCCCAGGTTCTGGCAGAGCACCTGGCACACAGGGCTCAGAGGATGTTTATGCCATAAATAGAAATAATAAGAGTCAGACCAATAAATAACATTTGACATGCTTACTTAGTGTCAGACGTTGGACTGAGCCTTTGCAAAAAATCTCTCCTAATCCTCACAAAAGTTGAGGGTAGGTCCTATTATCCAGCCCACTTTGCAGAAGGAGGACTGATCTGCAGAAGCAGGCAGTTAAGTTTTGCAACGTCACACAGCTCAGAAACCGCAGGATTCAAATGCAGGCCTCCCATTCCAGTTCCCCCAGTACTCCTAACAAAAACAGCAATTCACCTGATACGTGTCTGACCTCTCCTTCCCTTTAGTTGGCGCACTCCCCAAGGCCAGAATTGTCCTAATTAACTCTACAGACTCAAAGCATTGTGAGGAGTGGGGGGTCCCTAGATGCTTAGTGAATAAGAAATCTCACAATTTAGAAGGATCATGCACTTTCTTGCATATTTTATGTGTCACACAAGCAATGTATGGGTCTCTCTCTTCACCCCTGAGATCCTGTAACCGGGGCATCAGCAGCTGAGGCTAACTCAGTGAGACATCCCATAACGTGTCACAGTCCATCCCTGTAGTGGACTGCAGTGATGTCCCCTCTGTAGGCTATCACCTGGGTTTCAGCCTCAAGCACCCGCAGGCGCCGGCTGGCAGAGGAGAGCAGGGTCTCAAGTTCCAGCTGCAGGGTGTCCAGCTCCTCGATGCCGATGCCGTCGTCCTCAGAGCGCGCCAACACTGCCGTGTAGCGGGGACAGACCTTCAGGTGGTCCACAGACTTGAAGTCGTGGAACTGCAAGGGGCAGTCCTTCAGCTCACTCATGGCTCAGGACAGGGGAGCCTGTGGAGCTGGAGAGGAAAGGACCATTGATGGGGGGAAAAGTGGCACTAGAGAAGTCCAAGGGCTCCTTCCATCCAGGGACAGCTTCGGGGAGAGTCAGGCTTCAGCACCCTACTGACAAGGATGATGGCTTAGCTCCTATTCTCACAGCACCTACTGTGTGCCAAGTGAGGCGCAGACATTCTACTGGCTGCTCACTGAACTCCTCACTCAGGCCCAAGAGCAGGGACCACGCTCGTTTTACAGATGAGGAAACAGACTTTGTAAGGATGCGGCAGGTCCAAGCTTACCAACATGCAATTTGAATCCAGGTGGTTTTGAACTTGTTCACCTAACTGCCATGATATACCATACTACTATGCTTGTCTTTCTGATGCTCTTCCCTTCACTTCCACTCTTCCTGGGTTCTGCTGAGCCCAGAGTTCCAAGCATCCGGGACTTATGCTAATGTTCTTCCTGCCTCCCAGCCTCTCACTGTCTCACCCCTCCCGACCTCTGCCCCTTCTCTTTGCCCCAGATAGTAAAGAGATACCTGGATCTCTGGACAGCCAGATACAGCGGGATTCAAGCCCAGGCTTGACCAATATCTATGTAGCCCTGAACATGTTAATTAACTCTGAGTCGGTTTTTCTATGCATAAAATGGAGACAAAAAGAAGCCTGAGTCTGTTTTCCCTTAAGTCTGAATCTGTAAAATGGGGTAATAAAGGTACCTACCTCCCTGGGATGTTCTGAGGATTTAGAGTTGATGCCAGTCAAGAGCTCAGTTCAGTGCCTGGCACAGGAAAAGTGGGGCTGGTTAATGGCTGACCCCACCCATGGATGGTCCCAATGTTCCGCCTTCAGGGTACCAGTCCTCTAAGGACACCCTACCGCGGCCCCCGCCCCCTCTACCTCCTCCTTGCTGCCTCCAGCGGCGCCGGGGCCGCGGGAGGGGCGGAGAGTTCCGGTCGGTGAGAGCAACCGCCCCGGAACTGGCTATGTGAGGGCCCCCTGCAGTTGACAAGGGGGCGGGAAGACGCGAGTACCGACCCCAGTCTTTTTTTGGGGGGGAGGGTTGCGGGCAGCGAGCTAGCCCGCTGCAGGTGGGATGCAGAAGGTATGCCCACGGGCGTACCCTAGGGAACCGCCCGGCGCTGGAGGGCGGGGCTCGGCAGCCAGGTTTTCGGCCCGGCAGTTAGTCTAGCCGAGCCCCAAAGGCTGCAGGTAGGAGGGGCCTGAAGATAGGATGGGGGCGCAGAACCGGAAGGATCGAAAGGCTCCTCCGCCTTGCCTTGCCCTAATATGGTGCCCAACCTGAGGTCGGGCTGCACTATTGCATGACTATGAGGGAAGACGGCGGGAATAAAGACGAGAAAGCCAAAGTTACAAGCAAGAGCTCCATGGGGAACGGGAGAAGCTTGAGTAGTGATTTTACGCTTCAGGAGCCTAAAGCTACTAAGACAGTCCTAACGGGAAAACTTTCGAGGGACCAAATGTTCTTAGCCTCGTCCTCCCCCGCTCGGAACACAGATGGTACGGTCCGGACGTCCGGGCGGAGACTGCGGCTGCGCTTCTGGAGAAAGGGCAGGCGTCGCGGGGCTGGCCACTTCCGCGCTTCCGCTTTCCGGCCCAGCCAGCGCCCGCGATGGTGAGAGAGCTGGGCCTCGGGCCAGGGACCCCTGCTGTTCTGCCTCTAGGCTCTGGGTCTGGGGGAGTTGCGACTTTGCAGCGGAGAGGCCCTGGGCCGAGGGATGCTGGGGGGTGCGGGGGTACTCTGAGGCTGGGAGAAAGAGGGCGGGGCAGGGGCTGAGGTGAGGAAGGGGCGAGCGGGGGACGCCTTCGTAAGAAGCAGGCTTTGAGGCTTCCTATTCTGTCCTTTGAAGCTGGCGGGGGATACTGAGGCAAGAAGGAAGCAGGAAGTGGCTCCTCCTCGGTTTGTGGTAGCGCCTCGAAGGCACGTAGTAGGCCTTATAGCCCGTAGTAGGGCCACTGAGGCATGTAGTAGGGATAGCTCCCTACCCAGAGTAGACCTTCACTATACACTCTTTTCTTTCTCGCTCGCTTGATCCCACAGTTCTCTGAGGAAGCCTCCATACTTCCTTATCCCACTCCTCATGTTGCCACCAGCTCTTACTTTTACCTCACTGAAGGATCTCTCTTTTGCTGCCTGCACGCAGACCCCTTCCTGGTCAGGATTCAACCGTATCAGCTTTAGTATGGAATGTTAAGCTCTAATGCCGCTGACCTTTCCCTTTCAGGAAGTCGTCCCTTTTGATAATTGTGGGTGTTTCTAAACGTCAGTTGAGTTTGGCTCACTGCCTTCCCCTTCTTTATCCTCTTCCTGTCGATACCTATTTAATGTACAGGTCTTCGTGACCGTATAATTTATGATGACTCTTAAGTCTGCCTTCCTCTATTTCAAGGTTCACCTGGATATCTTGAAGACACCTTGAAATTAGACATCAGGATTAAAACTCTTCTCTCCCTAAATTTGCTTGTTCTCTTGTATTCCTTATTTTTGCTCTCTGTTTTCTTATCTCAGCTAGAAACCTGGGATATTCTGTTTTTGTTTAACTGAGGGGATGCCTCTTGATTTTTTTAAACATCATACTTGTTGAAGTATTACACAAGAAGATGCTTACTCCATTTGTGAAAGGGCAGACGTCATAGGGTTGACCACCTAAAATGTACCTTTTTCAGATTTGCTAGGAACTTTGACAAATACAATCTTGCCTGTCCCCCATTGCCCCAGGCCAGGCTCTCATTACCCTACTTAAATAACCCTCTGCTGGCTCTGTCACTTCCCTCTCCTCCAATCGATTCTCCACAAAGTCTGCATGCAGCTGTAGTTGTGTAACTTCCTCTTCAGAAAGCCCCAGAAGTTCCTTACCACTTTTAAGAGAAGAGCTAAAACTTCAGTAGCCTGGCATTTGAGATTCCTCATGAATCTCTGGACCCCATTTGCAACCTCATCCATTGAATCTAAAATGCTTCCTGGCAACATTGTATTCATTACTACTTTAATGCCCCTATTTGTTACTCTAATCTTATTTTTTCATTCATTCACTTATTGTACAGAAACTGAGTAAGACAGTATATAGGAAATGTACTGACTGAGCAAGTTGCAGGGTATGTAAATTTGAATAGAATAGACACGGTCTGTTAACCATGGAGCTTTCAGTTCAGTAAAGGAGAAAATTACTTTTCTTGGAGCTATTTGAAGGGTGTATCATTGTAAATTATAATAAGTGCTATGAAAAGGGAAGTCAAGAAGGACCTCTGAGGAAAGAAGAGGCCTTCTCTGAATAAGCCAAGATCTAAACGATGACTTAGGCAAAGAAGGGGGAGAAAAACCTGCAAGATAGATGGTTCGGCATGTGTGAAAGCCTGGGGTGAGAAAGAACTTACCTAATGCAAAGAATTGAAGATAGTCCATTGTTGCTAGATGCCATTACCTCTCCTGGAAATAGCATTTTCGTTTTTATCATTATAAAATCCTCCTAATCCTATTTCCATCTTCAAATCAAAACCAGTTTCTTCTGCAAATATGATTTGTAAATCTTAACTATTTCACATTGTACCCATTGTATCATAGTTACTGTCTGTCTCCCTGACCCGGTTGAACTGTTTAAGGATAGAAATGGTCTTAGTCATTGAATTCCCAACCCCTCGTGTGCCTGGCACACTATAGATATATACATTTGTTGACTCAAAGGGCAGATTGAAGACAGTCATTTACCTGTGTGCCTCTAGACCAGAGTTTCTCAACTTCAGCACTATTTGGGGCTGAATAATTCTGTTGTACATTGTAAGCAGTATCCCCGACTTCTGTCTATTCAATGCCAATAACTCCTACCCAGCCTCAGTTTTAAAAATGAAAAATGTCTTGCCATTGCCATATGTCCCCTAGTAGGCAAAACGGTCCCCTTTTGAGAACCACTGTTCTAGACTTAAAATGAAGGACGTCTTGAAGGCCTAGTCTGTTATGTTCACTGTCGTGTCTGAGAGCCAAGGACCTCAGTACTGCCTGGCTCCTGTGTAGCTGGACTGTGGGATCAGTGGATTTTGTGAGACAGATTCTGATTGTCCCTTGGGGTTTTCCTCCAGACTGCCACTCTCCGCCCCTACCTGAGTGCCGTGCGGGCCACACTGCAGGCTGCCCTGTGCTTGGAGAATTTCTCCTCCCAGGTCGTGGAACGACACAACAAGCCAGAAGTAGAAGTCAGGTATGGGAGGAAAAGGGGTAGGGGGTGATGGATGCAGCACCCAGAGATGACTGTTGTCAGAGGGGGCCATGAACTTCCATTCTGGAGTTGTCAGAACAACCATAATTCACATTTTTTGTCTTGCTGCCAGGTAAAGGATGGTTCCCAATTTGAAGTTCAGAAAATGGGGTCTCAGTGGGTTGACAGGACAGAACTCAGGGGAGAAGCTACTCTGGAGCCAAGATTGGCTTGACACAAGTTGTGACTTCTCAACATAGAGCCATTTAGGAAATATCTCCCAAGGAGGTACTGAACCCTCTAGCAATTTAAGGAGAAGACTTAAGAATTGAGTTATCTGAGATGCCATCTCTGCTGTTCTCAAATTTGAAGATCAAGGATCCTTCCCCTCAAAAAAACAAACAACTGGACTCCCATCCCCTACTACAAATATTCCATACTTTGGATTATTTTATCTGATACATGTTTTGTAAATAAATTTTTCTTTTTCCCTTTGATGTTTAATGTGGTACATATACAACAGAGATAAGGATTGTTACCACAGTAAATTAATATGATTTGAATGTAAGAAAAATGACATGTTAAAATGTGCCCTGTTATGCTACTTAACATATATGGTTTCCACTAGGCATATTTAAAGGATAATAGCTCACAGACACCACCAATACTGTTAACTACCGTCAGAGGGATTCAGAGGCATCAAAATGGGAACTGAGTTGAGAGGGGTCATAATTTTGAATAAGTGAATTATTCTGGATTGATTATTAAAGGAGGCCAAACTGTTTGATTTTAGCTTGTCCTTATCTATAAGGCAGGCTCTCTCATTCCCTAAACAGTGTATGGGTTTGCCTATAGTTATGAAAATAGGAGCTGTCATTTGTAAAGCCCCTACAATGTGCCAGGCCCACTGTTATACATTTGACCGTTTTTGATCTGTCTCCAAATGAGGAAGTTGAGATTCCAACAGGGTAACTTGCCCAACAGAAGTAACAAAGGAGGCTGAATTTTAGAACCTTTTCACCCTGACTCCAGAGCCTCTGCTTTTTCTGCTGGAGAACATGCTCTCTGGCCCCCTTCTTGGAGCATCCCTGTTTGTGAGTCTCTTATTCCTTGGACTCTGTGGTTCCAGATAGTGATTCTAGAACCTGCCATGGAGTCTCCCTGACGATTCTGTTCTTTTATAGTACAGAGACCTCTGTCATTTTGTGTTCTCAGAAGTAGCAAAGAGCTTCTGCTACAACCCGTGACCATCAGCAGGAATGAAAAGGAAAAGGTTCTGATTGAAGGTTCCATCAACTCTGTCAGGGTCAGCATTGCTGTGAAACAGGTGAGCTCACCCCAGATCCCCTGTCTCCCTGGGGAGGCCAGGGACCCCCATGAAAGAGGTCAAAATGCCAGATTCAGGGTGCAAAGAAACCCAGGTTCTCTTTCCAGGAAATAATTTGCTAAACTTATCAGATTTAGTAGAATAAAGGAAAGTCAGCCTTATCTTCTAGGCCTTGCTCTGGATTAGATAGCAGGTAATGTAGCAGCCAAAGCTACGAGCCAGTTTGGTGTCAGATCATAAAACTCTTCCTCATGAATGAAGAATAAGTTCAGTTCAGAAAAATAAGTAACAGTATCCAATTTGATAGCCATAAACTCCAAAAGTGAGATTTAGGGTAAGAAAATGAAGTGTAGTTTCATGTTTCTTCAATGTTTCACAAATGTCTGACATTCCCACTACCTCCATTATTTCTTCCATGTTTATGGACCACTTGGATACTTCTTTACTTAATAGATTTCTTTCAATTAACTTATTTTCTTTTACTTAAATTTACCATAGAAAGAAAAACAATATGCTTTGCCAAATTGAGGACAACACTAAAATACAAGCACATTGAAAATAAAGCAGAGTCACACTTTTGCCTCCAAAAAGCTCTATCCCTAGGGCCTGCTCTTTGTTAAAAGGGGAGATTAATAAATGTTGGAGGCTGTTAAAGCCTTGCGAGCCCGTGATACAAAATTCGTCATCAGGAATATTGAGAGTTCCTCAGGGAGAAACTTTGGAGATTGTTTGATGTTCATTGTTATTAAAGTGGTGACCATCTAAGGTCATCTGATATTCTTCATAGTGTCTATCACTGACTGGAAAATGTAGCACTAGTGAAATGAGACTGGAAAGGGCAGATTTGAATATAGATGTGGATTCTGGAAGGATTGGATAAGAGATTGCGGCTTGCCAGGACTTCCCTGGTGGTTTAGTGGTTAAGACTCTGAGATTCTACTACAGGGGACTTGGGTTCGATCCCTGGTCTGGGAACTAAGATCCTGCATGCCACACAGTGTGGCCAAAATGTGTTTTTAAGTTAAAAAAAAAAATAAGATTTGGGTTTGTCAGAGTTACCTTTTTGGAATGGGTAAAGGCGAGATCATGATAATGCCCCACTAAGTTGGAGGGCTCTAATGTAGTGGACCCTCCTTTTAGCTGGCAACCAGTTACTGCATGACTCAGACTTCAATACCCAACCCCAGTGTCTCCAGCGAACGTGGGGGAAATTGGGGTCAGAAGACCAGGCTACAAATTTCTGTTGGCCTTTAGGGAATGACTTTAGGGAAACACATTTCTTTTTTGCTTTTAACAGGCTGATGAAATCGAGAAGATTCTATGTCACAAGTTCATGCGCTTCATGATGATGCGAGCAGAGAATTTCTTTATCCTCCGAAGGAAACCAGTGGAGGTTTGTGATCCATGTGTTGGTAAAACCCAGAATTCCACTACTGAGTCCACTGTCAGTGGCCTGGGATTGTTTCTGAAACTGGGATTGCTTGCTCCCCGAGCTGTAGGGCACCCACAGCCTGAGTTGAGAAGTGGTCTTCATTTCGGCTGGAGTAAGAGTAAGGGGAATTAGCTTAGGAGGTTGGGTCTGTCTCAGCTGTGGGAAAAGGCAAAGAAAGATGAGGCACGTTGCTCACCTTCCCAGAGCCTATATTGTGTGGCAGAAAGGGCATGATGAATCAGAATTCTAAACTCTGCCACCAACTGAGTCAGTCTTTCAAGGCCACAGTTGACATGGGGTCAGTTGTTGCCTGACTACTCCAGTGCTTGCTACAGGATTCTCTGCCTGCTCAACTCCTGCCAGTCAGTGAGTAAGCAACTATCCTTCAGAGCAGCAGACACCATTGTCAGACACATGAGTTGTTGGCCAGGCTCGCCCTCATCCTGAGCTAAAAATCTCTCCTGTTGATAGATCTAACCTCCAGGGCCACCAAGAATAAATAAAATTGCTGTTCTACACACAGTCTGACCCATAATTAAAAACCTCAATTCCTCCTCCTCCCACAGCATCTTCTTTTCTCTCTGGACTAAATGGTCCTGTTGTTTGAGATTCTTCTGTAACAAGATTTCAAGTCCTTTCACTCTCCCTTGATTCATTCTGAACACAACTATTTATACCACAGATAGTCTGCCAGAGATGTCTGACAGACAAAATTCTCAATTGGGATCAGTTGATTCAGCTGTTAGTTCCTTGGATCCAACATACACAACCCCACCAGAGCAGATGGGCTGCTGCCTGAAGGGTGTGTAGCTTGGGAGAAGGTCAGCTGGAAGCGTGTGGCTGAGCGACATGGAGGGCCTGGCTAGTGAAGTGCCCCAGGATGCTGATTCTCTCCCTCCTCTCCACTGTCTTCCTTTCCTAGGGGTATGACATCAGCTTTCTGATCACCAACTTCCACACAGAGCAGATGTATAAGCACAAGTTGGTGGACTTTGTGATCCACTTCATGGAGGAAATTGACAAAGAAATCAGTGAGATGAAGCTGTCTGTCAATGCCCGTGCACGCATTGTGGCTGAGGAGTTCCTCAAGAATGTAAGTGGAGTGTCCTTCCTTGTTTCCTTTCAGAAGTAGAAAGACCTAAAGGTTATGCTGAGAGCTTAGCATCTGGTGGGGAAATGGTGCCAACTGTGCGTAAATATTTTCTGAGGCCTCTAGGAACTCTGGTGGGCAGCAGCTCAGCCCCATGCTTTGGTGTGGGAGGGCCCTGAGGTTCATCTTGGAGAGCTATAGGGCATCTCCAGGGCCCTGGGCAGCGCCTCTCTTAGTCATTCATTTCTACGTCTCAGAATGTATAGAGTCCTTCCATGAATCTAGTTCCCTCCCCGAGTGAGTCAAGTTAAATCCACATGTGAATTTTCTGGGAATGTAGGGCAGTTAATCATAGTGTAATTCCACTTCTCAAACAGACTCGAATAGTTTCCTTTAGCGTCTGTTTCTCAGGCTTAAAGTCATGATTTCTTCACTCTGTTTTCCATCATTTTCATGGCTTCAGTCTACAGATCCCTCTTCAGTTGTTTGTGCCTTCCTGACAGAAAGGACTGCAGCCTTCTGAGGAGGACAGATTGTTTACATTGATGAACTGATGACACAGTTCTTTTTTAGACATTCACAGCATGCCGCCTTTTTTTTTTTCTTCTTTTTCCAAACAGTCTTTGGTTTGTTGACATGTTCTACTCAGAGTTGACTATGATCCCTAGATGGTAGAATCAGTGTTTACTCATACCAGTGCATACAGGTCCAGCCCAGAAGGAGCTCAGGCTCCTAAAAATGGAAATTACACCCACTTCCCCTGGGCCTGAATTATACTGAGGGCATTGTACAGAGTACCTGTGCTGTGCACCCAGGAGAGCACACCTCTTCAGGTCACACCAGTGGCAGTCAGACCACCTTTGTGTGCATCCGGGCCCACTGCCTCCTCAGGCATCTTACAGAACTTCTTGGCTAAGCCTCAGTTTCCTCGACCCTGAAATGAGACTGTCAATTAATATATACCTTTTCAGTGTAGTTGAGCATTAAATGAGGAAATTTGTATAAAGCCTATCACTTGGTACAGAGTAAACTCTCCCTGCAAATGTTATATGGCCAGGGCACGGGGGCATCTCTAAATTCAACTGAAGAAAGCAAAAAATAGTTCTTGTCCCAATTTAATATTTGGCTCATTCATTCAGTAGTCATTTAGTTGTTACCATAATTGCATTTCTATAGTAATATAGCTGAAAAAGCACATATAAGTATCTCAGGGGGAAAAAAAAGACTTCCCATGTGGTCCACTGGTTAAGACCCTGCACTTCCAATGCAGGGGGCACGGTTTCCATCCCTGATCAGAGAACCAGGATTCCACATGCCACATGGCACGGCCAAAAAAAACATCCAAAAAGCCAAGTATTGGCAATATCTCATTTAACACCTAAAACAATCTTTGAATCAGATGTTATCCTCATTTCATGGATGGATCAGCTGGGCTCAAGGCCGTCACATGTTTAAAGTGCCTCAGCCAGTAAGTGAGGGAGCCAGGACTCAGCTTTTCTGACTCAAAGGTCTGAGATAGTATCATGGCATCTGGCAGGGGTGACACTCAGTTGCATGTGAGGCTCGGGCCATTATGTGCATGAGTGAGGTGGGTTGTGTGGGGACCTAGGGAGCACATGCCTCACCCTAGGAGGGTCACCACCACCCAGCTCCAGCCCTCTGGCTTCATCAAAAGAATCTCAGAATCTGGATTTGTGTGCAGTGTCTTCTGTATTTTCAAGGTTGGCTAATTCATATTCATAGCAACTAGTTCATAATCTTTTAAACACTGAGCCAGACAGTGCTCCTCTTTGGGCTGAGTTCGGCAAGTGAGCCAGTAGTCCACAATGTCTGGTCTGTAAAATGTCCAGGGCGGGTCTGGGCACTGTGGGGGATACTTGAGGGCACAAAGCTTGTCCAGGGCCTATCCTGCTTGGCAGACCCCTCAGAGCTTGACGCAAAGCATCAGCTCCTGGGTCCCTTTCTGAATCCCCAGGCATTTGCACATGAGCCCCCGTTTCTACAGAAGGCAACCTCAGTTCAGCAAGCAAAGCACTGTGACAAGGCTTTTTGGCTGCCTCCATGGCAAAACCAAGGGGAGCTGTGGAAGAGCTCATATCACCTGTAATTTTTCTGCCTTGTTTAGAGCTAAGTTTTAGGGCCAGTGCCTGCTGATTTGAGACCAACTAGCGCACACCCACAGGGTGTCGTGAGACCCAGTCCTGCCCCACAGAAATGTGAGTTTAGCTGCAGCTCACAGATCAGCCCCCCTCCCCAGAACAGGCCTGCAAGGATACAGTAATAACCATTATTCACCGCCTCTTGGTTCTCTTGACAGTTTTAAACCACCTGGCTGGATCTCGCGGCCTTCCCCCTCAGGCTCCCCCGTGTCTCTGTGAAGTCATCCTGGAGTTAACTTCCCAGAGCAGCAGCGGTGATGGCAGCAGCAGCAGCAGCGGAGGGGAGCTGGGTCAGGGTGGGCATTAGATGCGGGAGGGGGGTGGTGTGCTTGCTCTCTGGGCCACAAAGCAGCAGTGGACCTGCCCCGAGGCCACATGTGCCTGGTCAGGCTGGCTTCTGATGTTCAGTCCCCTGGGCTGGGACGGATTTTTTTTTAACGTCTTGAAACTTAAAACTCTGTGCTTGTAGGAGACTGTAACCTTTTTGTCTTTTTTTTTTTTAAAAAAACCAACAAACAATCTCCACCTCCAGTGGCTGTGACTGGTCCCAGTGATTGTACGTTATTGGTCGCTGTGGGTCTGGGCGGGCCTGGAGCCAAAAGGCGACTACTGTTCCTCCCCGGAGCCATCCCAGGTGGGAGAGAGGGAGGTTTCAGACTTGTGTTCCTCTCCCTCGTCTTCCTATCTCCTTAGGCTCAGTAGAAGCGGTGGGGACCCTCTGCCAGCTTCCTGAGCCCTGCCTGCAGTTGGCCACCCAACACTGGTTGAGGACAAGGGCTGAACTGGTGGCTACCGGCCACGCCTAGGAGCTGGGGCCTGGAAGCTAGGCAGCCTTTGGCCTCGGGGGCCGCTTCGTGCCCTCCCAGCTGAGAGGGGTCGCTGTTTCGCCTTGTCTGTCAGTGCAGTGCCTGTGCTAGAGGTGGAGAGGTGAGTCCCCCAGAGCATCCCTGCCAGGGCCTCCTGCCTGCCCCGGCTGCTCTGCTCCCATGCTGGCTGTACCTTTTCTGATTCTGGTGGATCCTCCCTCCCCTAATTAAAGTCTCTTTTTGCCCCTCTGGGGCTGCATGAGGTCTGTGCTCTGTGTGTATATGTGATGAAAGGAGGTGGAGCTGTTCCTTAAGACCATGTGGCAGGCGCTTGGACCTGGGGGTCCCCACCAGAGACAGCCTTGTGATTGGCCTCTGACAGTAGCCTGCTGGAGGACCCTAACCTGAGAGACCCATTGCAGTCCAGCTCCACCCATTTCTGAAACTGCTCTCTACCTGTATAGAGCTTTGACCCTTTTCACATAGTAAGCTCATTTGGGCTAGAATATAACATCAGAGAAATAAGCCCATTTCATGGCTAAGGAACCTGAGGTATCATGAGATGCAGCAGCTTGCCCCAAATCTCCCAGCTAGTGAGCAAGAGGGTGGAATTCAGATGCAGGACATCTGCCTCTACCTATGCTCTGATACTGATCACTAGCCACATGTGGCTATTTAAATTATTACAGTTGAAACGTTTAAAATTTATTGCCTCAGTCCCACCAGTGCTCAACACTTAAATGCTACTAATGCCTACCACTTCACATGGTTGTAGATAGAACATTTCCATCATTGCAGAAAGTTCTGTTGGACAGGATTAAACCCTGTTAGTGACACCTTGAAGTGAAGTTAAAAAAAAAACAACACAACTTATGTTTGAGTCCTATTCTTAAGAATTTCATCAAGTTATTTATATTCTGTGCCTCAGTTTCTTAATCTATAAAGTGGAGATGTCAGACACTACTTGCCATTACAAGTAGTGAGTAAACAATGACTGATCTTTCCACCAACCCAGTATCCAAGCTATTGGTAACTTCCATTGTGCTGGTTGTTGGGGGTGACATTATCCCTGTCTCAGAGAGACTTGGGGGCCAGTGGAAGTGTTCAGTATGTAAATAAAGAGGTGCATTGAAGTGTTTCATGTTCACTAATGGAAGTCAGTGGGAGCCCACAGGGGGGTGTCTTTATAGAAGAGGATGCCAAGAAAAGTTTGAGAAGGGTTGGGCTTTGCTGAGTTTTGAAAAGTTTCTTCCATATGGCCAAAAGGGGTCTCTTGAAACAGGACAAGGTACTGTTTAAAGGAAGGAGGGGTTGGGGATGGGGACAACTTGGACTGCTATCATCCCCTTTATGACATTACCTCTGTGACCTCCCCCTCCTGTCTTGCAGAATTAGGTGTGCCCTTCTGTGGGGCACATGGCCATAGCCTAGCTTTACAGTGATTGTTGCCCACGTGAAGGTGCGGTGAAGCTGGACATCCACTAGAGTATGGCAGCTGCTCACTCAGCCCTCACAGGACAGCAATGCCTGGGTGAGCCAGCCAGAATTCTAATTTGTCACGATCCATCTCCCAGGGTTCAGAGCTAAAACCAAATTTGCCGGCTGATCAGAACAGACTGGATGGTCTCCAATCAGCCAGTCCTCTCCTGAAGGCATACCTTTTGTTCCCAAAAGGGAAATTTTGGGACTGCTCAGTCACCAGCCACAGGGTTGAGAAGGTTAGGGTTGACTAGAAAGGTCTGTGGAGGACCCACCTTCACTTGTGTGAGCCAGTCTACCAGTGACTGACAGATCTGGGTTCCTGGGCTCTGCTTGAGAGGGCATTGCTCCAGTTTGCCTCTCACACTGTCCATTTGGTACTTGCCTGACTGATAGGCAGCCCTTATGAGTGATTATATGGACTTATGTTTAATCGTGTTTCTGTTTAAGAGTGGGGCTTTGGAGTCAGACCTGGGTTCCAGGGCTGCTTCTGCTATGCGATTTAAGACAAATTATTTAACATCTTGGAACCTTATTTATCTCACCTCTCACATTTGAGTGTGTAACAGTTTTCCTACTACCTCTAAAAAGGTTGCTTACAGTCTTGTCTTGAGGGCTGTTGCATAACTTGTTTTTTTAGTAGATTGAAACAATGATACTTATTTTCTGTTTCCAAGTGCTGTCTTTTTTTTGGTGGGGGGGCGGTCTGGGGGTTCTGCCCTTTTATTTTCCCCATAATACTGCCCTGGCTTTCAAATCTACCCCCAAGGACCTTACCAAAGCTCCATCTGCCAGGAGCTGCAGATCTGGTCAGCTTCCTTTTAGTTCCCCAGAAAAGTTCTTACCCTCTCAGGGCTGTTGCAGAAACTCCTCTCCCTGGAATACTATTCCTCCCTTGGCCAGCTCCTCATCAATTTGCATTCAGTAGGTTTCAGTTTAAATGTCACCCCTTCAGAGAGGACATCATTGACCACTTTATCTGAAGTATAAAACACCTGTGTTATTCCTCTGTTGCTTGCTTTTTGTTTCTCTTCCACTGGGCAGTAAGTGCCATGAAATCAGGGACCATCTGTAGCTTGTTCTTCTGATCCCCAGCACCTAGCCCACTACTTAGCACATGGTCTTCGCTGAATACTGGGGAATAACTGAAGCCCCAGGAAGCGCTGGATAAGGAAATCAGGACCCTATTAGAAACTGGCAGGGCAGCCAGTGCTCTATGCTTCCAGCTTCAGTGCCCCATTCATGAAGGGTGTGGGGCAGGTAAGGCCCCGAGTTTGGCCCCGCTGGAAGTAGCCCCCGGAACTGCTACCTGAGGCCTGATTGTGCCAAGGGAATCGTTTCTAAGGCAACAAAAAACAGGGCGGGGCCTCAGAATGGAGGGTTGCAGGCCCCCTCAGGGCGCTCCCGCGAGACGCGACTGCGCGCAGAGGGGAGGCGGGCTCTGGGGCCCCGGGAATGCGCGCGGGCGCGCGGCGAGGGTCTTATGCAGGGGCACACCGCAGCGCTGCTCCTGAGGGCAGGGGAGCTGGGGGCCGCAAAGCAGGACTCCACCACCTGGTTTTGCCCGGAGGGGGGCCCTGTGTGCAGCTGGCCACGGAAGCCGCAGCTGCTCGAGCGCCGCGCCACTTCCCCCGCCCTATGGCCCAGGGCGCGCCACTCCGAGTTCCGGCTTCCAGAGGAGGCTCCGGCACACGGCCAAGACTGGGTCTGCAGTCCAGCCTCAGCGCGCCGCCTAGACTGCGCCCTCCAGCCCTCGGCCCACGACAGCCACGCCCAGGGCGCCGAGGATCCCCGCCCCGCTGGGCCCTCGCCTTCCCCGGCCCAGGAGCACACCCCGCCCCAGGACGGTGAGGCCACTTGCGGCCGCCCTTCCTGGCCCAAGGCGAAGTCTTGGGGCGGACGTGAGAATCCGGGGAACCGGAGAAGAGCGGTAGGGAATAGGCATCGGGATGAGGGTGGAAAGAGAAGGGGTGCCTACTCCACGCCCACTCCGCATCTTTCTGCAGGTTCTCTTGTCCTTTGGCGAGGATTCTCCAAGGCGTCTCAACACATGGGCCGGCTCCGAAACGCGAAGATCCACGTGGAGAGAGCTGTCAAGGTCGGAGGGGGTTGGGGAAGGGGCTAGAAAAGGCCTGGAGGGTGGCTCACCCTGCCTCCTTGCACTATATTCTCCCCTCCTTAGAAAATAAAGAAGAAAAAACCTTGATCCCACGCCTGTCTTCAAATACTTCTCCAGTTTTCAACACCCCGTCCACAACCAAAATTCTAGGCAGAATTCAGCTACTTTACTTTATCTGGGTTTCAGTCCTCAGCCCCCACCACTCTGGGTCCCTATCCTTCATCACTCTCATCAGGAACCTCTCTAGTTAAGGTCACTGGTGACCTCTAAGGAGCCAGATCCACCGGTCAGTCCCTTTTCTGTCCTGACCTTGGTTTGGCGCCTTGTGTCATTCTGCACCAACACACCTTTCCTCTTGGCTGTCTGCACACTCCTGCTTTTCCTTTCTCCCTCCCACGCAGCTACTTTTCAGTTGCCTTTGAAGACTTCCCAGGACATTCCTGTTTCCCTCTCTACACTTGTCTCCTTGGCTGTGAGTTCAATCTGTCCTGCTCCCTTTTCATTCTCTCTCCAGCCCAGCCTGACCTCTAACTGCATCCCTCCGTGGATCTAGTCCCCCACTTGATACCTCCATTGAGGGAACATCAAAGCATCTCAAACCCGTGTCTTAGACCATACTCTTCATTTTCCTGCCCAGACCTGTTCTTCTCCCTGCTCTTTGGTCTTTTCCATCTCCCAGTTGCTCGGGCCAGGAGATGTGATCTTTCTGTTCCCTCACCCACACATCTAATCCTAATTGCAAAACTAGTCTCTATTTCCAAAAGGAATTTCAACTCCCACCTTGTTCCCATCTCTGCTGGAGGCACCTAGAGAAACCACAACAGCCTTCTCACTAGTCTGCTTGCTTCCATCCTTGCCATCTGTTTTCCATAGGACAGCAAGCCACATTTAACAGCCTCCAATGATGTCACTCCCTCCCTTCACCTTATTGCTTCACACTGATCTTAATATAAAATTCAAGTTCATCCCAAGGCCTTCAGTGTCTTCCACACACCTCTTAAGAGGTCTCCGCTCATTTTCCACACTCCGTATACCCTAGCTCCCTTCCAGTTCCTTCTGACCCCTCCACCCTCAAGACCTTTGCATATGCTTTTCCCTCTGCCTTAACTGCCAGGTTTGCCCAGCTCTACATTTCTGGCTCCTTCCCAGCTTCCCTTGACTGATTCTCTGGATCCCCGTTAAAATCCTATTTCTTGAACTTCCCAGCCTGGATGTTAATTCCTGCTCTTTCACTTAACCACTGGGTAGCCAAGCTACTCTGTGCCAAGTGTCTCTGTGCCTCTGTTTCATAACCAGTTAAGTAGAGATCGGTTGCATGCGGGTGCTCAGTCGTGTCTGACTCTTTTGTGACCCCATGGACTGTAGCCAGCCAGGCTCCTCTGTCCATGGGATTCCCAGGCAAGAATACTGGAGTGGGTTGCCATTTCCTCCTCCAGGAGGTCTTCTCAACCCAAGGTTTGAACCCATGTCTCTAGCGTCTCCTGCATTGGCAGGCAGATTCTTTACCACTGCACCACCTTGGAATCCCCAAGTGGAGATGATAGTGTCTATTGAAAATACACATTGTTAAAAAAAAAAATACACATTGTTGTTAGTAATGTATTTAAGTGCTTAACACATAGTAAATGCTCAATAAATATTAGAAAATATAGTTGCTATTATGATTATTACTATGAAGGTTATTTTTCTACTTGTTTACAGTCTGTCTCTCCTATTAGAATGTATAAATTTCGTGAAGGCAGAGACCATAGCTGTCTGACTCACCATTATCTCCCCTGTGACCAGCACTTAGGCTATACTTACTGAAAAAGTATTTTGCTGTCACCTTATAGCAGAAGAAGATCTTTATGATCCAAGGTCGCTACCCTGTGATCCGGTGCCTCTTGCGCCAAAGGGGCTGGGTGGAGAAGAAGATGGTCCATCACTTGGGTACCACTTTGCCACAACCGCATAAGGATCTGGACAGCTCAGTAATGGGTGACAGTGACACGACTGAGGATGGTGAGATATCCCTCCCTTCCCACAAGCTGCTTGAGTCCCTTTCCTTTGGTTCCCACTGTCCCAAGGTTGAGGCTTTGATGTGGGGCTGAGGGGCAGGGACCGGGGCCTTCCCACACCTGGGCTCTACATCTACAGAGGATGAAGATGAGAAGGAGGCATTCCGGCCACCACAGCTATTTGACTTCGATGAGTTATTGGAATTTGATGACCTACATGGGACACATGCTCTGATGGTGAGGACCCAGCGGGCTGGATAGGGGTCTGCTTCTTTCAAGAGAAAGCACTAGAGTCCAGCTTGGCGACCCCAGACAAGCCATTTTGTAAATCTCAGTTTCCCTATCTGCGGTAAAAACGATTGGTTCTCTAAAGCCTAGGTAGGCCAGTGGAGTGGTGAGTGACACAGATAAGGCTGGCCTTGGATCAGGGCTCTTTGCCAGGTTGTATCAGAAGCTGGCACAATCTCCACACCTGGTAATTTCCCCCTTCCAAATAAAACCCCATAGTTCATCTTCCTCCGTTGTTGGCAAGTGAAGGTTAGAAGGAAGGACTTAAAAAATTTTGAAAGAGGCTGGTATGATGATGGGGAGGATATGTGTGTTGAGATCAAGACACTTGGCTTTGAATCTTCGTACCACCACTTTCTGAGTTGGACTATGGCAAACTGCCATTTTTGTATGTCAGGTGAGGTTGAGGACTGGCAATTCCACATGTTCCAACATTGTGAACCTGGGACAAGTCCCTGAGCCTCAGTCCCCTCATCTGTGAAATGGGGATAATGGTAGCACCTACCACGTAGGGTTATGGTGAGGATTAAATGAATCGACATGGAAAGCTTAAGCACAGGGCCTGATGCACGGTGTTACTGGTTATCAGTAATCCTTCCTCCCAGAGTTCTAGGAAGGATGGGGAGAGGTGGAGCTCACGAGAAAATCTTTGTCACATGTTCTGTGACCATCAGCTTAGAGTCACTGCCCTGCCACTGAGTAAGCCACTAATGGCCAAGACCCAGAACGAGGTGTGGCATTCATTTGTGGAGTTTAGTCACAGCCTAGGGGCACCTGGTTGAAAGAGCTGCAAGCCAGCCTGCTCTCTGTTCACCAGTGTGTGCCCCAAAGGGAAGAGATGTCTTTTTTTTTTTTGAGATGTCTTTTCTTAACTTACAAAAAGATGACATGTGAGCTAGAGGCCCCCTTGGGAGGATCCTGTCTCTCCATTGACCCACCTTGCCTAGCATGGCAGGGAGAAGCTTCCTCAGGCCTTGTGGTGCCCACATCAACCTTCCCTGTCTCCTCCCCTCTCCCCAGTCACGTATGGTTCGGAACGAGATCCCCTACTTCATCTGGACTACTCGTCGGGACATCCTGGACTGTCGCTTCCTCTCCAAGGATCAGATGATAAACCACTATGCTCGGGCAGGCTCCTTTACCACAAAGGTGAGCTCTTAAGAGCGCAGGCATGGCAGCTGCCAACCCCCCAGCTCTTGGGCTGGTAGTCCCTTTTTCTGCTCTCCTTGTCAGTAAGAGTTCTCAGGAGGTGGGGAGGTACGTGGTTCAGTTGGATTTGGACACACCTGTGTTCAAATCCAACCTGTGCAGCATGTCTGGCACATATAGACACGGTGACTAAAATAGACTCCAGGAGCCAAATAGGGTCTGGAGTAAAAACAAACACCATAGCCAATGACTATGAGCAGGGGGACCCTTCTCTCCTAAGCAGAGACTGGTTGATGGTTGATGGTCTGGCTGATGGTTCTATTATATCTTGTCTTGGTTAAGTGACTTCACCTCTCTGAGCCTCAGGCTCCTCTTCTTTAAATGAGAATTCCAGTAAGACCTATTCTCTAGGGTTATGGCAAGAATGATAGGCTTTATAATTGGGACCTGCTGGTCTATTACTAGTGTGGACTGGGAAGGAGTCCTCAAAGAGGCAGGTATTTAAGGATGCAAAAAGATGGTTAGAAGGGTGCAGGGAATTCTAGGCAGAGGGAACCACATGGGCAGCATATGGAGGTGGAAATGAGCCTAGCAAGTGGGGCAGAGGCTCTGAGCCTGTCCACGCAGCATCCCCTTGAGCTCTCTGGGTGGGTGCCCAGTGTGGAGAGTTCCTTGGAGGCTGCCTGGGCAAGTCCCACCCTGCCCCCTCAGCGGCTGACTCCATAGGTGGGTCTGTGTCTCAATCTCCGGAATTTGCCATGGTTTGATGAGGCTGATGCCGACTCCTTCTTCCCGCGCTGCTACCGCCTGGGGGCTGAGGATGACAAAAAGGCCTTCATAGGTAAGGAGATACCATCCCCATGCCTGGCCCCTCAAGCCAAAGGAGGAGGGCTAAAGCCCTGGCTGGTGTTGGAGAGCAAAGGGCCTCTCTCATGCCATCATCTACCCCAGCAGATTTCCTTCTCCATCCTCAACCCTCATCTTTCCCGTATGTGCCTCCCTTAATGAGCCCCCTACCTTGGTCACCCCAGACCTCCAGAAGAGCTGACATAGTTTATCTTATTTTCTAGAGCAGGTTCTAAAATTGGTCACTTAGTTGAGTTTGGAATCCAGAATAAGTTCCAACCCCCTGTCAGATTCCACTGACTAGATCGGGTTCCAAGTCCAGTTCCAAGAAAAGTTTCTAGACTTTGGGGCTCACAGACAGAGTAGGCTCCAACTCCAGCACACACTCTAAGTTCAGGTCAGAATTTGGATCCACATTAGACGCTAGGTTTCAATTAGTCTCCAAATCCTATATAGATTTGGGGCCAAGGTCTGGTTCTCAGGCTAGAATAAGTATCAAAAGTGGATCAGGACATTGTAAGTCAACTATACTTCACATAAAAAAAATAAAAAATCACACACATGCACAATAGAAAAAAAAGGTGAATCAGGAACAGGAGGAGGAGAAATCAGACAGCAGAACCACGCAAGATTCTGAAGGTGGAATATGAGCCAAGTCAGGTCAGATTCTGGGGCTCATTCCACAGTGGAAACAGAAGCCAGGTTCTAAGTGGGGTTCTAGAGTCAGAAACAGTAGTCAGGTTCCGGATCCAGAGTGGGGCAGGTCATGATCAGGTTCCGGAACCAGAACAGGCCCGGAGCCTAGGGGCTGAGGAGGGTATCCCCTGCCCCGGGAGCAGAAGACTTCTGGCTGACAGCTGCCCGCAACGTTCTCAAGCTGGTGGTAAAGTGCGAGTGGAAGTCAAACTCTGTCGAAGAAGAGGCCCCAAGTAAGTACTGTGGTCACCTCTGCTCCCCTAACCATTTATCCTCGTACGCAGCACACCTCACCCATCTGTCATGGTATTTTTCTCATCCATCTGCCCATCCACCACCCCTTCCTACCTGCTCTTCCGTACATCTCCCCTTCTTTCTGTCCACAGTCTGTTCATCCATCTGCTTCCCTACTTACCCACCCATCTCACATTCACCTACCCATCCACCCATCCATGCATTCATCCTTCCCCCCACTGTTGATCTGTTCATTCACCTACTTCTGTCAACTCCACACTGCCTATCAATCCACTCCACTTTCCTGCCTATCTACATACTTATGCTTCCACAGACCCACCTCCCCATCCATGTACTTCTTTTCCATCCTGCCATCTACCACTTAATCTATCCTCTGGCCCATCCACTCATCATTCTTCTGTCCCACCCACCCACTTAGCCACATGTCTTCCTATCTGTTTGTTAATTGACCCACTGCCTCGCTCAGTCCTCCAGTGGGCCTGGCATGTGGCAGAGTGCTCTAGAGAGGACAGACTTAAGAGGACATGGTCCATCCCTGCCTGTGGGGAGCTCAGATCTGTGAGGAGAGGCAGCAGTAAAACCATGTAGTTTGATGTGGTCTGAGGACCGCTCGTGCCTTGTGAAGGGGACCCAGACAGTCTCCCCCTACTTGTCGGCTCAAGCAGCTGCTGGCCCTTTCCCTTTCTGGACTCAGCTCCCACCTTGCAGCTTCTGTCCTGTAGCCCAGAGTTGCCAGAATTCCTCAGGGGTTTGGTGAAATGAGAGGCAGCTCGGCTGTGAGAAGGAAGCCCCGGCTCCTCCCGAGGGAGACCTCCCTGGGGCTGTCTCCTGGTGTGTCAGGAGCGGGGCTCAAGGAGCCTCAGGTGTGTCAGAGCCCCCAATCACGGAGGGGCTGCAGGTGTGTCTGCTGGGGCTCTAGGCGCTGAGATGTTTGGGGACATTCAGGGTGAGCCCCAAATGAATGACAGGTCCTGCACAGTGAGGGGCAAGGGCGAGCACCGGGACCCCAGATGAATTTAGAACAAAGCCCCGGGTGAGTGACAGGTCCCACAGCAGTAGGGGCTGCAGGTGTATTTCAGGTGAAGTCACGGGTAAGGGACAGGCCTTGGGGCAGTGGGAGCTGTGGAGTGTGGGATAGTGACAGCCCCCACCTCTACCCCATCTCTACAGGAGACAAGCAGCCGAAGAAACAAGAGAAAAAGCCAGCGTCGGTGTCCCCAGAGTTTGTGGATGCGGCTCTGTGTGCCTGCGAGGAGCACCTTAACAACCTGGCTCATATGGACATCGACAAGGACGTGAAGACCCCGCTCTACCTGAGCCCCGAGGGCTGGTCCCTCTTTCTCCAGCGCTACTACCAAGTGGTCCAGTGAGTGCCTCTGCAACCCGGGCCGTGGGGCGTGCTCTCAGGCAGCTTTCATGTTCACAGCTGATGGTCAGGGACAGAACCTCTCTGTCGAATGCCCACCGCCCCCAGCTCCTCCCCAAGTCTCCCTGTTTTCATTCACCCACTCTTCTCCTTCAGAACCCTCAGGAGTTCTCACTGCCTTCATATCAGGGTCCCAACTACTCTTCCCCAGATCCCCGGTGTAGCATAGTGACTAAAATCATGTGCTGTCAGACAGATCTGAGTTCAAGTTCTGCCTGTCCTATTTCCAAGCTCTGTGACCTTGGGAACCTCACTCACCTATCTGATCTTTGCTTCTCTCAAATGCAGAATAGGTTTAAAAATAATGTCTGCCTCAAAGGTAGGATTAGGGTAATTTTTATGATGTGCTCCGCACTGACTCCTAGTATTCATTCACAAAGTAAGACTCTGTTAATTCATTTAGGTTTTATCCTGGAAACCAGCATTTCGCAAAGCCTATTATATAGCATGCTAGTTCTGCATGCTGAAATGGAGTTTATGAAAAAAAGGGTTTTGTGATCAGTCACATTTGGAAAACACTGAGTGGAACAAAGTTAAAATAGGTTTCCTTGATACAGGACTTTTCAGAAGATGGTGTAAACTCCCAAGAGGGACAGAGTATGCAGTGTATCCTGTACTTATGTGACCCCAGCCCCCTGCCCCAAGTATCCTTAGAGGTTGTATTTGCAGGACACATTTTGGGGAAAGGTTCTTGAGCAGAGGAAAGGAGTATTGAGATGGGCCTGGGCCTGTTGTAGGGAGATGCTCTTCAGCACAGTGTGTAGGAAAAACTGGCAGGAAGAGGGCATGACGGCATTTACTGAGCCCTTCCTATGTGCAGGCATCGTGCCAGACCCAAGAAATGAAGCAAAATCCGTGCCCTCAGGAGCAGACAGCTCAAGCAGGGAGACTTGCAGCAAGTCGGGGCGGGCTAAAGGCCTCAGGTGGCGTGGTAGTAGAATAGAAACGAACAGACAGATTTAATGATTGATAGGGGACACTGAAGAACTAGTAAATGAACTTTGAATGAAGGACTTAGCCAGCAAACCCACATCATTGTATATTTTTTTAAACACTAGAGAATGAAAACTAGGTGATCCCATACTTTCCCCTTAGCTGCCAGAAAACATAAAGCTGCCCTTCTGAAATTAAGCATCACTGGGGGACTTCCCTGGTGGTCCAGTGGCTAAGACTCCAAGCTCCTGATACAGGAGGAAACGGTTCAATCCCTGGTTAGGGAACTAGATTCCACATGCTGCCACTGAAAGAGCCTATGTGCCACAGTGAAAGCAACTAAAACCGAGTACAGCCAAATAAATTAAAAATATTAAAAAAATAACGTCAGGATTGAGTTATAATAGTCAGTGGAAATAATGTCAGTCCTTTGCATTTCTGGATGTGGGGCAAGTCGAGGGCTGAAGGAACCTCTCAAAAGCAGGATTAGGAAATTTCACTGGTCATGCAGTGGTTAAAACTCTGCTTCCAATGCATGGGGTGCAGGTTCAATCCTTGCTCGGGGAACTAAGATCCCACATGCTACATGAAGCAGTAAAAAAAAAAAAAGTTAATTAAAAAATCAGGATTACATAAAATATTACCTCATGTAACATTGCACTGAATTGTTAGATCATTAGCATTAATTAAGTCAATATTTACTGCTGCTTCTCAGCTTTTAAAAACAAATCCACAGCTCACCAGGCAGGCTTCTTTTTTCCCCCTCCCCTGACCACCAGGTCGACTTTCCACAGAACTGCTTGGTTTTTTACTAAATATAAAATCATACTGTCAGGCTGAATATGCTTTTTCAAATTGCATATGTCCCTGCCACTGCCATGTGACACTTTCCTGGGCCAGATCACAGATTTGCTCAGTAGATTCTTTAGGCCACGGCCACAGAAACGTTTCCAGCAAAGCTTGTGGAAATAGGAGAGCCCAGGAATCATGTGTGAAAAAGAGGCCTTGCCAAGACCCCTCCATCTGATTGTCCCTGTTCCCAGCCCTGCCCAGCTGCCACTGCTGTGCCCGCCTTAGTAACAGAGACAAGTTCTCCGTGGCTGGAGACATCCAAGAGGCTCCAGCCTCTTTAACGTCCGAGAGATGTTAAAAGAGAGGTTACCATCTAGGGGAGGCTTCCTTCCTATTCACTCAAAAGAAAAGAAACGGGATAGTTTGGCTGAGGCCACCATCTGGGATATTTTGTGACTTGGTTTAGTTGAGGACATTTCGTGTCCTATAGGGAACAGGTTCCTTTTTGTCCCCGAACTCTTATCCATACAGCCCAGTCACTGCCAGAGACTTCCTTACTCAACCATTCATTCAGTTAACAAACTTCTCGGGAGTACCTAATAAGTGCTGGGGTACTACTTGGGGACGGGAGTATAACAGAATAACAACTACAAAAAGTATTCCTGGTCTCATAGAGCTTTCATTCCAGTGAGCAGAGACAGGCAGTGACCAAATAAATGTAGGTGTCAGGTGGTAAGTGATCAGAAGAGAAATAAGTCTAGGAGATGTATGATACAGTTGTGCAAGAAAAGAATTAGATGAGGAAGGGGCCCGCCTATCCACCAGTGTTAGGTTAAAGATTAGGAGAGGAGTGAACTGCCAAAAACACTTGTGGATGAACAATTCAGGCAGGCTAGAGTTTGCATCCTGGCTCAGCCTCTTAACTCAATGTGTGGCCTTGGGCACATCCCTTAACCCTGCAAGCTTCAGTTTATACTTCTCTTAAGATGGGACCAGTAACATCTCCCTGAAGATGGATTAGTGATAATGTATATAAAGCCCTTGACACAATGCCTGGCATGTAGAGGTGCCTCATCATTTGATGCTGGTATGATTAAATTCTGCCAAAGAGCAGCTTTAATATAATAGAGAGAGAGGTGGCAGAAGGTGGAGTATTGGAGTGGGAGGGGGTACGGTAGGTAGAACGTACCATTCCAGCAGTCAGGGACAGTGCCCTGGGCAGGGTGGATCTGGGGCACAGCCTGAGGGCAGGGGTGGAGGATTGGGAGAGCCCTATCCAGGTCTCGAGGGGAAGTGTGTGACCAAAGCTGGTGGGACCATGGCCAGGGGCCTTGTGTCTCCCCTTGCCTTGTTCACCAGGATGCCCCCAGGCCCAGCCCTGCCCAAGTCCCATCATCTCCCCACAGCGAGGGGGCAGAACTCAGGTACCTCGACACTCAGGTCCAGCGCTGTGAGGACATCCTGCAGCAGCTGCGGGCTGTGGTGCCCCAGATGGACATGGAAGGAGATCGCAACATCTGGATCGTGAAGCCAGGAGCGAAGTCCCGTGGACGAGGTGGGGGCCTGCCCCTGCTTCCCCGTACCAGCACCCTACACCCTCCCCAACCAGAGGCTCTGGATGTTAATAGCACCGCCTCTGTTGGAGCCAAACTGCCTAGGTTCGAATCCCAGCTCTGCTACTGATACACATTGTGACCTTGAGGAAGTTATATCAAGTCTTCGAACCTCAGTTCCCCCATCTGTGAGGGTTGATGATAATACCTCCTATGAGGCCAGAATTAAATGAGGTAGTGCATGTACCACTCAGCATGGTGCCAGGCACAGTAGCCTGGCATGAATGTTGGCTGCTGTGATGACGATAGGGCTTCCCTGGCAGCTCAGCAGTAAAGAATCCGCCTGCCGATTCAGGAGATAATAGGTTCAATCCTTGGGTCGGGGAAATCTGCTGGAGAAGGAAATGGCAACCCACTCCAGTATTCTTGCCTGGGAAATCCCATGGACAGAGGAGCCTGGCGGGCTACAGTCCATGGCTTTGCAAAAGAGTTCAGACACAACTTAGCGACTAAACAGCATGATGATGATGCCAGCGCATCCTCTCCTGCCCTGAGAGTTTAGGTTAATGCTTTAGGCAGGCCTGGTGGTCTCACTGCAGTTACTTGTCTGAGGGCTCTCCGATTTGACTTACGCATCCTTGTATGGTGTGGAACAGTGGTTTAAGGGTGTGGATGCTGAGAATCAGACTTCCTCAGGTCAAACCCAAGCTCTGCTCCCTAATATTTGAAAGACCTGGGGTAGGTTAATTAACCTCTTCTGTGCCTCATTTTCATCCTTGGTAAAATGAAGCCAGTCATACCTACCCAAGAGGATTACATGAGTACAATATGGAAAGTGCTTTGATCCTATGCTTTTAGAGTAACTGCTATGTAAGTGCTGTTATTTTTAGCCACTATGTTGACTGCTCAGCATGAATGGAACTGAACAGGGCACCTGCTGCTGGAATGTTGCATTAGCCCAGCCTTTAAAAGAGCGTTAAGGACTTCTGAGATGTAAAAAAACAGACTTTTGGCAGCAGATCACTTCACATACTGCCCTTGGGAGAATTTGTTTGTGTCCTAGTGAAGCTGTTGCAGCTCCACACACTGTGTGACACTCTCTTGGGATATCTCTCTAAAACTAGCATCATAGTCTTTTCTTCTTCTGTCTCGGAAATTGTCTTGTTGGTTTTTTCCAGGATTGAAAATGCATATTTGTTATTTTTTTAAAAACAAGATCAGACAGTACAGAGAAGTGGAAGAAACCAAGGGCGCCTTTGATTTCACTGAGATAACTACTGTTTACCTTGTGGTGTGTTTCTGTACTTGTGTCTATGCATGTTGGGTATATGTATGTTTTATTCTACATAAGAGCATACTACTCTGTAGCTTCCTTTTTTCATTATTTATCTTTCCATATCACTGAGTATCACTTACTTGTTTTCACCTTTATTTTTTCTTAATAGATCTTAGAGGTCATTCCATTTCAGTACATCTAGATCTGCTTCCCCCTCACCCCCATTTTTAGTTTATTGTTATAGTCACTTTCAAACATACACAAAAGCATAGAGAACAATACAGTGAATTCCAGTGTATTTCAACATTTTCTCTCCATTTTTAGTAAAACTTAATTGAAATATGTATACAGTCCATTGACAAGGGTACACATTGTGAATATACAACTCAGTGAATTGTCACATAGGGAACACACTCGTGGAAACAGCACCCAGATTACAAAATAAAACATTACCTTTACCCTAGAGGGCCCCGGGCTAACTCCTGGTCTCTGCCTCCCTGCAGTGGAAGCCCTTATTCCGACTTACAATACCATAGATTGGGTTGCCTGTTTTTGAATTTTATATAAAAGTACAGTATATACTTTCCTACCTCATTCTGTCTTACAGCTGCACAGTCTAATCTTATTTATATGTACTCTCATGGTTTTACTTAATCCTTTTCTGATGGATATTTAGATAGCCATCAGTTTTTTCCCTATTTATTTGATTATTGATTGGTTAATTGCTGTTAGCAACACTGATGAATATCTTGTGCAGACATCTTTCCATTTACAGTAGCTTTTCCACTTATTTCTTTAGGATAAATTCCTAAAAATGAAATTGCTGGGTCAGAGGTCATGAACAGTCTCAATCTGTGGCTACACAAGTCATCATGATATTGGGAATCTTAGTAATCACTCCGGGCTTTAGAGAAAGAATCTGGCCTGGGAACCAAGAACAAGTTGTTCTGTGCCATTGGCAGGCAGGCAGACTGTTTGGAGGACCAAGCAGTGAAGAAATAAGATTGATTTGTGAGTGTATGTGTTTGTTTGCAGTGTGATTGTTACTGTAGACCCTTGAACAACATGAGTGAACTGCATGGGTCCACATATATGCAGATTCTTTCACTTTGTACCTACTTTAGTAGTACATGGGAGAAGGCAATGGCACCCCACTCCAGTACTCTTGCCTGGAAAATCCCATGGACAGAGGAGCCTGGTAGGCTGCAGTCCATGGGGTCTCTAAGAGTCGGACACGGCTAGGTGACTTCACTTTGACTTTTCACTTTCATGCCCTGGGGAAGGAAATGGCAACCCACTCCACTGTTCTTGCCTGGAGAATCCCAGGGACGGGGGAGCCTGGTGGGCTGCCGTCTATGGGGTCGCACAGAGTCGGACACGACTGAAGCGACTTAGCAGCAGCAGCAGCAGCAGTACTACATGATCTATGGTTGAATCTATGGATGCAGAACTGTGGATATAGAGGACTACTGTAAAGATACAATAATTTTCAACTGTTTAGAGGGTTGGCATGCCTAATCCCTGTGTTGTTCAATGGTCTGCTATATTTATCAGCATTAAAACGCCTTATTAGCATAAGATGCTTAACTTCACTTGTTACAAAATAGATAAAATTAAAATAAGATACCAGTCTACCTAGGAGAATGGCAAAAATAAATCAACAGTGTTGGTAGTATGTGGGCAAACACACAGTCTCATACACTCTTACTTGAAGTGCATATTGATAGAACATCTTTGTTCTGTAAAGTGAAAAAATGCACATACACTTTGAGCCAGCAAATCTATATAGAGATATTTTTTATAGGTAATGAATAATTATGATGAGTTAACATTTACTGAATGCTCACCAAGTGCCAGGCACTGTTCCAGTTCCTTAGGATGTTTAAATGCATAGAATGCTATGCAACTGAAGCAGACACAGACTCTCCCATAACTTGCGTGCCCATCCATAGCACCTGGAAGCAGCACCTGGCTTCTTTGGAGCAGGAAATGTGTGTGTGTGTTTTTTTTTTAATTGTGAACCCTTTTGTACTGTCTACTTTTTGCCTCTGCTCTTTTATATTCTGTTAGTTATTATGAAAAACTAAGCAAAGTCATACATGTATATGGTTTTAAAAAGGCCCAATACTGTTTAAATTTTTATATGTATATATATATTCCTTTCCATCATCAAAATTGGTTAATTTAAAAAAAAAATCCTTGGCAGATTCTCAGCTTTCCCAAAGGGAACATGGAGAAAGGCAGGCTTACCCACTCGGGCCTATCAATCCTTAGGGGATGTGCGCTTAGGATGAACTGTTTATAGACCCCTAGCCCATCTCCCAGCCAAAGCCTAACCAGCTTTGTTTCCTAACTTTGATCCCTAACCAGCCCTATTTCCCCCTAGGTATCATGTGCATGGACCACCTGGAGGAAATGCTGAAGCTGGTGGACTGCAACCCCATGATGATGAAGGACGGCAAGTGGGTGGTGCAGAAGTATATCGAGCGGCCCTTGCTCATCTTTGGCACCAAATTTGATCTGAGACAGTGGTTCCTGGTGACCGACTGGAACCCACTTACTGTGTGGTTCTACCGTGACAGCTACATCCGCTTCTCCACACAGCCCTTCTCCCTGAAGAACCTGGACAAGTGAGCCCCCCGCCCTCAGTCCCCTCAGTCCCATGAGCTCCTAATCTAGTCGGGGAGCTGGCAAGGAACAGTACTTCCAGTGCAGTGCTGGGCTCCAGACACAGCCTCTGCAGGCAGGCCGGCCCATCATCCATCCACCCATCCTTCCACCCAGCAGATGCCTACGGCACGTGTACCCTGTGCCATCCACTGTTCTAGGCACTTGGGACACAGTAGTGAATGAGATGAACCCAGCCCTCAAGAGTTCACATTCCAGCAGGGAGAAACAGACAAGCTGTGAACATAATCAATAAAATCATCAATGGGTTAAAAGGTGATACGTGATATGGAGAAAAGATGTAGAGCAGGGTAAAGGGGGATCAGGAGAAACAGAGAGGCAGCATTCACTTGGGGTTGAGAGGAAGCCTGTTGAGCCCTGGATTCAAGTTCATTTTTTGCAGCTTCCAAGCTCTATGACTTGGGTCAAGTGAAACCCTGTTTGAGCTTCAGTCACCACCATCTGTAGAATGGAGCCAGTAACATGGAGCTCATAGCTGTCAGTTAACTGAGTGCTTGCACGTGACGAATGCTAAGCACTTCATGTATATTACCTCAGACGTTCATGAAAACCTGGCCAAGTGGGTACTGTTACTACCTCCATCTTTTACATGTTGAAAGGAGCACGCAGCTTAAATGAGTTACATAAGATTTTACCAGTCAGCGATGAAGACAGGACTTGAGCACATGTCTTGGTGATTACGGGCCCTGTACTCTGAGCTACCTTCTTCCAGGCACTGGGAGAGTTAACTGTGACCCTGTCACAAAGCACTTCACCCTGTGGCCCCATACCTAGGACCCTCAGAGAGGTCCTGAGCACAGACTGGTAGCGGCCCTAGAAGACGGCAGTGAGGATTTTGTCAGCTCACGCTGCACAGTGCAGTGTGTGCGGGGCTGGTTCCGGGGCTTGCCTGCCCCACCAGCGTCTGGGTGGGTGGGGCATGGGGCGCCGGCCCTCAGCTCCCCACTCTCTGTCCTAGCTCTGTGCACCTGTGCAACAACTCCATCCAGAAGCACCTGGAGAATTCATGCCACCGGCACCCTCTGCTGCCCACAGACAACATGTGGTCAAGCCAGAAATTCCAGGCCCACCTGCAGGAGACGGGGGCCCCGAATGCCTGGTCCACGGTCATGGTGCCCGGCATGAAGGCCGCAGTGATCCACGCCCTGCAGACCTCCCAGGACACCGTGCAGTGTCGGAAGGCCAGCTTTGAGCTCTATGGCGCTGACTTTGTGTTCGGTGAGGACTTCCAGCCCTGGCTGATCGAGATCAATGCCAGCCCCACCATGGCACCCTCCACGGCTGTCACCGCCAGGCTCTGCGCCGGCGTGCAGGCTGACACCCTGCGTGTGGTCATTGACCGGCGACTGGACCGCAACTGTGACACAGGGGCCTTCGAGCTCATCTACAAGCAGGTGAGGTGGCCAGGCCCAGGCAGGACCCAGGGAGGCCTCCCCATAGTAAAGCTCGGGGCTCTGCAGTCACACAAACCCGGTTTGGGTCCTGGTCTTGCCACAGTGACTGGGTACAGACACGCCACCCTCTTGAGCCTCCATTTCCCTGTCTGTAAGATGGTCATGCTGTTACCATCTTTCTCCTGGGGTTTGGGGGATGAAATGAGTTAGTGTGTTGGATAATATTTCTAGAGGCTGGTAGCATACTGTTAGAAGCATAGACTCTGAAACCGTCCTGGGTTCAAATCCCTGCTCAAATAAATAACTCCTGTTCCATGAGGTTCCAGTAAAACAGCAGCCCTCAAAATTATAGAAGCCCTGCTGTTAACCAGAAGGCCATGCAGCTCTGTCTTTTCACTCAAAATGTGTTCAAGTCTGAATCTTGAGACCTATAGGTATACTCTTGAGATGCTTAAAAGATGTATAGCTGCTTTAAAGGGCCTAATAGGCATGGCTTGGATTTCTCTGAAGTTTTCTGTTTGTTTTTGTCTTTTTAGATATCACTGACATGCAACTTTGTTAGTTTCAGATATACAATATAACAGTATTTGTATATATTGTGAAAAGATCACCACCATAGGTCTAGTTAACATATATTGTCAAACAGTTACAAAAATTTTTTTCTTGCATGATAACTTTTAAGATCTACTTTCTCAGCAACTTTCAAATATACAACATTATTAACTATAGTCATGATTCTATACATGACTTATATATTTGTAACTGAAAGTATGTAATTTTTTATTCCTTTCACCCATTTTGCCCACGCATCTGTTCTCTGTATCAGAGCTGTCTGTTCTCTGTATCAGTGAGTTCAGTTTGTTTTTGATTTTAGATTCTGCATATAATTGAGATCATACGGTATTTGTCTTTCTCTGACTTATTTAACTTAGCATAATACACCCATGGTCTGTCCACATTGTTGCAAATGTCAAGATTTCATGATTTTTATTTACTTTTTTGGCTACACCACATGGGATCTTAGTTCCCCAATCAGGGACCAAACTGATGCCCTTGCAGTTCCCCAACCAGGGGCCAAATCTGTGCTCCCTGCAGTGGAAGCGTGGAATCTTAATCACTGGACTGCCAGGGAAGTCCTGAGATTTTCTTTTTAATGGCTGAATAATATTCCATCATATGTTTATATATACACATTTTCTCTGTTCATCTGTCAGTGGATGCTTAGGTCACTTCCATGTGTTGGTTATTATAAATAGAGCTGCTGTGAACATGGACTTGCAGATATCTTTTCAAATGGTTTTTCATTTCCTTTGGGTAAATACCCAGAAGTGGAATTGCTGGATCACATGGTAGCTCTGTCATTAACTCCTTGAGGAACATCCATACTGTTTTCCATAGTGGGCACACCAATTTACCTTCCCACCAACCTGCACAAAAGTTCCCTTTTCTTTACATCCTTGCCAACCCTTGTAATTTTTTGTCTTTTCGGTGATAGCCATTCTGACAGGTGTGAGGTGATATCTCTTGTGGTCTTGATTTGCATTCCCCTGATGATTAGTGATGTTGAGTACCTTTTCATGCAACTGTTTCATGTATCTGTATGTCTTCTTTTGAAAAATGTCTATTCAGATCCTCTACCCATTTTTTAGTCAGATTGTCTTTATATATTTTGGGGACTTCCCTAGCAATCCAGTGGGTAAGACTTCACACTTCACTGCAGGGTGTGTGGGTTTGATCCCTAATTGGGAAAACTAAGATCCTGCATGCTTCATGGCATAGGGGAAAAAAAAGATTGTCTTTATATCTTTATATGTTATTAACCTCTTACAAGTGATTTGCATTTTCTCCCATTTGATAGGTTGTCTTTTGGTTTTTGTTGATTTCCTTCGCTCTTCAGAGATTTTTAGTTTCTTTATTTTTGCTTTTGTTGCCAAATCCAAAAAACCATTGCCAAGACTGAGTTAAGGAACTTCCTGCCTGTTTTCTTCTAGGAGTTTTATGGTTTAAGGTCTTATGTTCGTCTTCACTCCATTTGAGCTGGTTTTTCTATGTGGTATAAGATAGTGGTTCAGGTTCTTTCTTTTGCATGTGGCTGTCCAGTTTTCCCAACACCATTTATTAAGAGACTGTATATTCATGCCTCCTTTGTCATGACTTATTTGACCACAAATGTGTGGATTTATTTCAGGGGTTTTAATTTTGTTCCGTTGATCTGTGTGTCTGTTTTTATGCCAATATCATACTGTTAGATCACTGTAACTGTGTAATACATTGATTTGGCCAAAAAGTTCATTTGAGTTTCCATATGTGGTTGGGGTGGGGGGAGGAATGAACTTTTTGGCCAACTCAGTAGTTTGAAATAGGGAAGTGTGATGCCCCCAGCTTTGTTCTTTCTCAAGATTTCTTCAGCTATTCGGAAGTCTTGAGTGATTCCATACATCTTTGGAGATTGATTTTTCTATTTTTGTGAAAAATGTCATTGGAATTTTGATAGGGATTGCATTGAGTCTATAGATTCCTTTGGGTGTTACTTATTTGTGTCATCTTCAGTTTCTTTCATCAGTAGTATACAGGTCTTTCACCTCCTTGGTTAAATTTATTCCTGGTATTTTATTTTCTTTGATGTTCTTTAATCTCTTTAAGTTAGAACAGCCCCACTGCTTTTTCCCCCACCCATATTTGGATATTTTGAAGGCAGACTGGTTGTTTTATGGAACTGTCCCACATTCTGGATTTACCTGATTGTTTCCTCATGGTGGTGTCTAACTTCTGTTATCTGAATGTCCTATAAACTAGAAGTTAGGTCACACAGCTTGATGAGGTTCAGATTACACATTTTTGTCAAGAACACTTGAGAGGTGATACTGGGTGCCTCATACAGCATCACAAGGCACCCATTGTCAGACTGTCTCGTGATTGGTGATGCTAAGTCTGACCATGCGGTTAAGGTCATGCTACGAGATCTCTGCATGGTAAGTTGCCTGCTTTACTTTGCAGTGATCATTTGCTTTGTAAGGTGATTCTTTGGCAGTGTGCAGATGACACATTTTCCTGTCATCCTTTTCACCTACTTGTTTTGATACTCAGTTTTGATTCTTGCCTATTCTGTTAGAGTCACAGAATGGTACATTGCTATTTCTATCATTCTTTCTGCATTTATGAGCTGAGATTCTTCCATAAAGGTGAGCTTGTCTGTTTTAGCTGGGCTTCCCATGAGCTCTGATATCTGTATTTTTTTTTTTTATTGAAGTATAGCTGATCTACAGTGTTTTATTAATTTTTCTATACAGCAGAGTGATTCAGTTACACATATACATACATTCTTTTTCCTATTCTTTTCCTTTATGATTGATCCAAGGATATTGAATATAGTTTCCTGTGCTATACAGTAGGCCATTAATATCTGTAAATTTTTCAAATATTTATTTATTAGGCTGCCTCATGTCTTAGTTGTGGCGTGTGGGCTCTTCATTATTTTCATTATGTCTTGCGGATCTTTTGCTGCAGGGCGCGGATTCTCTAGTTGTGGCGTGCAGCCTCAGTGGTTGCGGTCCAGGGGCTTAGTTGTTCTATGGCAGGCGGAATCTTAATTCCTTGACCAGGGATTGGACCCGCGTCCCCTGAATTGCAAAGCAGATTCTTAACCACTAGACCACCAGGGACGTCTCCTGATATCTGTATTTTTAACAAGCTCCAAATGACACTGATGTTTAGATAGGTTCTAATCAGGATCTGTTGATGACATGGAAAACCCCTCATCCTAGCTCTAGGTTAACAGGAGTGTCCCTAGCAAGATAGAGGGGCTCTTCTGTGTCCAGTGCAAGAAGTACAGCTCGGCTTAATAGGAACCGAACATGGTCCAGGAGCTTCTTTCTTGGATCTTTCTCTCTGCCTCCCTCTGTATATTTGCAACTTCATTCTCTCCACAGAATGCTTTCTTTAAGGTTCTGCTTCCCTTGGTTCAGATGAGAATTTAGGCAGGCTCCAGGCCTCTTATCCGTCTGGGTGTTGTAATTCACATGCTCTCAGCAAGGAATCTGGCTCATCTCAGGAAGCTGTCCATTGACAGCAGCCAGTGGAGGAGAGCACACACATTCCCGGCCTGGGAGTTGAGGAGGGCAGGGGGGTCGAGGGGTGGAGGTGGGGCCTGGCTAAGAGCACCCCCCACTCCGCTGGTTTATTCATCTCAGGGGCTCTGTAACCCTCCAAGTACTGATTCAGACCCCTTAGAGGACAGAGACGGGCTTTGAAATGTCTCCTGACCAGATGCCCCAGAAGTTAATTCCATCTACCCCTGCCCTAAGTCTTTCTAGACCTAGGATTCTAGCACCATGGTCTGAGCAGAACTTGTCTCCCCTTCTTCCCCACAGCCTGCCGTGGAGGTGCCCCAGTATGTGGGTATCCGGCTTCTAGTAGAGGGCTCCACCATCAAGAAGCCCCTGGCGCTGTGTCACCGGCGGATGGCGGTCCGCCCAGCCCTCCCTCACTTGCTGGCCCCGAGAGGCCCTGGGGAAAGCAAGGCCTCAGGAAGCCCCGTCCACAGGTCAGCTCCTAGGAAAGGTGCTGGGGCCAGAAGCCTGGGGCACACTGAGAAGCCAGATTCCACTGCCACCACCTCAGCCCCTGGAAAGGGGAAGAAAGGCAAGGCGAGAAGTGCCACAGCCCAGGTCCGCCCCAGTCTCCGGAGGTGGGACACCCCCAGCACGAGGATGGGCTGCATCTTTAGCATGACCTTAGCCAGCAGGGACAGGCATCCCCACTCTTTGAACAGATTGCCATTGAGTCTGAAGAACCCGCAGGCCCTGAGTAAGACCCTTCCCCCCAAACACCCCAGGGCCTCAAGACAACTTTTTCCTGTTCTCCAAGCCCCTCCTGACCACCTGGGTTTGCCCCCACCCACAGCCCCACCAGAGAGTCACCAGTAGTAAGTAAAAGCACCGCTTACAAAGTATTTTTAAAAGCTGCACAACTGAATGACTGATCCACTGCCCACAAAGTAGTCACGTGGCGAGGCAGCTGTCCGCATTTTGAAGATGCCAGGCGCAGTCCCAGGTTGATCTCCCTCCAGAGCCTCAACTTTTCCTGCTGCAGTACTCTGTCTCTGCTGCCGTGCAGTTGCCTCTGGGGGAAAGGAACTGATATCTGTACAGCACATAACAGTTTAAACTGTGTCACTACCTGACCAGCTCCTTTAGTTCTCACAGCCTAGCGAGGGAGGTGCTATGATCCCCATTTTCCAGTGGGGGTATCAGGAAGTGTAAGGAAGTTGCCCGAGGCTGCACAGCTCAGAAGGGGCAGAGCTGGGATGCAGACCCGGTCTGTTGGACTTCATACCCTGTGTCCTTCCCATGGCGTCTGGAGAAGGAACGGGGTGGGCTCCACCTGCCCTCATCTCTCCCTGCCTCCCCACCCTCCACGCACACCTTGAGGGGCAGCTGGTCAGCCTCAGCCCCTCCCCAGCCCCTCACGGCCCCTCTTGCTCCCACAGCCCCTTACCACTTCCCAAGCCTCCACAGCAAGGCCCAGCTGCCTTTTCCCCATGTGCCCTGGCCCCAGGGGCAGGTCCTCAGACTACAGCACAGCAAGCTGGCGAGCACTAAGGCCCTGTCGACCACAGACAAGGCCTTGATGACTCTACCAACCGCCAAGGTTTTGATTTCCCTCCCACCTAACCCTGAGCTCAAGCTGGCACCCAACGCCCCGAAACCAAAAAAGGTGGGCCTCAAACTGTGACCAGTATCCCGCTGGGCAGTGCTGGCTACCCGGGTCAGGGCTGGAGGGCACAGCTAGAGGGTAGCCCCCAGGCTGGCCTGTGCCCCAAGGGAAGGGCTTGCATCCCTCAGGACCCCCTTCCCAGATTCCTGATCATCTCTCCTCCTTCTCCCCTCCTTTCACACGGAGGCTCTTGCTCCCCAGCGCCTTCATGGTCCCCACTTTGGAAGTAATGTGTGGTCTCAACCCTTTGAAGACGGAACTCTTCCTAGCATCTATAGGAAGAGCAAGATCAAAGGCAAATGCAAGGCCAGACTCTGTGACAGACCAAAGGCCGAGACACACCTCATGACGACACGGAGCCTTCCAGGACCCCTGGCCCTTATCACAGAGCGGGGTTTGGAGGGCACAAAGGACACGTGGCCACAGAAGCACTTGCTTCCATCATCACCGCCCTTACCCTGGATGCAGCACCAAATAAAAAAGAGCAAATGAAGTCTTCGAGGCTTGGCTCCTTTTCTATTGGAGGGTGAAGAGGGTATAGTGTGACCCTGTACTCCAAGGCCCAGGACAAGAGCCAGAGGCTGTCAGCAACTCCCCCCCCCCCCCCCCCGCCCCCAAGCACAGCCCCGCACTCCCACCCAGTGACAACAGGAGACTCAGCGGAGAAGAGTGGACCTTGCTAAAACCCCAGCCCCTCTCCTGAGGGAGTGGGCCCATCCCTTCCTCTGCAAGGGGCCAGGTCACCTCAAAAGGAAATATCCAACAAGCCCCTCTCATCTGAAAAAAGCTCAACATTCTTTAGTTATAATGGGTTGAATGTTGGTATGCCTTCCTAGAACCTGTGGATATGTCTATTTGGAAAAAAAGGCCTTTGCAGATGTAAGTTAAAGTACAGATTTTGAGAAGAGATCATCCAGATGGGGCCTCAGTCCAATAACAAGTGTCCTTACAAGAGACTGAAGAGAAGACAAGAGAGGAGGAGGCTGTGTGGAGACAGAGGCAGAGGTTGGTGTGATGCGGCCCCAAGTCAGAGGGTGCTTGAGCCACCAGAAGCTGGAAGAGGTAAGGAAAGATTCTCCCGTAGAGTCTTTGGGTAGAGCACAGCCCTGTCAACACCTTGATTTTGGACTTCCAGCCTCTAAAACTGGGGGAGAGAATCCATTTTGTGCTATTTTAAACCATTCAGGTTATGGTAAAAATAAGTTTTTTTTTTCCTGTTTTTTGGCCTCGCTGTGTGGCACATGGGATCTTAGTTCCCCGACCAGGAATTGAACCCATGCCCCCTGCCGTGGAAGTGCAGTGTCTTAACCACTGGACCTCCAGGGAAGTCCCCAGGTTGTGGTAATTCATTGCAGCGGCCCTAGGAAACTAACACACTAGTCAAATCAAGATAAATACACTCTGATCCAGAAATTATTGCACGGCTGAATGAGAAAACGCAGACAGGCAGACCCACAGCAGCACTGTGGTCACAGCCTATGACCTAAGTGTCCCATTAACATTGGGTGGATAGACTGCAAGCCCCAGCATTCCAACTCCATGCCACACAACGGATGCATTTCCCAGGGTGGAGCGAGAACAAGTCACAAAAGGATATATACAGCACAGTTCCATTCCACAGGAGTTTAAGAAACAAGCAAAACAAAATACATTGTTTAGGGATGCATTTGTATGTGGTAACACTTTAAAAAAACAGACAAGGAAAGAATTCTCTCAAGTCGGGGGGAGTGGTTTCCAACTGTGACTATATAATAGTGCCCATTCTGGAGTTTTTAAAAAAGATATCTCTATCCCAGACTGGTAAAAGTATCTTAGGGGTGTAGTCAGGGGAGGCATGGGGATTTCTTTTTTTTAAAAGCTTTCTGAGGGGGCAGGGTAGGGGTTCTAACGTGGGGCCAGGGCTGAGAACGGCTGTGTTCTAAGATAGGAGAAGGATGCCTCTGGTGCCAAGTGGTGGTTATGTGAGTGTCACGTGACAGTTATTCTTTAAATCACAGAGATGTTTTACGCACTCTGTATGTTTGAGTATGTTACACGGTTTTTTAAAGTAAAGGATCTAACATCTAAATGAGTAGTCAAATTCATGGAGACAGAGAACAGTGGCTACTGGGGCTGAGGTGGGTAGGGGATGGGCAGTTGGTGTTTAAGGAAAACAGAGTTTCTGTTTGGGTGGATGAGAAAGTTCTGCAGTTAGATGCAGAAGATGCTTGCATCACCATGTGAGTGTACTTAATGCCACTGAACTATACACTTAAAAATAGTGAAGATGGTAAAGTCTACTAAGTGTATTTTAGCACAAATTAAAGAAAAAAAAAAAAACTCTTAACATTTTCTCAGCTAGAATTGGGCCAGAAGCAGCCAAACATAAAGACCACATGTTGAGCTCGGCAGAAAGCACAGTCCATGATAAACATTTTCTTTCTCAGCAAATCCTGAAAACGATCCTGTGAGGTAGGTACTTTTATTATTTCAAGCCCAGAGAGGTGAGGTCATTTGCCCAACACCACACAGCAAATGGCCTTAGGATGCAATCTCAGATCTATCCCACTAGAGCGCCCAGCATCTGACACGGTGGTCTGACTGCATGCTGAGCACTGACCACACTCTTGGGCCTGACCGCAGCCCATTCGCCTCCCACCCCAGCTGCTTTCCAGCAAGACTATTGGTAGTGGAGCCCCAGGCACTGCAGGGTCCTGGAGAAGTAAGAGGGCAGAGGAGCCAGAAGCTCAACGGGTGGGTCCCTGGGCCTGGCGCCTGGGAGGTGAAGACAGTGCAGATGGAGGTGCAGGGGCAACCGGGCGGCCTGGGAGGGGGTCAGGCAGAGGCGGCCAAGGAGGGCTTCATTCAGGACCTGGGGGTGGAGAGACGTGTCAGCATCCAGCCAGGTGAATTCCAAGCAGCACTCAGCAAAACAGGAGCAAGGCAAATACTTTGTCCTCCCTCTGCATCTGTGTTCTGCGTGCCTCTGCACATGTAAATACCTTCACACTCACACACACACTCACACTACAGTAGCATAGACCAGCTAGGGGTCACCAAATCAGCTTCCTAGGCATTTCGCTAAACTGCATTCCCCAGCCCCTCCTGCAGGTTGGGGAGGCCGTGATTGAGCCCCACTCAGCGCAACAGGAGTGTTGAGTATGTGTCCCGCTTCCTGACGTGGCCCGAGAAACCGCCCCCCACTTCCACGAACCTGCCCTGTCTCCTCTGCTGACCAGATGGGCAGCAGCCAGGGGCCACCCAAGTGACCGGAGCAAAGCCTGCCCCTACCCCATCCCATTAACTGGACTTCACACAGAAGGAACTTGTTGTGTTAATACTCTGGTACTTGAGGTTTTTCTGTTAAAGCAGATAGTGTTACCAGAATACACACACACAACCTCTTACACCCACTATAGAATGGCAGGCTTAGAAGGACCTTTAAAAATCAGCTGGTTTGATTTCCTCATTGAACAGAAGAGACCCATAAGAGAGGGTGTCACTTGGGTCTGGTAGCTTTGGAAGCCCAAGTTGTGTAGCTGACGTCTGGAGGTGCTATCCATCCCTCCACCCCAGAAGGCCGCAGGCAGGTGAGCTTGGGTACCTGTCTTTGGGGCCTGGTGCTCTCAACAGGCAGAAGAAAGCGCTGGCCCAGGACAGTGCCCACGCGGGCAGAGTATGTGTGATCCCCAAGCACAGGGCAGAGCTGCAGGGCCATGTGTGCCTGTAGCTGGCTGGGAAACACTAGAAGACAGGAGAGATGGGACAGTTGGCAGGCAAGCAGTTCATTTCGTCCCACCCAGTACTGCCGCACCCCTCCCCCACCTTGCTCTGGGGCAATGCCACCCCCATTCTCAGATGGTGTGGTTTCAGTGAGGTGGACACTACCACCCCAGCCTCTGAAGCGAGGTAGGGTCAGGCAGAGCTGTCAAGCCACCAGCTTTGCAGGACTCATCCATGAAGAGACACAACCCTGAATTTTTTGTAATGCTTCTGGGAATGAAGAGCACTCTTTCCTGCTGTGGAGTGAGCCTGGAGCTACTGGAGCACCTGCATCTGCCTCCATGGGGGACAGCTGCTGCTCCTATGGGAGGAAGAAGCCAGCACACAGGAGGTGGAAAGAGAGGAAGGAATGGCTTTCTGATGATGTCCTCCAAGCCTGGATGCAGCCAAGCCCGAACTACTTTTTTTTTTGGCTGCACTGGGTCTTCACTGCTGCCTGTGGGCTTTCTCTAGTTGTGGAGAGTATGGGCTTCTCATTGCGGTGGCTTCTGTTGTGGAAAACGGGCTCTAGGGTGTGCAGGGTTTCAGGAGCTGCAGCACGCAGGCTCGGTATTTGCGACTTGCTGGCTCGAAGGGGTGAGGGCTTCAATAGCAGCACAGGGACTCATTGGCTGTGGCTGGTGGGCCCCCGAGTAGGCACAAGCCTGAACTTCTAAGTTATATGAGTCAATAAATTGCTCTTTTGGGTGATACCAACTTGAACTTGTTTTGGGGAAACTTAATGGGCATGAAATGGTTCACATATGTAAACTTACTAATACTCCTGAAAACCCTGTAATGTGAGACCTAGCATCATTCCACCTTATAGACAGGAAAACCGAAGCTCAAGAAGTAACCAGCCCACCACAGACTGGGATGCAAACCCAGGAACTGTCCCGTCTACTTTCATGTCTGGCAATAGGGTGGACTGTGTAATTTAAAAACCCATCTTTTACTAACCACCTAGAAACACTGGAAAACTGTAACAATCATCCTTTTAAATACACAGCTGGACACAGGGGAAAGTAAAGTCCCCTGGATGAAAATACAAAAAACAAATCCAGAGCACAAGAGAGTCAACATTTCACCTCTTCTAGGGGTATTTCCAATCTTGGGGCCAAGGGGGCTTGGGTTTAAGTAGTGACAAGGGGCCAGGGATGAGGCTGTGGTGCCCAAATGAAATCTGAGAGGCTACATCTTCTGTGCAAGGGTGGGCTAGGAGAAAAAGCCAGCCACCAAGGAAGGCAGATGAGCTCTGTAGGTATGGATGAGGGGAATGAAGATGAACTCCCAACTGTGAGCTGCTCTCACACAGGGTTGGGGTTCTAATACCACTTGAGTGATCTGTGAACTTCCAAATGAGGTGTTAATCTCTAGGTCCTGAAGCAGCGATGTGAGCCTACTCAGCAGAAGCAAGGCAGAACCTCTCAAGTCCCCACCGCCAATGAGGCAGTAAAGGATTTCCACAGATGAAGATGAAGCACAACCTGGACCACAGAGCAATAAGGAGACATTCCACCAAGGGGAGCAAGTCTGCGGAAATCACAACAGAATTAGACCCTTAGAATCTCAAGACAAAAGAATGATAGAAACACCATATAGGTGTGCTTTAAATGAGTAAAGACAAACAAGAACAAGTAATGAGAGAAAAAAACAGATGCCATCGCTAACTGGGTTCAAGGCTAGGAGAATGGATGGATGACAAGCACAGGGAAGGAGCTCATCAACAAAGAGGCTTGCCCAGAGCATGGACCTTCAGTTGGTGTGTGTTCTTGGCCATTTGGGATTTATAGGTAAAGAAAAAGCTGACAGATCAGCAAGAGAAGGTGCGAAGCAATCTGAAGACTGACCAGGTCATTTAATTCTTGGAAAAACCTGAGTCAGTGGCGTTGGTCACCTTTACTTACTGGTATGAAAAATAAAACCACAGGATGGACCACAGCAATCGGTGAGCAGACAAAACTTTAAATCAGAAAGGCAGGGTGGTGGTCCATGGTATGTGCCGTAAAGGTGGTTAGATGTGTAATAACTTGATCTCAGATCTAAGATCCTTTGAGATCTGAGATTTTAGCATCATGCTTTATTGGGTTTGAATACTGTTCTCATTAGTTTTATTACAGTCTAGACAAAAATGTTAGGACTTTGGGAATTCCCTGGTGGTCCAGTGGAATTCCATTTGGAATTCCAGTGCTCTTCCATTTCTGTGGGTCTAGGTTTAATCCCTGGTCAGGGAACTATCCCTCAAGCCATGCCATGCAGCCAAAAAAAAAAAGGGGCTGATTTAATAAGAATGAGCAAAACATTGGTTAAAAAATGCAGGCAAGGGCTTCCCTGGTAGTCCAGTGGTTAAGAATCTGCCTTGCAATCAATAGACACAGGTTCCTGGTCAGGGAAGATCCCACATGCGGCAGAGCAACTAAGCCCATGAGCCACAACTACTGAGCTGCAACTAGAGCCCATGCTCTGCAACGAGAAGCCACCGTAATGAGAAACTCGACCACCACAACAAAGAGAAGCCCTCACTCTGCAACAGGAGAAGCCCACGCGCAGCAACAAAGACCCACCACAGCCAAAAACTAAAAACAAATCAGTCTTTAAAAAAAATGCAAAATAAAATACAATTTTAAAAAATGCAGGCAATAAGTCTAGAAGTATTCTAAGAGTTCATTTACCTTGCAGTTGGCAGGATTGAGTCACGATTTTCAGGCTGACTTGTGCCTTTGTGTGGACTGGAGGAAAGCACTGCTCCCTTGCTGGGTGCAGTCCTGCCAGGGCCCACACGTCAGCAGAGAGAATATGGGCTGGTCTGTAACACAGCTACCTGCACATGGGCAGCCCTCGCTGCTTGACTGTTAGACAGGAACACTCACAACTTTTGAAGACCAAAGATTGTAAATAAATGTTTTAAAATTTGGGGGGGGGAGGCTATTTTTGTTAAAAGCATTATGCAAATTAAAAACAGTTTGATGTGAAAGAAAAAAGATGCCTTCTTTTTTTAAAAGGCCATCTGTATTTGTAAAACAACCAACTTGAATTTGTAGACACAAACAGTACAATCAATGTAGGTTAAACTAGCAGGTTAGATCCAACTGAAGAGAAAATTACTCAGCTGGAAAGTACGTCTGAAGATTACCCAGAATGCGGCAAAGATAAAGACATGAAAAATATGGAAGAAAAGTTGAGACATAGCAGGTGAATGAGAAACTCAGACACTATCAGGCATTCAAAAGGGAGGATGCAAGAGGCACATTTGAAGAACTTTTCAGGATGGATTAAACAGTTTAATCTTCAGATTCAGCGAACACACTGAATCCCAAGAAATAAAACTAGCCCCCCCCAAAAAAAAAAACTAAACCCACACACCTGGATTCGTCACAGTGAAGCTGCTGCTGCTAAGTCGCTTCAGTCGTGTCCGACTCTGTGCGACCCCATAGACGGCAGCCCACCAGGCTCCCCCGTCCCTGGGATTCTCCAGGCAAGAACAGTGGAGTGGGTTGCCATTTCCTTCTCCAATGCATTAAAGTGAAAAGTGAAAGTGAAGTCGCTCAGTCATGTCCGACTCTCAGTGACCCCATGGACTGCAGCCCACCAGGCTCCTCCGTCCATGGGATTTTCCAGGCAAGAGTACTGGAGTGGGGTGCCATTGCCTTCTCCACACAGTGAAGCTAGAGAACATCAAAGGTAAAGAGAAGATGCTGACAGCAGTAAGAAAAAAAATAGGTGAGTTGCAAAGGGGTGACCGTCAGACTGACAGGAGAAGCACTGCCCCCTCCAGGTGGAGCTGGTCACATACATCCTTGCAGTCCATCAAAGACTTCCCGGGCTGCCACTGAAACTACCACCTTCCTCCCATCGCTTGCCTCCCCAACCAAATAGAGTTTGTCAAGTCTGGCTGGAGCTCCAGACCCACCTGTCAGTGGCTGCAGCTGGACCAGGGCACAGCCAGAGCCCGTGGCAACCACACGGAAGTGGCTAAGGGTCCTCTTGACACCTTCCATGATGTCCTTTCGGGATGGGGATTGCACTGGAACAACCTGTGGTGTCAGCCCCCAAGAGTGAGCAAGCTTCACACACACCTGGGAGCTGCCCCCCAACCCTCCCTGTTCCCACCAGACTGAGGACAGGGCCACAGTATAGGCAGTCGTCATTCACCTTTTTAGGGGAATGAAGGGCCAGCCACCCCATATCTATACCCTTGACTCTTCTTGAGGGGTATATGTCTGAGGGTCCCCTCTTCCCCACCCAGGCCCTGACTCACGAGATGGACCCCATCAATGTGTTCCAGTTTCAGAGCTGCTTGGATCTTCCCTTCAGAAGTAACTGGGATCCCATCAGTGACAGCACTGAGAAAGAGGCAGGAGGAGGTCACAGAGTCATTTGCTGGGACGTCCCCGCTGCCCTGGAGCCTCCCAGCCCTTCTCACCAGTAGGTGGCTGTGGGTCTCCTGGCTCTCTGTGAGTGAGTGAAGAACTTCTGGAGGCGGCTTGCTGTCCGGGGACAACTGGAGAGGAGCACAAGCCCAGAGGCCTCCCTGGAGAAAGGAGACAAATCACAGAAGTTAAAATCCCTTGGGATCGCCCGCGAAGAAAGGAGACCCTGAGGAAGAAACGCGGACCTGCTGAAGACTGAAGAGTAACATCTGGGCTACAACACAGACCTCCTCTTGAGAAACAAGTAAGTCTTCCCCGTGTTTGATAATAAGGGTACATAGCTTAAACGTGTTTCTCATTTTGCTCTGGCTCCCAGGGAGCTCAGAGCCAAACGTCATAACAGTTACCACCAACTGCTGACTGTCTACCAGTAGGCCTTCTACTAGGAATTTCACATATATTAGCTATTAAATGGGTTTTTCTGGTGGCTCAGGTGGTAAAGAATCTGCCTGCAATGTCAGAGATCCGGGTTCGATTCCTGGGTTGGGAAGATCCCTTGGAGAAGGGAATGGCTCAATTCCCCACAAACAAGCTTATGAGTCTGTGCAATTGCAGAAACATCTTATCTCAAGCACCATCTCTAACGATGGGTATTAGAGGAAAGAATTTCACAGATCAGTTAAAAATGCCGGCTATGAATACTGGACTGGAGAAGTGACTATACACTGGGCACAGATGTCATGAGTTCTGTTTTGTGATTAAAGAAACTAAGGCTCAGTTACACCTAGGATCAGTTTGTGCATAAGGATTTGAACCCAGATCTGGGTTCCAGATCCACTTCCTCCTCTTTTTCCTTGTTTCCTACCTCTGTGATCCCAAAGCAGACAGTGGAAAATGTCTGTTTATTTCTAAGTAGCTCTGCCCCCATCCCAAATAGATGCTTATCTTCCTACCTTCCTATCACCTCCACCACTTACTTCCCAGATGCTCGGACAACCTGGAGCTCCTGCTCCCCGAGCCCCAGGGACCGGCTCAGTTCTGGCAGCACTGACAGCAACGTCAGCTCTCCTGGTTTTCCTATGGAAAAAGAAGGAAGACTACAAGTTGCTCTCAGAGACAACATCTCTTCTCTTCAATATTGTCTGCTCTCAGACACATCAAAACCCCCTTCACTGCATCTCTTTTCCCTGCCATACCTGTCACTGGCAGACCCTGTGGCTTGTTCAATGTCACCAGAGGTCCTGAAACATATAATATATAAACGTCAGCAACAGCAAAAGCAGTTTACAAAGACTTTCTCAATTCATATTATCATGTGGTCCCAATACAACTCTCATACAGGAGTTATCAACCACACCCTGAAATAAACTTCTTTCTGAAACTTGCATATGCTCAGCTTGCTGCCTCAACCTCAGGACCTTTGCACTTGTTGCTTTCCGTGTCTCAGATTTTCATGTGGCTTGCTCCTTATATCATCATGGCTCCAATATGATCATCACAAAGAGGCCTGAGTCTCCAATCTGATGTCTGCTCCTTTCTTGCAGATCTTTACCATCGCTGTTTTATTAACAGTGCCGATCACTAGTAAGTACTTTTTTCATTTATTTTCTGGTTAATCATTTTCTCCCACTGAAATGCTGGCTCCCTGAAGGCAGGAACCATATTTATTTTGTTCAGCAGTAGACAGCCATGTTCTAGAGCAGTGCCTGGAACACAGCCTATGCTCAATAAATAGCTGAGAAAATTCATAAGTCACTGGAGATTGAGGCATAGAGACATTGTTATTTTCCTAAAGCCACACAGCAAGCTGATTACAGAACTAGATATTACTCCAAAGCCCGTTTTGTCCCTCAATATATTAACACTTTACTGAGAGCCTACTAATACAAAGCTCTCTAGTTATACTCTCCCTCCCCACAGCTGTATCCCATGATGCTGAGGCAGAGAGAGTATGTGGCTGGTCCCAGCTAGTGAGGTTCGTGAGAGGGAGAACCAGGATTTGACCCCACAGGTTTTAGTAGGGTACCGAACCAGAGCCTCAGAAGGCTCGGGTGAAGACTCCTCCCCTTCCGGGTCTCTCGGCACCTGTCCCTCCCACCCCTCACACCTTTACGGTCCACCACAGCCGCCCTCAATACATCGACCAGTTCTTCCCGACTGAAGGTCTCTGGTCTCAGCAGTCCTGGGAAAGGCTGGTCACCCGGGGGATCCGACGGTTTGCTGGCGCCTCGACGTTGCAGCTGATGCCTGGGAAGGCTAGGTAAACAATAGGGGAATTACTGCTTCCGGTAGTGCTGCTCATTCTTATCTCCACACACATCTTCCCAAACCCTGCGGCTTCTTTTGAATCCTCCAGGAAGCCTGGATTGAGCTTCCCGAAATCTCAGGTTCGATTGGCCCCAATGTACAGAAGAGAAAACTGAGGTTCAGAGAGGTCGACGGCTAGTTTAGTGTCACACAGCAGAGATGAATTAGAACCCATATCTACCTAACTCCAGATCCCGCACACAACCTCTCCTAGCCCGTCTCCCTTCTACACAAAGCGGGGCGGGGGTTGTGTAATCACCGGGCCTTGGTGCCAAAGCCTGCGGCTGTGGGCGTTGCACGGATCCCCAGACCCCGCCGCCAGCCACCCCAGGCCTGACCCAAAACCCGACAGCCACCCATCTCCGGAGCGAAGACTGTGTGCATGTGTCCGGAAGGGCTGCCCCGGGATCTCCCACAGCACGCTGATTGGTCAGATTGACTGTCAATCGGAATAACGAGGCTCCCGAGTGGTGAGAAAGCGGAGTTTGGCTTTCACCCGGGAAGGAAATGCAGACGTTCACGATCTGTGATTTTGAGGAAACCGAGGCACAGAGCCGAGGTAGTATTTACTGCAGGTCAGAGGACCGGTATTAGCACAAAGCCAAGTTTTCTGCTCATCACTGCAATTCTTTGGAGTCTTCTGACTTAAAAATAAAAAACCGCCACTGCACAATTTTGTAAGGCAAATTGGAATAAAACAAAATCCTCACTCATTTGTCTAGTGAACCTACTTCAAAGAATACAGCCTGGTGCATAATCCAAAAGCGAAAAAAAAAAAGCCAAAGGCAGAAACAGGTTCACTACAGCATTATTTATAAAGGTAAAAATAAATCTAAAAACTGTAAAATTGTCCTGTGATTAGATGCGTAAGGACATAAATTCACCCATTCAACGTTTTTTGAATGCTAACTCTATGCTATGCCTTGGCATCTGTGAACTGGAAACAGATTAACAAAGAGGCAACTAAGATCCTTCATGCCAGGGCATGCAGCCAAAACAACAAAAAAAACTAAGCCAAAATATAAAAGACTATGATTCATTAAAAAAAATTTTTAAATAATAAAAATAAGTAGAAGATTTTAAATGACCGAATTTAGTTACATGACCTTTCGGAAAAGTCTGGTTGACAATGACAAGGGCTAGAGTGGGTGAGGGAATGAGAATCTACTAAAAATGGGCATAAGGGAACTTTTTGGTGTGCAATGATTACATATCTGTATAAATCTGCCAAAAACTTACTGAACTAACTACCTTAAAAGGGTAGATTTTATTGGATGTAAATTATACCTCAAGAAACTTAATTTTTTTAATTCAAAGATTTAAGTAGTCAATTTTTAAAAATAATTTTTAAGTTGATGTGTTGTATTTTCATTTTTATTCAGTTCAAGAAGTTTTCTTTTCTTTTTTTTTCCTTTGGCACTACGGCATGAAGGATCTTAGTTCCCTGAGCAGGGATGAAACACACCCTCTGCAGTGGAAGTGTGGAGTCTTTTAACCACTGGACTGCTGGGGAAGTCCCTAAATAGTCAATTTTTAAATAAATCTGCACAAATTCAGACAGGACTGGCAAGAAATTTGGCAAGGATGCAAGTGATTTTATCTTGTTTGGGGCTGAGACATAAGTGTGCTGTGTCAAAAGGCCCCACAGTATTTTAGAACCCCTCTTCTGAAAGATCTCCTGTGCATTCATAATTTGCAGCCTGAATAAAGACGGAGGGACAGAACACAACCTACTTTGCCGACAGCAGACCTCTCCTCCACTGGCCCAGCTTGGCCCCAGGAAGGGCCATTCCCCCACTTGGACTGGCCCCTGGCCCTGTTTGAGGCTTGAGCTCCCTTGCTCTTTGGAATTTTCCCTCCACACGCCCCAGCCTCATCAAAGTCTGCCCTCTACTGTTCACTGCCTAAAACTGATGTGACTCCATTAATCTCCAAGCTTCCCGAAGGAAAGAAAGAAAACTAATTTTCCCTAGTCTGAGAGGGCTCAGTGCAAAGAAACAGTGATGAGCCATTTAAGACTCACATGTGAAACTCAGATTGTCAGGAGGAAGGTAAGTTGGGCCACCTCCAGCCCAACTCAGTTTATGACTAACTTCAGAAGAAGAGCAGGGAGGCCACAGCCTCAGCAAGAGTTGAAAGGGAATAGTTTCTCTGCTGATGTAAACATCATGCCTCATGCCAAAGGCCCACCCCATGGACCCAGGACAGCACTGAGCCAGCCCTCCAGCCATAAATGCAAGAGCAGGAAAGCCCAGAATAGAAATATGCTTTGCTAGCTCTGGCAGCTTCTCCTACACATGGCTGCAAGGTATGGGTTGGCTGCAGGGAATGGATCAGCTGCCAGAAATAACCCTTTACAAAAAAAAAAAGAAATAACCCTTTACACTTTAACTTTGGTAACACAGGCCTTTATCTTAGTATTTAAGCCAGGTAGGTCTTATAGTTAGTCAGAAATGACACGTATTTGAATCTGAGAGACAGACTAAAGCACATTCACCTAAAAACTTAGCCTTCCATGCTTGTCTTGTTTGAGTTGCCCGATACTGAAAAATGCCACCTTTGCTGAGAAACTAACACTTTGTGGCTACCCAAGAGTGCATTTTGAAATCCTAAGACTGAACCTTCTGAACACAAAAGAAAAACTGTCTAGCAAGGTAGGAAGGCTTCGATGGAGAGTTGCATTGCAGATTGACTAGTCCTGTCCCACTTACACACTTAAAAGATTGTAATAAAATATAACATTGAGAAGTTAGAAGAGTGCCTTCATCCCACCCTCCCAATCAAAGCCCTTCTTCTTTTTTAAAAAAATTTTTAAAAATTGAAGTATAGTTGATTTCAAGATGGCTCAATGGTAAAGAATCTGGTTGCCAATGCAAGAGACGCGGGTTCTATCCCTGAGTGGGAAAAATCTCCTGGAGCAGGAAATGGCCACCCACTCCAGTATTCACGCCTGGAAAATTCCATGGACGGAGGAGCCTGGGGGCCCTCTGGGGCCAACAGGATCACAAAGATTTGGACACAGTTGAGCACAGGCACATAGCTGATTTACAGTGTTGTGCTAGATTCTGGTGTACAGCAAAGTTATTCAATTAGATATATTTTCAAGAGTACATATCTAATATATATATATATATATATATATATATCAGATTCTTTTCCATTATGTGTTATTACAAGATATTGAACATAGTTCCCTGTGCAGTAGGACCTTGTCATTTATCTATTTTATATATCTGTATATATGTATCTGTTAATCTCAAACTTTGCATTTATCCCTTCCTGCCTTTACCCTAACCATAAATGTGTTTTCTTTTTCTTCTTTAAAATTTCATCTATTTATTTTTGGCTACACTGGGTCTTTGTTGCTGTGTGCTGTCTTTCTCTCGTTGCGCTACAAGGAAGGTATTCTAACTGCGAAGGCTTCTGTTGTTGCAGGGCACAGGCTGTGGGGTACCCTGTCTCAGTGGTTTCAGCTTTCGGTCTCTAGACGGCTAGCTCAGTAGTTGTGGCACAGAGGCTTAGTTGCCCCTAGCCTGTGGAATCTTCCTGAACCAGATTCCAGCCCATGTCGCCTGCATTGGCAGACAGATTCCTAACCACTGGATCACCAGGAAAGTCCATAAGTGTGTTTTCCATGCCTGTAGATCAGTTTCCGTTTTGTAAATAAGTTCATTATATCATGTTTTTAGATTTCACATATAAGTGATAACAAAAAAATTGGTTTTCCCCTGTCTGACTTATTTCACTTAGTGTGGTAATCTCTAGGTCCATCCATGTTGCTACAAATGGCATTATTTCATTCTTTTTTATGGCCGAGTAGTATTCCATTTTATGTATATACCACATCTTTATCCATTCATCTACTCATGGTTACTTAGGTTGCTTCCATCCCTTAGCTATTGTAAACAGTGCTGTTATGAACACAGGGGTACGTGTATCTTTTCAAATTTTCTATCTCTTCCAGATGTATTCCCAAGTGGGATTGCTGGATGATATGGTAACTTTATTTTTAGTTTTTTAAAGTGAAGTGAAGTGAAAGTCGCTCAGTCGTGTCCAACTCTTTGCAACCCCATGAACTATACGGTCCATGGAATTCTCCAGGTCAGAGTACTGGAGTGGGTAGCCTTTGCCTTTTCCAGGGGATCTTCCCAATCCAGGGATCAAACCCAAGACTCCTGCATTGCAGGCAGATTCTTTATCAACGGAGCCACAAGGGAAGCCCAAGAATACTGGAGTGGGTAGCCTATCCCTTCTCCAGAGGATCTTCCTGACCCAGGAATTGAACCAGGGTCTCCTGCATTGTAGGCGGATTCTTTACCAAATGAGCTATCAGGAAGCCCTTAGTAAGGAAACCTCCATAATGGCTGCACAATTTAAGTTCCCACCAACAGTGTAGGAGGGTTCCCTTTTCTCCATACTCTCTCCAGCATTTATATTTGTAAACTTTTTGATGATGGCTATTCTGACTGGTGTGGGGTGATACCTCATTGTAGTTTTGATTTGCATTTCTCTAATAGTTAGCAATGTTGAGCATCTTTTCATGTGCCCATTCGCCATATGTATGTCTTCTTTGGAGAAATGTTTGTTTAGATCTTCTCAATTTTTGATTTTTTTTTATGTCGAGCTGTATGAACTGTTTGTATATTTTGGAGGTTAAGCCCTTGTTGGCCTCATTGTTTGCAAATATTTTCTCCCATTCCAGAGGTTGTCTTTTCATTTTGTTTATTGTTTCCTTTGCTGTACAAAAGCTTTTGAGTTTAATTAGGTCCCATTTGTTTATTTTTGCTTTTATTTCCATTACTCTAGGAGATGGATCCAAAGAAAATATTGCTGTGTTTTATGTGAAGGAGTGTTCTGCCCATGTTCTCCTCTAGAAGTTTTATAATGTCTAGTCTTACATTTAGGTCTTTAATCCATTTTGAGTTGCCTTTTGGGTATAGTATTAGAGAATGCTCTAGTTTTGTTCTTTTACATGGAGCTGTCTAGTTTTCCTAGCACCACTTATTGAAGACACTGTCTTTTCTCCATTATATATTCTTACTTCCTTTGTTAAAGATTAATTGACTGTAGGTGTGCCAATTCTGGGCTTTTTATTCTGTTCCATTGATCCCTATGTCTGTTTTTGTGCCTATTTTGTGCTGTTTTACTGTAGCTTTGTAGCACTGTCTGAAGTCTGGGAGGGTTATGACTCCAGCTTTATTCTTTTATTGCTTTGGCAATTCTAGGTCTTTTGTTGTTCCCAATCAAAGCCCTTCTGGTAGGCAAATTTACTTGGAAACTGTCACTTACCATCTTGGTTACACAGTCTACTTAAGTCTAGTACTAGTTTCGGAATTAACTGCAATTTTGTTTTTGTTTTTTTTGTGGAAAAAGTGCTATTTCCTATAACCCCACATTATGGAGAATGGTTTGACAACAGAGTTCTGTCTTCCCTTAGACCTTTCCAGATAGAACCATACTCTCACCTTGCAAAGAACAGAAGCACAGAAAATGTATCAGCATATATAGTTTATTGTGATCGCTCTAATATCTTACACAAGTGGGTTGACTCAGGAGCATTTGAGATGAGAGACTGGGAGGCAGGTAGTGTAATGAAAGTAGCATGTGAAGACAGCTTGCTGAGGGGCAGCCTCCCTGCCATTGCCTGCTAGTGACTAGTCTTAGTCCGCTAAGCTACCTGGGGCAGGAAGGAGTCAGGCCAGGCCAAGAGCCCTCCATTCTCCCTCGGCTGGCCCAGCCCAGGTTTCAGGCCCTTCCCCCCACTTCCTCATTCATGGTCCCGTAGAGCTGAGGGAGATGTGGGAAGGTAAGAAGCTCTCTAAGCTGCCAGGCTTGTGGGTGCTACCGGCTGAGCATGGGGTCCCCAGTCTGGTCCTTGGCTGGGCTTTCACTGCAGCATCTTCAGACTGGTTGGGATGAGGGATGTGGCTTTGCCCTTGGGGGGCTGTCCCCGCTCTGTGGCATCCAGGAGCTGCTGCAGGTAACAGGAGGTGCCGAGCAGCATGTGGCCTGTGGCCCGCATGCCGAAGAGGGCCCAGTGGAGAGCTTCCCTGGGTGGAATGCGAAGGCGTTAGGGTCAGAACACCAAGAAAACCCCTTCCTGCCTCCTCTAAATGCCTGCTCCCCCAGGCTCTGTTTCATAAACTGCAGAGTGAGGTGCAAAGAGAACAGATGTTGCCTTCCCTCAGCAGATGGGACAGGGTCTGCCTTAACTGAGATGACTACGTATTCTCCTGCAAAATTCAATTAATTTTTCTAATACTGTTGGATCTTTGGATCAGCCAGATAGATGATTAGATGGATCTAATAACTTTGGATCAGCCAGATGGATCTACGTCACATGACTCTGCCCATTCATCACCTCTGTTCTAGACAGAAGTGTTACCAAGACATTTGTAATCTAGGTAGTTTTCAGAGTGCTGGATGCGACAATCTCCCTGCCTGGCGCTGCGGTGCACTGACAGAACTCCAGTCAGACAGGCTTGAGTTCTCACCCAGTCTCACCAGCTGTGACTAGCATGGCAAACTGCTATAGCTCTGAGCTGCACCAGCCTCATCTGGGTCACACCACTTTGATCCCACACCGGGTTAAGGAGGTTGAAATAGTATAAATCGTTTAATACGGGGCCTGATGTGTAGAAGAAGAGGGGAGACGTGGGGTCAAGACTAGGTGGTTGAGTGCTTGACTACTTTAACCAAATTCTCATCCAAATCTGTTTGAAAGAGGGTCACCACAGGTGTCTAGTCCTAGTGGGGAGAAGAAAACAAAAGGAAAATGAATTCTTCCTGGCTGACATTAAAATTTGTCTTCTGTTAACCTTCATTCAATAAATGAAACTTATGATTGAGGTGGAGGGGGATAGAAAGACAGTTTGAACCATGAACATCTGTACAGGAAAATCCTTCAGAAATTTAAAGGCTGTACCTGAGAAGAATACCCATTTCTCAGATTAGAGATTTGAGGCTTCAAACTAGCCATCTGGACATAGATAGGAATGAAATTCTGACACATGCTACAATATAGATGAACTTTGAAAACATGATGCTAAGTGAAATAAGCCAGACACCAAAGGGCAAGTGTTGTATGATCCTACTTACATGAGTTGCCTACAATAAGAAAATTAACAGAGCCAGGAGAACAGAGGTAAGTATGGCTGGGCAGGGCGGACACAGTGAGTATTTAATGGGTACAGAGTTATAGTTTGGGATGATGAAAAGTTCTGGGAAATGTATGTACAAGTGACCATTGCACAATATTATGAATGTACTTAATGTCACTGAATTTTATACTTAAAAAAAAAAAAAGTGGTTAAAATGGTAAACTTGATGGTATGTCTATTTTACCACCATTAAAGAAAAAACACTTACTGACACCCTTAAATCATTCCAGGGATTCCAGCTCGCTATCATTATTGTTTTTCGGTACCAGTATGCCTTACTGTGTTTAGGTCAGAGTCCCACTTCCCCTAGACGGATGGAGTTTAAAGACTAAAACTTCTTGCTCTAGATTTTGCAACCTGCAGACTGTTGGCAGCAAGCCCAGATCAAGAGGGGACATGATATGGGGCAGGAGGAAAATGGAACGTCTTGCCACAGAACCAGGCCTAAGCCTGCCGCTGAGCGTCATCTGTGGCAGGCAGGACCCCGCAGCCTCAGGTCCCTCATTGCAGACTGCAAATGCAGAGAATAAACTCGGAAAGCCAAGAAAGTCTGCTATGCTCTAGCCTCATACCTTCTGGCAGAACTCTGGAGACCCAGAGGAGGATTTCTCAGAAGCCCACTGTGAATGACAATTCATATGTATTTTCATTGCTTCTCCCATTATTTGAATTAATGCTATATTACCAGCTGACACAGCATTCACCAAGGAACTGGAGGCTACAAAAATTCTTGCCCTCTGGGAGCTTGCTCTGACTTGTTTATCCCTGCGTCTCCAGCTCACAGCATAGGGTCAGGCACATAGAGAGTGCTCAGTAAACAGTAAATGAAGCAACTGGGAAGCGGCATCTGTCAGAACTAACTGGCAAGAGGCCAGCTTTGTGGTTTTGAACTAGTTGGCTACATTTGCTTAATGGGGTAAGAGTTCTCTAGAGCACCGCTTGGAGCAACTGAATTTGGGAACCACCACCATACCTGTACTTTAATAACATATTCCCATGCTTCCTTCAATACTTGATTAGACTTTCAAAAGTAAAGTAAAAAGATTTTTTTTGAAAAGGAATAAAAAAAAAAAAGAAGAATAAAAAAAAAACGCAAAATAAATCCGAACCAAGGAAAGAAAAGTAATTCAACCCCCCCAAAACCAAGGAAAAAACCAAGGTTGGAATTAAAAAATTAAGGCAACAATCCTGAAGAAACCAAAAAACAAGGGGAATTTTGAACTGATTGTAACTTCTTGCTGGTTCTCTCCTTAATTGGGTTCAGTAAAATTTTTGACACATGTTCACCTTTTAAAAGTTGATTAGAAGATTACCTAGGAAAAGTTAACTATTTTAGGTGAAAAATAATTAGTTGTTATAGTGGAAGGTGATTAGGAAAGCTAAATGTATCTAGATTCCACCAGCAGGAGTGTATGAATCCCTTTGGTATACACTACAATATACTAAAACATGAGCGCAGCCATGAAGTCCTAGACAAATGCTGACTGTCATGGTTTGTCAGCATCAACACCAGTCCCAGGCTCCCAGAAGGCTGAGGGTGCATGGGAGAGGATAGGGCCGCTCCCATTGCTGTGTACCCACCCCAGCCCCAGCTAATCCCAATTCACTCACTTCATGATGCGCTTGGCCCCGGAGCAGTGCAGATCATAGGACAGGGAGTATGTGCCATAGAGAGTTGCCTTCACGTTCAGGCAGCCAATGAAGTCCTGTGGGTTCACCTTGTATAGGTCGAAGGTTACTCGGGCCACATCGATCTTGGCAGGCTTGCGGGAGAGGGCGAGCTGGTACCTAGTGCTCTGCATCAAGACAAGTGTGTGGTTGGCATCCCTCAAGGATTTCTCCTAAGCTCCCAATATTCTCCCACGCAGGTGGGATGTCACCTGTTCTGATGGGGGCTGCCATTTCTGCCCCTTGTGGAGGACCATGAATACGGTGTCATCTGCCAGGGATTGGAAATACTCTTCTGTCTCTACAGTTGTGCCATCTTCCTCCAGCACCAGAAAGAAAGGCTTGTCTGCCAGCATCAGGGTATCCCGGACCTGGGGAATAAGGTAAGTGATGCTCTTGCCGTCATATGTAGCCACAGAGCTGGTTGCTGCCAGGGACAGAATGAGTGAGCCGGGTTTTATAGGATGGGACTGAAACCCAGAGTTCTTGCTGTGGGGTCACCATCCAAAGAACCTATGTCATGGTATTCCTTATCTGACTTCATGGCTAATATTCTAGAATAGTGCTGCCCAATAAAAATATAATGGGAGTCACATATACAACTTTTAATTGATATATAATTCACATGTCATAAAACTCACTCTTTGAAAAGTACACAATCCAGTAGTTTTTACTATATTCACAAAGTTCTGCAGCTATCACCACTATCTAATTTCAAAATATTTTCAATCCCATATTTACTCAAAGAGAAACCTAGTACCCACTAACTGTTACTCTCATTTCCTCACCCTTGGCAACCTCTCCTTTCTGTCTCTATGGATCTGTCTGTTCTGGACATTTCATATAAATGGCTTCTTTCACTTAGCAAGTTTTCAAAGTTAATCTGTGTTTCAGCATGATTATTTACTTTTTTATGGCTGAATAATATTCCACTTAATAGATATGCTACATTTTTAATCCATTCTTCAACTGATGAACATATAGGTTGTTTCTACTTTTTGAGTATCATAAATAATGGTGCTTTGCACTTTCATGTACACATTTTTGTGTGACATATCTTCTCAATTTTCCTGGATATATACCTAGGATTGGAGTTTCCAGGTCATGTAATAACTCTATGTTTACTCTTTTTAGAGAACTACCAACCTGTTTTTCAAAGCAGTTGCATGATTTAATATTCCCACTAGCAACTTCTCCACATCCTTACCAACACTTGGTATTATCTGTCTTCATTTTAGCTATTCTAATGTTATGAAGTGTTTTTTATTTTCATTTTCCTAATGACTAAGGATGTTGATCATCTTTTCATGTGTTATTAGCCACTTGTACATCTTCTTTGGAAAAACATCTATTCTGATTTTTTGCCATTTTCAAGTAGATCCTCTTTTAAGAGTTCTTTATATATTCTTGATACTGGACCCTTATCAGATATGTGATTTGCAAATATTTTCACCCATTCTGTGGATTATCTTTTCATTTTTTGTTAGTGTCCTTTGATGCACAAAAGTTCTTAGTGTTGATAAAGTCCAACTTTTTCCCTTTGGTTGCTTCGAGGTTTAGTGCCATATCTAAGAAACCAACGTTATGTACTCTTATTCCTACGTTTTCTTCTAAGGATTTTATAGTTTTAGCTCTGCATTTAGGTGTTTGATCCACTTTGAATTAATTTTATACATAATATGAGGGAAGGATCCAACTTGATTCTTTGGCATTTGCACAGCCCATTGACTCAGCACCATTTGTTGAAAAGACTACCCTTTCTCCATTGAATAACCTTGGCATTCTGTCAAAAATCAATTGACCACAGATACATGGATTTATTTCTTCCTTCAGTTATATCTGCTTGATTCTTATGTATTATGGGCTAAATGGTATCCCCGTGAAATTCATATACTGAAGTCCTAATCCCCAAACCTCAGAATGTGACTATAATTGGAGATAGAGTCTTTACAGAAGTAATTACATTAAAGTGAGGCATTAGAGTGGGCCCTAATTCTAATGAGACTTTAAGAAGGAAAGGTGTCTTTATAAGAAGGAATGATTAGGGGCTTCCCTGGTGGCCCAGTGGTAAAGAATCTGCCTGCCAGTGTAGGAGGCACAAGTTTGATCCCTGGTCCGGGAAGATCCCACATGCTGTGGAACAACTAAGCCCATGTACCACAACTATCAAGCCTCAGCTCTTGAGCAACTGCTGAAGCCCCAGCACCCTGGAGCCCATGCTCTGCAACAAGAGAAGCCACCATAATGAGAAGCCTGCACATCACAGCTAGTAATTCCTGTTGCCTCAGTTAGACAAACGCCTGCGCAGCAACAAAAACCCAGTGCAGCCAAAAGGAATAAATAAATAACTTTTTTTAAAAAAAAGAAGGAATAACTAGGATAAGTTACTCCCAACCAAGTGGAGGGGGAGCGTGGAGATGGGGAAGGGTGTCATTCTTGCCCACTGTTACTCCCACCCATCAGTATTATGTGTCCTTGGTTTCCTCTCTGGAACCTTACTGATCAATAGTTTTTTTTTTTTTCAATTGAAAAAAGTTTTTTTCTCCATGCCAAGGGGCATGTGGGACCTTTCCCCCTCCAGGGATTGAACCCAGGCCCCCTGCATTGGAAGCACAGTCTTAACCACTGGACCACCAGGGAAGGCCAAAATTTCCTTTCCGATGGCAACTTCAGTAGGCTGATGGTGCCCATCTGGAGTCTGTCTGTCTGGTGACAGGAGGAAGGCAGTGCATTACCATCTGATGCTAACAACAGGCCAGTGGTATTTTTCAGAGCGTATCTTTCTTAGGAACTCCATCCCTACTGAAGTCCTACCTCATGACACCAAGGCCAGAGGCAGCTATCAGCTGCCACCTCTCAACCAAGGTCCCCACAGTGAGCTATGTGGAGGCAGGCCCGTGCCTACCTTGACATGGAGGTCTTCAAGACTGTGCACCATGATGCCCTTCCTCACACCCCGGTCAGCAGTGGTTACTCTGCAGGGCCGGGCCCTGGGGGCCTCTGCACTGGGCTCCGACAGCTGCTGCTGGGTCACCACCGAAGTGCTCACTGCCGTGCACCTGGGAGTCATAGGGAGCATCAGCATGGGCTGTCCGCTGCCCTCCAGCCCTTCCACCTCAGGGTAGCTCACTCCCCAGTTCTCTAGGCTCAGCTCAGCATGCTCCTCTTCCCCTGTCACCCACCCAGTCTGCTCTGCCTGGTCTTCCTTAAAAGCCTGCTGGATCAGTGCATCTTAAACTTTCGTGGACATATATGTCCCCTGGGGATCTTGTTAAAATGCAGGCTCCGATTCAGTAGGTCTGGGCGAGGTCTGAGATGTTACATATGTGATGAGTTCCCGAGTGACATTGATGCTGCCGGGTCTCAGACCGTGACAAGTAGCCAGTGACAAAAGGTGGCCCAGCCTATGCCCAGTTACTACTTTCCTCTCTCGGCCTCCTTCTTATCATCTGTAATGTGCGATGAAACGGCAAAGCTGAGGTCAGGATAAGAGAGTTTTGAACTCAGATACACAATGGAGAACCAAAGGACTGCAGGGAACCTAGGTTTTGGAGTCAGGCAGACCCAAGTTCAAATCTTGGCTTCTCTACACATTTGCTCCAAGAGAGCACCCACCCTGTGCCTCAGTTGCCCTGCCTATTAATCTGGCATAATAATCCCCGCTTCTCAAAATTGTGGTGAACTTTAAGTGAGATCAAGAATCAAAAACTTAAGCAGTGACTCCCTGTTTCTACTCAGGGTGTGATATGAGGATTGGGAGGAGGCAGCAGCCTTAATATCTCCTGGGGAATTGTGGAAGGATCCCACTCCAGACCTCCTAAATCAGCATCTGCATTTGAACAAGATGCCAGGTGACTTCTCTATCAAGGTCTGCCCTACAGAGCATGTTAGTTCCCCTTTCCTTCCTCACTTGGCTTTCCTCACCTGGAGAGGGACTTAGGGTAGAGAAGGCTGAGCGACTTCATGGCGTATTCCATCTTTGTCAGCTGGATAGTGTTGGGCCTGGAAAGGAAGCAGAGATAGCCCATTGCAGGGGATGAGAGGCTTCTCTCTCTCTCATCTTTTTTTTTTTTTTTTAAGTTATTTTGGCCACCCCACTGGGCATGCGGGGTCTTAGTTCCCTGATTAGGGATCGAACCCCACCCCCTCTGCAGTGGAAGTTGGGAGTCTTAAACAATGGATGCCAGGGAAGTCCTCTCTTGTTTTTTGAAACAGTGCAACCCCATCTCCATCTATCAGGCCTCCACTCTGGTTTCCCCTTGCAGCTCATACACACCTCCCCCAGCCCTTCTCCTGTCCAACCCCAGTAGACCACTGTGACCAAGTTGGAGATCCCCTCAGTGCCCAGGCTCAGCCCCCCTCAGCAGCCATGCCTCCCTCCCCGGCACCACTCACTCCATGTTTCTCTGACCCCTGGCTCCCGTCACACTGATCGGGGAGCCCGAGTCGAAGTGAAGAGGCCCTGCTCAGTTAGTTTCCGTCCTTGGGGACAGAGTCCACTTTACGCTGGCAGGAAGCTAGTCACACCACCTTAGTGCTGGGGACCTTCCCTCACCTGTCATCCAGAGACCTCCAGGCCAGGCACCCCGAAGACTAAGCCTGCTCTTTCCAGTGGCTCCTTGAGCAATCCAAACCCCTCCTGAGGCTTCCCACTGGCCAAAGGGACTTTCTACCATGGTGGGTTCTATATCGGTTCTAATACTGGAGCTGCTACCCTAACATGGCTATTGAGCACTTGAAGTGTGGCTAGTATGACTGAGAAGCTGGATTTTAATCTTATTGAACGTTAACTGATTTAGATGTACACAACCACCGGGGCTGCGAGCTGCTGGCAGCCATCCTGGGCAGCACAGCTCTAGCCGACAGCCCTGGGCTGACCTGCCAGCCCTTCTCTCCTGAGCCTGCCTGATCCAAGCCTTCCTGCAGCCAGTTCCTCCACCAGCAGTGCCTCCCTCCAGCCCAGGGCTAAAGCTTTGCATCCTTGAAGGCCAAGTTTAACTGCATTCTGTGATCGCTCACAGAATTTCCTCTCCATCCTGCATTTCCTTCTTCCCAGCCAGGTGGGCCTCGGTGTCCGCTTCTGCCGCACTCCCTCCAACCTCTCCCTGGGTGCCTCACCCTGAAATGCTCTCCTGTTTCCACCCCAGCGCAGACCGCAGACCGGGCCTGGTGCAGAGCAAGGAGCTCAAGGTATATATGGAGCACAGGCCCCTCCCTAGTCTTTCCTTTTGACAATGTGGGGGCCTCCCCAGGCCAGCCTGACTGGGAAAGCCCTCTGCCCCGACTTAGCACTTTCCCCTTCAGCTTGCTCCAGCCTCACTCCTCACCCCCAATCACAAAACTGCCAAGCCCCACTTCACCTGTTCTCCAGGAGCCAAAACCAAACCCAAACCCAAACAAAAAAACCCAGAATGTAAAACTCCTTACCTCCAGCTCACAGCCTTTTAACCTTCCAATCCTGCCCTGCTCAGCCCAACCCTCCCTCCACTTTATTTCCAGCTCCCAGGGCAGCCCCTCCCCCGGCCTTCAGCCCCAGCTGGAAGAGAGCGTGGGCACTGAGTGTAAGACACTTACCCTTGGGATGGCAGGCCAGCCTCACTTCCAGAAAAAGCCAGAAAGGAAGGGTGTATGCATGTTTCGAAAGCTTTGGGGCAGGGTATGGCCCAACATTGCATTGGGTACAGAGGGCACAGGAAAACAGGCCAATGTGAATTGTGATCCCCGCTCTACTTGTGTTAGCTGTTTGAGTGTAGACAAGCTGCCTTAACCTCCTGGAGCCGCAGTCTCTCTCATCCGTTCAACAGGGATGACGATTCCTGTCTTAAAGGGCTAAGGTAAGGATCCGTATTAATACAAGTAAAGGGCTTTGCAACAGAGATTCTTAATAAACAAATATTGGTGTTACTGATAACATAATTATTTAATAATAGCAGAAGATTTAATAATAATAATTAACACCAGCTGAAATACGTAGTGCTTAAGAATAAGATCTGTGATCCAGCAATTCTACATATACATAATATTTGGAGTTATATTTGAAGTTCCAAGGGAAATGAAAATCCATATCCACACAAAAACTTATACGTGAATGTTCATAGTGTTATTCATAACAGGCAAAATGTGGTTTCCATAAATGGAATATTATTTGTCAATCAAAAGTATATATGCTGCTACAGTACATGGATGAACATTGAACACATTGTGCAAAGTGGAAGAAGCCAATCACAAAAGATCACATATTAATATATGTTTGTATCATCTCATTTGTATGAAATGTCCAGAGTAGGCAAAATCATAAGGACAAAAAATTAATCAGTGGTTATTTAGGGCTGTGGCTGGGGAATGAGGACTGTTAGTGGGAATGGGGACTGTTAGTGGGTATGGGGTTTCTCTTAGGGGAGACAAAAAATGTTTTAATTTATTAATCTAATCCCCGTCTATTTTGGTGATTGCACCAAATCTATTTGGAGGTTACACAACCCTGTAAATATAATAAAAACCAATGGATTGTACTCACCTAAGTGTGTATGGTATATGAGTTCTCTCTCAATAAAGCTGTTTTTAAAAAAGGGGTTCAACCTCATCTTTCTTTTTAATGATAATTTTTCACACTAGTGAGTCAGAATCACATGGAAGATTTGTTAAAAATCAGATTGCTGGGCTTCATCACAGAGTTTCTGACTCAGTATGTCTGGGGTGGAGTCTAAGAACATATATTTCTGATTACACGGTGATGTTCCAAGGTTCCAAGGTGATGCTGAAGCTGCGGCTACTTAGGGACCCTATTTTGAAAACCAGCAACCAGCACTAGCTGTCTGATATAATTCATGTAAGCTTCAGCTGGATCTGACCAATAGCGATTAAAAATAGCTCCTACCCCATTGGGTTGTCATGAAGAATAATCATGAAAAGTCCTTGATATAAAGCTTAGTGCATCCTTCAGGCTCAAAAAATAGCTATCATCATCACCATCTTATTACTACATCTAAACCCTTCCCTAGAGAAGCTTGCAGACAACCATTATTCATTCATTCAGCAAATACTTATTAGGCATTTACTGTATACTACCCCTCCTAGGGCTGAGAATACAGCAGGAAACAAGACAACCTTGTCACATACTTAAAGAAGCTGACATTCCTGAAGGAAGGGGGAACTCAGACCATGAACAAATATGCAGATAATCAAGATAGTTTCAGAGAATGATGTTCTTGGAAGAATACAACATAAAGTGATGTGACAGCAACTGGCTGGAGAGCTAGATTGGCCTATGGGCTCAGGAAAGACCTCAGAGGTGAACTTTCAGCTAAATGATGACTAGTGAGAAGTCAATCTTTTGAAGATCTGAAGTGTCTTGGTCTGTTTGGGCTGCTATTCAGAAAGCCATAAATTGGTGACTTATAAACATCAAAAGTTTACTTCTTATAGTTCTGGAGGCTGACAAGTCCAAGATCAAGGTTTTGGTAGATTCCATGTCTGGTGAGGACCCACTTCCTGGTTCCCAGACACCTGTCTTCTCTTGGGATCCATACCTGGTAGAAGGAGCAAGGGAATCTCTTTCACTAGGACACTGATTCCACCTCCCGAGGCTTCCTTGGTGGCTAGTGGTAAAGAATCTGCCTGCCAGATTCCAGAACCTGCAGGAGATGCAGGTTTGATCCCTGGGTCGGGAAGATCCCCTGGAGAAGGGACTGGCAACCCAGTCCAGTATTCTTGCCTGGGAAATCCCATGGACAGAGAGCCTGGTGGGCTATAAGGGGGGTGGGGGTGGGGGTGCATTCAAGGCAAAGGAAACATCAGTGCAAAGGATTTGAGAAGGGAATGGGCAGGGTGAGAGGACAGGAACACAAATCACTAAACTTTAAGGCAGACTAAGAGCAGAAGAAAAGTACTGATATTTCAGGGAAGAAGTTCTGGGGAAACTGTTAGGGCCCCTCCCTAGAACATTCATGCCTCAAATATTTATTGAACATCCAGTATTTGTTTAGTGTCTCACGATAAGCCAATGGATGACTCAGAAGCAGTCTGACGAACATCATGGAAATCACACACAGAAAAGACCAAGATAAGCACAAGCTAAAGCCAGAGGGGTGGGGGTGGGGGTGGTGAAGAATTGCTGAGTGACCCTGAGGATTCTTCATGGTCCTTAGAAGAGGATGATTTTGGATCATTTGGAATTTATGTACTCAGCGAGTATTTCTTGAGTTTTACCCTTTGCCAAACACCTGGGTTGATAACTCAGTTCATATCTATCTCTTCAAAGCTCACCTCTAGTTGTGGAGGCAGATTTCTGAGCATGGTTCTTAAATGCTGAAATGCATAAAATTATTTGAACATCTTGGAGTGGAGGACTCTAGTTCTGAATCAAAATTGAGAAGCAAAAAAAGAGAAGATTATATATTCAACCATATTAAAAAACTATTCTGCATCTTAAACTTGTAATACCATGAGTAAAGTCAAAAGACATACAATGCATAGGAAAAATATATGGCAACTAATATTAAATAAGAGATTCTCTATCTCTGCTATCTATATAAATCAACAAGACCAACAATGCAGTAGAAAAAATGGACAAAGAATATGAACACAGTTCAGGGAAATGAAATGCCAATGACTCAACATATGAAAAGATTCTTCAGTTTTTTTCAGTAAATGTAATTTTGAAATTCTTATTTTATGTATTTTTTTCTTGCGGTAAAATGTACATAACATAAAATTAACATTTTTTAAGTGTATAGTTCAGTGGCATGAAGTTTATTTACACAGTTGTGCAACCATCAGCACATTCACCTCCAGAACTTTTTCATCTTTCTCATGTCTGTACCCATGAAGCACGTCCCCATTCCTTCTCCTCCCAATCCTTGGCTACCTGCTCTGCCTTCTGCCTCTTCCTAATTTCTTTCATGGCCTTGACAGTTTTAAAAAGTATAGTCCAGTTACTTTGTAGAATGTCCCTCAATTTGAGTTTATCTGTCTGTCTCTTCATGATTAGATTCTGGCCAACTATTTTGGGCAGAAATATCAAATAAGGTATCAGCTTCCCGGATGGCTAAAGAATCCGCCTGCAATGCGGGAGACCCCTGTTCAATTCCTGAGTAGGAAAGATCCGCTGGAGAAGGGATAGGGTACACTGCAGTATTCTTGGGCTTCCCCTGTGGCTCAGCTGGTAAAGAATCCGCTCGCGATGCAGGAGACCTGGGTTTGATCCCTGGGTTGGGAAGATCCTCTGGAGAAGAGAAAGGTTACCCACTGCCGTATTCTGGCCTGGAGAATTCCATGGACTATAGTCCATGGAATGGCAAAGAGTCAGACTCGACTGAGCGACTTTGACTATCATCACATTAGTGATGCTGGTCCTCAGTTATATCAGGAGGCATAAGGAGTCTGTCTCACTCGTGGGCAAGTATTTAGTTAACGCGGTGCCTGCCAGGTTTCTTCACTGTGAAGTTACCATTTCTTCTTGCAGAGATTAATCTGTGGGGAGATACTTTGAAACAATGTGGAAGATGCATGCTCTTGAGAGAGTCACAGATCCCTTCCAGGCATCAGTTTCCCCATCTGAGAAGTGGGGAAAGAGACGTCTGAAACTTGAATTCGAGTTTAAGGAAGTGAACGTGCTCGAGAGACTGGAGAATTATCTCCAGCCCTTGGCGAAAACCGCAAACGCTATGAGTTAATTTTCTGAGCGCTCCAAAGCCTGGCGAGAGACCGCCAGGGAGGAGCGGAGACGGGAAACGCTCGCGTACGCGTGCGCAGGGACGTGACCACAGAGTTGGTCTCCAGAGACAGAGAGGCCGGAAGTTGTCTTCAAAGAAGCGCTAGACTGTTGGGTTGGCTGAGCTGAAGCTATACGAACAGGGTCTGCAGGCAGTTGGGAGCAGTAGTCACGGCAGTTCGTCGGCTTGAGGGGCTCCAGGAGTCTCGGCGGGGAAGATGGCGTCTCGGGCAGGCCCGCGAGCGGCCGGCACTGACGGCAGCGACTTTCAGCATCGGGAGCGCGTCGCCATGCACTACCAGATGAGGTATGAAGTGAGGCGAGGAGCCCGCAGGGCCAGAAACGCAATGCCGGCCTGGTCTCAGGGTTTTGCTCCCCAGCCCGCTCTCGGGCACCTCCCAAGTCCCCTCCTCCTGGCACGGTCCAGGACCCGCCCCCAATCCCGGGAAGCCCCGTCACTGCTGTGAGTCCCACCCTTTGATCCCCTGTACTTTGAGGGAGCCCGGGCCCTGGGTCGTGGTTATGTTGGCCCGGCTCCGACCTCGGGAACCTAATTCTTAATTGAGCTTCACTTTAATCTACCTTTTTGGTCTTGAGGAAGAATTGGTGAGCCAATAATCTCGTGAGAATGTAACATAAAATCTAGCACAGAAGTCTGCCCAGTATGCGGTAGCTGTTAAATTTGGGGTCGTTTTGGGGTGTGGACCCTAAAGCCGAGACTTTGTCTGCCTCAAATGAATTTTATGGAACACCCCTCCCCACCCCTCCCACCCCCGTCTTGTAAGGGATAGTTCTGCGTTCGTTTATTTGTTCAACAAATATTTATTTACCTTCTACCCATCATGCATTGTGTTAGGCACTGAGAATATAATAGCGAAAGCAGCCCTGGTCTTCGTATTCATGTTCTACCTTCAGTAAAAATTTATTGACAAACAACAAATCTGATCCCTGCCTTCATGGAGCTTGAAGTCTACAGGTGACTGATCTCCCCCCGCCCCGCCCCCGACACACACACACCTTTCTGCACTTTCTATTAAATATCTATATCTATATATAGATATAGATATATTTTTTAATTTAGAGGTTTTCATTCCTTAAATCCATTGAAGTTTCTCAGACTCTTTTCCACATGTTTTTTTCCAGAGTTTTAAAGAATGACAAGCTCTTTGGAACCTCACTTTATTCTTATGCTTAGACCCTGTTCAAGGGAACCTCACAACCCAAGCTAGCATTTTCATGCCTGTCTAGAGCAGAAACTCTGCCCTCTGGAGATGTGAAGGGGATATATTTAGGACCTAAGAAAATTCAAAGAATAAGCGAAAATTTGCTTATTTTAGAAGAAAAATATTTACCTGAAGAAGTATGGACAGCCTGAGTTGGTTTCTTTGCTTCCAATACCTCATTCCATAGGCTATACTCCTATGCTACCATCAGAGTTCTCTTTCTTTTTCTAATGGCCACACAGTGCAGATTGCAGGATCTTAGTTCCCTGACCAGGGGTTGAACCTGGGTCCTTGGCACTGAAAGCACTGAGTTCTAACCACTGGATTGCCAGGAAATTCCCCAGAGTTTTCTTTCTGAACACAGCCCTGAGTTACTCTTCTGTCTTTCAAATGACTGAGTCAGTCTTTGCAACTTCATATCCCGCTACTCCCCTCCCTCCCACAGTGTAGTCCTTCCACCCCCAGCCATTTGCTCTCCTGGAACACAAATGTTTGTGCCCTTTTACCTACATGCTATTACCTCTGCTCAGAATGTCTGTCTCCACCTACCTCTCAGAGCCTAGCTCAGACATCACCCTTGTCTAGATAGCCTTCTCAGTCAACTCATTTCAGTCAGAATTGATTACTCCTTCCTGTGATCCCATATATTTTGCAACATAGATTTACAAGAGTTTTTCTAGTTCATTTGTAATTACCTTTTTCTTCCTCTACCTTGTTCCCAGCCTCCAGGCAGGAACTATACCTTATTTATATCTGTATCCCTGTGTCCAGTACAATTGCTTGACATACAGCTGATGTCAGAAAACTCTAAATGAAAGATACTTCTCCCTCTGCTCTGCCCCACAGTGTGACCCTCAAGTATGAAATCAAGAAGCTGATCTACGTGCATCTGGTCATATGGCTGCTGCTGGTTGCCAAGATGAGTGTGGGACACCTGAGGCTCTTGTCTCATGATCAGGTGGCCATGCCCTATCAGTGGGAATACCCCTATTTGCTAAGCATTGTACCCTCCCTCCTGGGCCTCCTCTCCTTCCCCCGCAACAACATTAGCTACCTGGTGCTCTCCATGATCAGTATGGGGCTCTTCTCCATTGCCCCCCTCATTTATGGCAGCATGGAGATGTTCCCTGCTGCACAACAGCTCTACCGCCATGGCAAGGCCTACCGCTTCCTCTTTGGTTTTTCCGCCGTCTCCGTCATGTATCTGGTGTTGGTGCTGGCGGTCCAAGTGCACGGCTGGCAGTTATACTACAGCAAGAAGCTCCTAGACTCTTGGTTCACGAGCACACAGGAGAAGAAGCGTAAATGAAGCCTGCTTGATGGACTGCTGTGTGAGGTGAAGCCTGGGCCTCCCACCCAGTGAACTGAGAGGGTAAAGGGGCTGCTCTAAAATCTCCTTTGGTGGCTGCGATGTTGGCAACTAGTGCAAACTAAACTGGATTTCTGCAGAGCCCCTTCTGTTGCCGTCAGCTGGTGGTGGAACTGTTTCATTTATTCCTGGTTGGTGGAACTGGGTGATCAACAGCTGTGAAACAAACTTCAGCTGGTTGAAGTTGAGGTCCTTCTGAGTTTTTCATCCTGACGTCTTCTTGGTCATTCTCTCCACTTCCATCCATCACCCCTTCCCGTCAAAACTGAAGGAGATAGGAAATCAGTCAAATTGTCCTTCAATCAATGGGTCATGGAGCAGGAAACATCTGGAAGGCTGCTCCCCCTGCAGGCGTTGGTCTCTACTGTGAAACCTTTTAATTAAAAGAACCTCAATAAAGTTACAACTGCCTAGTCCCCCCCTGTTCCTTGTGTTGGGGGTTTGATAGAATGTGAAAAGTTTGTTGTTTGATGGCCTTAGACACTTGGAGGTAGGTAGAGGCTCCCTGAGAAACCTGGCAGTGGCCGCAGGGAAGTGAACTGGGCACAGGGAACCTAAGTCATAGTTGAAACCCTGCAGCCGATGGGCCGGAGCTACCAGGGGCCGTAAGGCTAACCTCCCCCCATAAAATGATCCATGCTCATTTATGCAGCTTGGGTTATGGCTTGTCTTTTGACTGGATATTCATGTTTATCATTCAGTGTTAACCATGTCAGTTACATGTGTAATACTGTTCTATGGTATCCAAATGAATTTTAAAGTATCCTGCATATAGGGAATTTGCAGTCTCCATGAAACATAACATCCTTGTGAAACATCTAGTGAACACAGTATGTAATGGTGTGGAGCAGGTAAGTGTAAAATGGATGTGGGAAAGAGATCTGTGAACTAAACCCCCTAAAGTCTGACACATAGTAAATGTTTATTGCTTGAAGGATGAGTGTCCCTTTGCTCTTACCCGCTTGACTTTATCATGTCTGGATGACACCCAGATTCTAACTGCAGATCTCTGCCCTTCAGAGTCACTCTGTTCTATAAACATTATATGTATTCAATCTCTATAGGTACTGGCAGTACTTCTGTGTACCTAAGTTTTAGATGTCCTGATTATCTTTTCAAACTCAGTGTGTCCTGAATTTAACTCTTTGCCTTCTACCTCATATCCATTTGTCTTTCTGCCTCCCTGTGTGCAGATGAGTATACCAAGAGCACAGCTGTGAATCATCAAGTCCCTTATTATGTGTCCTTGTTTTCTGAACAACCAAAATTCCTTAATCCCTTTCAGACCTGTCCAGAGTGTGGTCCCAGTGCTTAATCTCCTGATACTCCTGCTTCATCTCCTGCTTTAACTCCTGCTTTATCTACTGATACTCTTACACACTGTCTGTCTCAGTCAGGAGAACCTCTTATGAATCCCCATATCAGTTCCATGATTTCCCAATTTCCTTCAAAATTTTCCTTTCAAAAAACAAAAGTTTTCCTTTTCTACTTCTTTACTACTTACTTCTCTTTCGTGACCTAGTTTATATGGTAATTCTGGAGCCTTCTGGTTACTTCAGTTCAAGGAGTAAGGTTTCTTTCTTTAAATTCACATGTCACTTTAATTTTATCTTTTCTATTGACAGAACTAACATTTTTTTCTCACCCCTTGCTGAGTAGCTAATGTATAGTGTGCTTTCTGAATTTATTGAGTGAGTTAATTTGTCCTACTGTAGACTAAAGTCATAGCAAAGAACTAGACTGATGCATGGGTAGGATTTGGAGAGCAGAGAGGTGTAGATGTAAATGAGTGGATAATGGAGTTATGTACACAGGGTTTTCTGCTTGTTGGGTTGTTGGGATTCTAACTTTTCTGGCCTCTCCAATCACTTTCCCCCTTGCCTCATGGTTGTAGTATTGCCTGAAGTAAGCAAGATTCCCTTTGAAAAGGATCTTGATTGAGTGGGAAGAGGACTGTATTGGATCAAAAGGCAGGTTCACATACCAAGATCAGCCCTGCCTAATTCACAAGAATGTTGTGAAGATCAAATAGTCTTGTAAAAGTGCTTAAAGAACTCTCTGTAACACTATATAAATGTGAGGAATCCCTGATTTTATGGAGCTAAAGGATGTAGGCATTGGAAGAACCCTTAGTGAGCATCTAGTCTGTGGGAAAGGCAGTGTGGTATTGTTGAGAGTTTCTGATACTACCCTGACTCAAATCTAGCTAGACGTTTTGCTTCCTTTTGCCTTGATTTGAGCCTCGATGTTTGATCTAATGTATGGGGGATCATAGTATCTACCACACATGGTGGTTGTGTGGGTTCAATAATGTATGTAAGTGTGTTCGTGCTTGTGCTTAGGCGCTGAGTCATGTCTGACTCTGTGACCCCATGGACTGTAACCTGCCAGGCTTCTCTCCATGGGATTCTCCAGGCAACAGCACTGGAGTAGGTTGCCCTGTCCCCGTCCAGGGAATTATCCTGACTCAGGGATCGAACTTATGCCTCTTGTATCTCCTGCATCGTAGGCGGATTCTTCACTGCTGAGTCATTGGGGAAATTCCGTGTAAGCCGTAGTATGTGCTTAGCTTAATAAATATCAAAATCCCTTCCAGTGATGAGCAGTGTTGGTGCTTCTTTCTCACAGTGGGAGTCCCAGCCCCTTCTCTTAAGCATAATTTCTTGCCTCCATATTCTGGAGTTTGATTCCTTCTGGAAGAGCAGGAGTAAGAAAGGGACACTTGTGTGCTCTTGGTTTTTGTTGGTCTAATTTGTTGGACCTTCTTGCCCTGGGTACTCTGATTGTAGGCACAGTTGCCTCAGCAAATCTCAGGAATCTGCCATTACAGGAAAAGTCTAGAGACCCAGCTACAGTTGTCTGACCAGAGTCCACACATGGATAAGGCTTTGTCAGGAAAAACAGCTGTCCAAGGCCCCCACAGTGTACTCTCTACCTGAGCATGCGTCAAGGCCTGCCATGGCCTCCTGAGCACCTGGCTTGGCCCCCAAGTAAAAGTTACTGGAGCATGAAGTCTGGATCAGCTCATTCAGACACAAACCACAGGTGAGACAGGCCTTGGCCACTTTCCAAAAGGATAGGCCCTAGTGCTGCAGGCCTACCACACACCACTGTGGCCATTACTCCAGTTGGCCACCTCCTTTTCCAACCACAGAAGTATTCCTGCTCCTCCCTTGTTGACACTTGCCAGACAATCCCTACTCCCCTAGAATTCTGATGACTGATAACTCACTCCCATAAGATATATGTATCCTTTATTCTTTCCACCTATTATGATTTCTTCCCCTACATTGTTAACCCTACCAACTCATCACATAGTTCAGTCTAGTACTTCTGTGGACTATGGGGCCCAGAAACCACAGATGTCCCTAAAGCAGTGTGTTCTGACAAAGCTAGAAAGACATGGGGGTGAGTCTCCTGTCTCCATTTTGTGTTTGGTTAAGTTGCTTATGGGCATGAGTTTGAGTAAACTCCGGGAGTTTGTGATGGACAGGGAGGCCTGGCGTGCTGCGATTCATGAGGTCGCAAAGAGTCGGACACGACTGAGCAACTGAACTGAACTGAAGTTACTTAATCTTCCCGGTGTTCCCAAGTCTGTAAGATGGCTTGGTAAGACTGACCTCAAAAAAAAAAAAAAAAAAAAGACTGACCTCAAGGGTTATAGACCAGTAATATGAGATAATGTGGGCCAAGTGCACAGCCCAGAATCTGATGGTAGGAGTTCAGCAAAGTGTTGGTCTTCCCAAGGGTGTGCTGGAATTCACCCACTGTACATTTTACTTTAAACTCCTTTTTGGGAAAGGCTCCACAATAAATGAACTAGCAAAACAAAAAAATATAGATCTCCTTTTCTCCCTCCTTTCCCCTTTTCTTCTGTTTTTTGCCTTTTATACATGCTCTTTTTCTTCCCTTTCTTTCTTATGTATGTGTATTTGTCTCTGTTATTTTTTTTTTTTCCACTTCTCCTCCCGTACCTTAGCCAGAGTCAGGGAACAATTAACCAAATGTTAAATGTTTTCATTGTGAGAATCAGAAGATGAAAGTGAAAGTGTTAGTCTCTCAGTTGTGTCCAACTCTGTGACCCCATGGACTGTATCCTGCCAGGCTCCTTCTGTGCATGGAATTCTTCAGGCAAGAATACTGGAGTGGGTAGCCATTCCCTTCTCCAGGGAATCTTCCCGACCCAGGGATCAAACCTGGGTCTCCTGCATTGCAGGCAGATTCTTTACTGTTTGAGCCATCAGGAAAGCCCAGAAGATAAAAGGAGTCAAAAGAGATAAGTGTTTGAGAACGGAACCAACTTTCTAACGTGGTGTCCTGGCATTAGAAACACATTATCAGTATAGATCTAAACCATTGTGGGCTAAGTGAAAAATTAGGGGGAAGACTCTGTAATCTGAGCCACCAGGGAAGCCCAAGAATACTGGAGTGAGTAGCCTATCCCTTCTCCAGGGCAATCTTCCAAACCCAGGAATTGAACCGGGGTTTCCTGCATTGCAGGCGGATTCTTTACCAACAGAGCTATCAGGGAAGCCTTAGTATGGCCAGATCACCCTTTCCTCCATTCACATCTTACCAGTTTGTTTGCGGTGATGGGCTCCAAGGCGAGAAGAACTTGGTCAGGTAGGCCCTTAGAAGTTCTCAGGAGCAGAGGGGCATGAGGCAGTGGGAGGAGGCCATAAGGATGGTAGAAAACAGAAAGGAACCAGAAGAGGCTGGCAGAATTGGAGTTGGGCTTAGAGACCTTGACCAAATCATTCTCCTTTCTGCTTACTTCTCTCCTTAATTCTCACTTACCTGTCTTGTAAGGTAGTTAAGAGAATCAACTCTGAAAGTGCTTATGAAATGTGAAGTAAACTGCTTAGGTGAAACATCACAGTTTACATTTACTCAACTACCAAGCACCTATTTCATGACATCCACTCTAGGCACTGGAGAAACATAAAGAATAAGAAAAGATCTTTCTAAGGAACTCAAGAGTTAGTGTTTTTAGGATAATGGGTACAATGGGGTCTTCATTCAGTGGACCTGAAGACTTAGAAACTGTTGATAGAATTGGCCTAAAGATAGCTATGGTCAAGCTACTGAAAGGTACAGAGGGCTAACAACAGTCCCAAGGTACCTTCACCCAGTAGGTGTGCCCCCAGCTTTTTTTCCACTGTGTGTGTCCCCAAGGTGAGTGCTGAAGCAGCTCAAATGCTCCATGAGCTGGAGGAAGCCGTGGGACGCCAGGGAGGGTCCCCACAGAGAACGGAGCCTCGTCAGCATCGGAAACCACAGGAAACCAGGTCAGTGCCTGGGGCCCGTTCCCCCTGCTCCAGCACTCAGCTCTGAACTCTAGGGCCTCCTGAGCAGACTGTACTGATTAGTGGATCCTTGAAGCTGGAAGCCCTTTGGCGAAGAGCTAGAAGAACTGGCCAGTGGGTCATCAGAAAGCTACTCTTATCATCCTGAGTCAGCCAGGTAGGGGCCAGGGTGTGTTGGGGGAACGCGTGAGCTTTATGTGCCTGCTTTAGTGCTTTCTTGTTCCACTCTACATAGTGCTCAGTCACCTCCGTCTCTGGCACCCAACGCACAGAAGTGCTTGATAGCTCTGTCAACCCTCTAAGTGAGAGGATGAAGCGTGTGTCCAGGGGAGATCCAAGTCCAGGAGCTGCAAAGGGGCGGGTCCCATCTACAGGGTGTTGCAGGAGTAGGAGGGGTTAAGTAGATGCAACCTGCCATCCATCCCCCTAGCCCTGTACCCGCCTCTTTCCTGTTATTTCTTTGCCAGAGCAAGAGCCCCCTTGCCCTCTAGGTAGGGGAGCAGCAGGGTCTTCTGAGGGGCAGATGTCCCCCAGTCCCCGCGCTTGGGGAAGGAATGTGGCCTGGCTGGCTGGTTGGGATCGAGGAGGAGCTCTGGGGCAGGGCGGGGCAGGGGCAGGCTGAGGCGAGGGCTCCTGCTGGCACTGCACTCCCAGCTGCTGCGCAGTAAGCTGGCCCAGGCCCCGTCGCCCACCTTCGGGCCGTGCAGCCATGCACTGGGCGCCTTGACCCCACGGAAGCCCATGGGGAGCCCCAGACTGGCAGCCCTGCTCCTGCCTCTCCTCCAGCTGCTCACTGGCCTGTCTGCCTCCGCTGGGATTGGCTGCCCCCCCCCTCCCCGCTGGAGAACCCGCGGTCTGCTGGCCTCCCGCATGGTAAGGTGCGCCTGCCACTGCTGGTGGGGACGCCTGGCACGTGCAGGCTCCTAAAACTCCCACTCTCCTGCCTGTCCTTTCCTACCACCCAGGTTCCTAAGCTCTGATAGCAGCATCAGCATGTCCTCTACACCATCTTGAAGGGGTAGCCATAGTCCCAGGGCACCGAGGGCCTGGGCAGGGTGGAGCTGGGAAGAAGAGAGCCAGAGTGGATGGGCTATTGGTTTACGGGTCTCAAAATTAGGTGATGTGAGGCCAAGGCTGCAGGGAGAACACCCCTGTGAGAACCTCTACTAATTTTACTTCTGTCCTTTCTTTTCCCTGCCGGGTCCTGTGCTTTCAGGATGGCAGTTTCACTGGTGAGTCTCATTCCCTGCCCCGCTCCCCTTCCCTGTTTCCTCCATTCTGATTTTTTGTTCTCTACTTAAGAAGTGGCATAGTATCAAGGGAAAAGCACAGGGTTTAGAGTGAGGACAAGCCTGGATTTGTGTTGCATTACTGCCACATACTCCACACGTGGCTTCGGGCGGTGCATGGGTCTGAGGGGTACAGCAGCACAGTAGAAATGATTGTACAATGAAAACTGTTGTCCCTGAGCTGTGGGGAGGATTAAATGAGAGCCAGGTAAATCTCCAGGCCCTCCACCTTGACTAGTCCCTCACCAGTCAGTCGTACAACAATGATCCTATTTTACGCTACCTTCTACTTTACAAGATATTTTCCCACGCATTATCTTACTTGAGCTTGACAGCAGCCCCACTTTATGAATGAGGAAGCTGAGGCTTACAGGAGTCTGTAACTTGCCTCAGGTCACTTGGCCAGGGTGTAAGTGGAGTGCTCAGCCTCAAGTCCAGCTTGTCTAAGGCAGAAGGGACCTCCTGGGACCTTACCATCTGACTTCCTTTTCTTCTGTCACAGGAAGGTCTGCCCAGACTCCTCACCACACCCAGCCGGCCCCTCCCCTCCCCCCCAAGCCTCGACGCGCCTGGTGGTGCCACTGTCCCCACTGCTGGTGCCTGCATCTGGTGTCAGGCCCCTCGGGTATGAGAAGCAGCCCTTTGGGCCATTCTTAGTGGAGACGGGAGTTGGGGGAGTTTGGGGTGAGCCAAGTAAAACGTATCATACTAGAAGAGATGTTGGTCCTGTTGTCAACCTCAGCAGAGACTTCGGCCATCCTGGAATAGCACACTGTGACTGATGAGTTCTGTTGTATCATTTTGTGAAGGTGTTTCTCCTTTCAGTTGGTACCAATTTTGGGGATTAAAATGTTTCAGTTCTATGAACTTACTATTATTAGTTCTGGTTGTAAGGCAAGATCTGTCTTGTAAGAAAGAACAGACAGATCTTATTCAACTCTACATTTTTCTTGCCTATCTCAGTGCCTGGGACATATTAAATTCCCACACACTGCTTAAGAATTGACAGTTTATAATTTTTCACTGTTATAAAGAATGCTACTATGAATTTTTGTATACACATAGATTTTTTTCCACTTAAATTAATTCTCTTTGATTGTATCATAGCTTTCAGGACTATAGAAGTTTGGGATCATTTACCCTCCCTGGTGTAAAATGATTGACCGTCCAACACCAGGTCACATCTCCAGATAGGGGAGGGGCTGTGAAGGGCTGGATAGTAAGTGTGTTGTTTCCTGTGCAGGTCTTCAGTGGGGTTGGCTCCACCTCCTAGTGCAGAAATCCAAAAAGTCTTACAAGTTCTGGTTCTGTAGGAGACACAGGATGCCAGCGTCTGCTCAGGTACTCCCCCGACAGTGCCAGCCCTGCCCTGCGCCCCACCGCCCTTCCCCTTCTGGCCTCTCCTCCTGTTCTCCAGTCACCCAAGAGGGGGAGAGTGTGGGGCTGACGTAGACTATTCTGTCCATTACACAGTTAGGGACACGAAAGCTTAAATGTTGAGCAGCTTGCCTGTCGTGCCCCGGGCTCCACAGGCAGGAATAGAAGCCAGAGTTCCTGGTTCCTGCCCTGAGGCCAGCCTTGCTGTCTGCCTGCAGAGGAAGTTGTTGAGTAGCTGCTGCCTGTCTGAGAAGGGCCATCACAACTCCAGCCCCTCCCCAGACACCTCCCACAAGGGACTGCGCTCCAAAAGAACCCAGCCTGTGGATCCAGAGGCAGGGGAAGGTCTCTCCAGATCTAACTCACAGAAGCTTGGAGGTAGGCACGTCATGTAACTGGAGATGCTGGAGCCAAGTAGTGGTGCCTGTGCTAATGCCAAGAGACAAGGCCACCAAATCGCCCTTCTCCCCAGGACCTGAGTTCTCCTTTGACTTGCTGCCTGAGACAAGGGCTATTCAAGTGACCATTCCTCCAGGCCCAGAGGTCAGTGTGCGTCTTTGCCACCAGTGGGCACTGGAGTGTGAGGACCTGAGCCATCCCTTCGATGCCCAGGTATGAAGTGCCATCTGCCCATAAAGCCAAATCACATAGGGCTGGAGCCAAAGGACCTAGCCATTGTACAGATGAGGAAACTGAGGCCCAGAGAGGAATAGTAATTGTCCAAGACTTCTTACAAGTCTGAAGTGCCTATCATGAAGATTTCTTTGAACTAGAGAGAGAATACAGGGGGCCATGTCTCCTGGCAGGAGAGGAAGGAAAGAGGGGGTAGAGACCTGGGACAACCATGAATGCCTAGCAAGGAAAGGAATATGGCACTTAACCTCAGTGCGATGATCCTAAGTGAGATTTAGGTTGCCTTTTCAGTTCCATCAAGAAGTTGTTTTCCCTGAGAAAATAATAAATTGGTCACATCTGTCTTGATACCCTTTGATCTCCCTCTCTTTTGTCACTGCTCCTCAGAGAATGAGATGTCCCCTGTTCTCCCAGCCTATGGCCTAACATCCCACCTCAACCTCCTGTTGTCATGGATGCTCTTATATACAGTTGGAGCCATTTGCAGGGACTGATGCTGTACCCAAGTCCCTCAGCTCTCCACATTTAAAAAGATGATGCCTCCCGACATCATCATGATGCTAGCATTTAATGCACTGAGTTGGTGCTTCCAGCACCTAGCACCCTCCCCAGCATACAATAGGGGCTCAATAAATGTATATTCCTTTCCCCAACTCCTCCCTCCCCACATTCCATGTATTGAGACACTTAGAGCAGATGGTCAGACTACAGGACAGAGACCCCCTGAGAAGAAATTTGTCAGTGAAAGAAATAAGCCTCAGATAAGAGGAAAAGCAGGATGTATGGTGAGTAAGTTCCCAGCTTCTTCCTGCCCTTGTCCAGGGTGCCTCTGCTCTTTCTCAGGCCCCTCTTCATCTCTCCTTTGCTGAATTGTCCACAGAAAATTGTGCCTGGGGGCCGCACTGTGGACTTGCCTTATGAATTCCTTCTGCCCTGTCTGTGCATCGAGGTAAGCAGATGAAAAGGTGTGGGTGGTCCCTGGCTCCACTCCTAGGCCACCCAGACAGCACAGTTGGTCAAGTATATCTCCACTGAGTCCGGTTTTAAAAGGGCTGGTGTTAATGAGATGCTGGGGGAGACTAGTGCCAGCCTAACAGTGAGCCTCACACTGGGTCAGGGGTGGAGGTGTCCTGCTGATCATGGGATATTCCTGGGGGTGATTCCAACCTCAGCCCCACCCAAACCCACCTTGCCTTTGTTGAGACCCAGCCTCAGCCTACCCACAGAGCAGAATAGACAGCTTGCCTTCACTGGGTGTTCTGAGCCATTAGGGTGAGGGCTCATGGCCACTGCAAGGTTGCATATGGCTCCAGAAGTGCCATTCCCACTAGCCCTACATGGCAGTCCTCCTCCCCTGCCTGTAGGACTGAGGGGGGCCTAGCGTTATGACTTCTTTTAAGGGACTTCCCTGGTGGTCCAGTGGCTAAGACTTTACACTCCCAATGCAGGGGGGCCAGGGTTTGATCCATTGTCAGGGAACTAGATTCCACATGCTGCAACTGAAGATCTCCCGCGCTGCAACTAAGACCCAGCACAGCCAAATAAATAAATATATTTTTGAAAAAAGGCTCCTTGGGCTAGACAGAGAAGTCTGGGGGCCCTGTTACCAGGAAGGAGATGAAAGGGAAGGTACAGGCAGAGACATGTAATGAGGAGCACCTGCGAGGGGTACAGCCACTGGATGTTGGGGGGAGAGGCCTGTCAGGGCACTTGGCAGCTTGGGGATTGCTGAGAATGGACACCTGGGAAGGCAGAAGTTGAGGAACATGGACCTCATGATTTGCCTCTTTCTGGGGCTAGGTTCTCCTCTCCCAGAGAAGAGGACTCAACCCCTCCCTCACTGATCTCGCTCCTATAGTCTGGAGTTCCTCCCCAGGCGCCTCTACCCTGGCCCGCACCCCACACGACTCCCCCTCCTTGGTGCCCAGCCAGCTCAGGAAGCTTGTGTCCAGGCAAAGTCAAGCCAGAATGAGTTTCAAGTCTGAGTGATGTTGGGAAAGCCAGTCCTCTGACCTCCATCCCTGTTCCCTTCTCCCACAGGCATCCTACCTGCAAGAGGACACTGTGAGGCGCAAACAATGTCCCTTCCAGGGCCAGCCTGAAGCCTGTGAGTTGCTCATGTGACTCCTGTGCACGCACACCTTCTCTCTGTCTCTCTCCCACACACACGTACACACACACACACACGCACACACATGCACACCCTCTACACTGGTATGGGAGGAAGTCCGCAGAAAGCTTGAGGCACTTTCTCTCTGGAATCGGTGCAGAGGCAAGTCATGGACTACCATGTCTGCTAAATCGGACCACTGAACGTTGTCTTAGGCACTGTGGGAGGTTCAGAAATACCCACCTTAGGAGGCAGTGTCCTAAGAGGGTGGATCAGAAGACCTGGGCTCACATCCCAGCTCTGCTACTCATTCTTCTCTGAGCCTCAGTCTCCTCGTCTGTGAAATAATAGTACTCGTCCTGCCTCACTTTCCAACTCCTTACGAGACTGGAATTCAATATTTTATGTGAAAGTGGTTGGTGACATCTATGCATATCGTTGAGCCCAAATTGCAGAGACAGGATGCTCAAACATGACAGATGAGTAGCAGCAAGCAGCCTATGGTCCAGGGCAGGATTGTATCTAAGGAATAGGCTATAGGGCATGATCTGTGGGGACACAGAAGCCCATGATGGTTGTCTCAGGGGAGGGAGAAGCCCATGGTGGTTGAATAGAAAAGGTCTCCTAAAGGAGGTGACACCTGAATTGGGCTCAGAAAAAGGGCGGGATTTAGAAAGCAGAGAAGGGAGAATAAATCATTCCTAATTTTGAGAGGAATGTAAGAAAAGATATGAAGATTTTGAGTTTGAGGAGCAGCAAGTATTTGGCCAGAAAGGAGGCACAAGAAGGAGAGGAGATAGCTGAATATAAAAGGTAACAGGAGGGGCTGGAGGCGGCATGCTCCTTTATCACTTAGGCAGACCATGGCTGTGCCAAGCTCCTTCAGAAATATCATCTCCTGATGCCCTGGGGATCGGGGTCAGTCTCAGGCCTCCTGGGCCTCACTCTCTGCCCCCGCTGCCTGCCCAGATGACTCAGACTTCTGGGAGTCAATGAACTTCACTGACCACAGCCAGCATAATCAGATGGTCATGGCCGTGACACTCCGTTGCCCACTGAAGCTGGAGGCCTCCCTGTGCCAGAGGCGGGGCTGGCCCACCCTCTGCGAAGACCTCCCCAATGCCACGGCTCGAGAGTCAGAGGGGGTGAGTCAGGCCTTCCTAGGGCCTGGGCGAGCAGGGCTAGGGCCTGGGGGCCTGCTCTCACCTCCCTTCTCCCCCCACAGTGGTATGTCGTGGAGAAAGTGGACTTGCATCCCCAGCTCTGCTTCAAGGTAACAGCATGGGCAACAGGGACCGGAGGGTGTGCGTGGTGCCTGGAGCTTGCTGACTTGCTCTTCTTGGATTTCTCAGTTCTCTTTTGGAAACAGCAGCCACATTGAATGCCCCCACCGGACATTCGGTGAGCCAATAAGTGACCCTGGCTGGGACCCCTCTCCCACCATTTCACCCTCACACAACTGTGGTGAAGTCAAACTCTATTCCTGCCCTAGACTTCTCTGTCAACTGCAGCCCAGCTCCTATCACCTCCCACAAAACATCCTCTCTCACCTGATGCTCTCCCCTACCTGCTCCCCTCCCCAGCAGCCCCGTCCTGGAATGTGAGCATGGATATACAGGCCCAGCAGGTGGTCCTCCACTTCTCTTCAAGGACGCATGTCACCTTCAGTGCTGCCTGGAACCACCCAGGCTTGGGGCAGGACAGCGTGGTGCCCCCTGTGTACAGCGTCAGCCAGGTACGGCCTCGCCAGAGTTTGGCTCCCTGGGACCTATTGATTAGAGCACATCAGGGAGAGGCAAGCAGATATCTGCCTCACAGCATCTGCTGGTTTAATGACTTGATAAGCCTGTATTCAGCTGTGGGGTCAGTGGAGTCTTCGATGGAGCAGTTTCCAGGCCTTTCCTTTTCTGAACCAACAGGGATAAACAGGCAAGAGGATGGCCCTCCCACTCCCAGCCGCTCTCTGACCCACTCCACCTGCCACCACATTTTGTGCTGATGCCCTCTTCTCAACCAGCTATCCTCCACACACCCATGCCCGCCTCCACAAGGCATCTGGCAGGAGTTCTGTGTGTCTGGGAGACAGAGCCCCAGGAAGCTGAAGTGCTCTTTGCAGAATACTGTGAACCACTGACAGATTTAACTCTATCATGTGAACTAAAAACAGCTAACTAGCGGACTCTCTTCTGTGTGTCTAACATAAAAACCACCATCAAATGTATCCGCAAAACCACAGCACCAAGCTGACTAAGCATGCTCGCTCTCTTCAGTTCGTTCTTGCTCACATGCAGCTTGTTTACTTGTTTTATATTCTTTAAGGGCTCCCAAGCAGACAGATGGTAGCAAATGCTACAGATTTAAGACAAACTCATGTGGGATGACCTAAAATAGGGAGCTATATCCAGGGACTCCTTTTCTGCTGTGAGCTGGGAACATCATTGAGTTTAACCATGGTTTGAGAGCCACTGTAAAATACCCACTCACAGCTGGCTGGAGAATGGGGGCTGAGGAAGGACTGGGGCAGGGGCTGTAGGGTGTTCCCAAAGAATGGAGATTGATCCACCCTAACCAACGCCCAGAATACAGGTGAAGCCACATCCTGCCTGTAGACGGAGGGCCGTCAGTTCAGCATGAGTTTACTCAGTGCCTGCTCTGTTCCCACTCTGTAATAGGCCCTGGAGATATAAGAAAAGTATGTAACACAGTCTCTGCCTGTAAGGAGCCTATCGTGTAATAAATAAGCACTACTACTAAATGAATACACACTACACTGTGTATTATAAATGGCATCCACCTGTATATTCCCATGTGAGGCTTTCAGTAACCCAGTAAAATAAGGATGATTATCCATTATACACAGATGAAGAAACTGAGGCTCAAGGAGGAAGGTAGTCTTATCTCGATGCAAAGACCCCCCTGCTAGGAACCACAAAGGCAGTAGTTAAGCCTGACTTTTGTTAGCTGTGGTCTCCTGACTCTACAACTTACATTCTTTCCAATGGACAAGCTGCCCCTCCAGGTTTGCAGGGCAGAGATTAACCTCCTGGTTCGTGAGCTACTAGAGGACAGAACCAATATCTGTGCCCACCTTGTTTCCTCAGGGCTTGGTACAGTCAGTACCCAGAGTATGTTGATGAGTGCCTGATTAACGTGTATCTGTGCCACAGTTCAGATCTGGGAATGATCAGCAGGATCTGTGAATGAAGCCTGGGAAGGCTTCTTGTTGGGGTGGCACTTGGTCCTAAGCCTGGTAGGATTTGGGGTGGGAGTGGCATGGAGAAGGGAAAAACACCACATGGGCAAAGGCTCAGGGCTGTACAGAGCCAGATTTGCCTCTATGGGGACAGTCATTCTGCTCTTTGTTCCCACAGACTCAGGGCTCAACCCCAGTGACCCTAGACCTCATCATTCCCTTCCTGAGGCCAGGAGGCTGTGTCCTGGTAAGGAATTCTGCCCTCACTCTGCATACACACCCCTGGCATCTACACCACAGGTGGCACATGGGGCAAATCCAGTCGGTAAAAATGTTTGATTTGGCCAGCACAGTGCTCAAAATTGGAAGTAGTTGCCACCATTTAATTGGTGGGAGATGTCCTATTTTAAAAAGTTGACTTCTGGCATTTCTTGAAAACTCAGAAAACCTGGTGCTTTGTGTCCACATTCAGACGTGGTGATTGGGATGGGAGCTCAGTGGTGTCTGATTGCTTCAGTCAGGACTTGTGCCCCTCCAGCTCCTCGTGGATACCCTGGTCCACTTTGGGTTTACTTTCTGAGTTTGCCAAAGCTGGTGCAGACGCAAACCCTGTGCTAGAGAAATGCCCTCTCCAGGGTCCCCTTCTCCATCCTCCCACCTCATTCGGCTTCCCCGGGGAGGAGGGTTTACCCTGGCTCACAAGGGTGTGGGGCTCTGTGCCCTCAGGTGTGGAGGTCAGATGTCCAGTTTGCCTGGAAGCGACTCTTGTGTCCAGATGGTGAGTTCCTGGGAGGGCCCGGGGAGTGAGAGGGAGGCTGGGCGCTGAGGAGCTGGGCTTCGCCTCACGCTGCTTGACTCAGCCTCTCACAGACGCCTGGGGCTCCTGATCCTGGCGCTGCTGGCCTTCACCACCCTACTGGGAGTTGTTTTGGTTCTCACGTGCCGGCGCCCACTGTCAGGTAAGCTCACTGGGAGGTAACCTGAGGACTGTTTTGGCTCCTAGGCCAGTTGCCCTCCCATTCCTCCCCTGCCCAGTATGCCTTCCCAAAGAGCCTCCTCCCTGCCGTGGGCACCAGCCCTGTTACCAAGGCTGTTAGCCTTAGGCCCCCTAGTGGGCAGAGATGGTTAAAGCAGGACAAAGGTCCCTAGAGACGCCTCCGCGGCGTCTCTAGGCAAGAGGCAAGTGAGGTGGAGATGCAGCCAGCGCTGCACCTGTCGCCCTCGCCCTTGCCTCTTCCGGGGCACCTTTATCTAAATTAGCCCAAAGGTGCCCTATAGACTAAAGCTGCCTTGGGTACCCAACCCTGGCGCAGATGAAGAACAGGAAAGGGGGGGCGGGGTGACGTTCAACCCTATCAGGTAGCCCCGAGACCTGGGAGGGGAGGGCTGGGTTTTCATTTAGCCCCCAACCCTGCTCATCAGTTGCTCCCGCCCCCAGGCCCGGGCCGAGAGCGGCCGGTGCTGCTGCTGCACGTGGCGGAGTCTGAAGCGCAGCGGCGCCTGGTGGGAGCACTTGCTGAACTGCTGCGGGCCGCGCTGGGCGGCGGGCGCGACGTGATCGTGGACCTTTGGGAGGGCACACGGGTGGCGCGCGTGGGCCCCCTGCCGTGGCTCTGGGCGGCGCGGGCGCGTGTGGCGCGGGAGCGGGGCGCCGTGGTTCTTCTGTGGAGCAGCGCCGGCCCCAGCCCCACGGGCGGCCCGGATCCTCGCGCTGTGCCCCTGCGCGCCCTGCTCCGCGCCACCCCGCGCCCGCTGCTGTTGCTGGTTTACTTTAGTCGTCTCTGCGCCAAGGGCGACATTCCCCCGCCCCTGCGCGCCCTGCCCCGCTACCGCCTGCTGCACGACCTGCCGCGCCTGCTTCGCGCCCTGGACGCTCGGACCTCTACTGAAGCCACCACCCGGGGCCGCTTCGTCGCCCAGCCGCGCCTGCGGGGTCGCGTGGAGCTGTGCCGCAGGCTGGAACTGGAGGCCGCCAAACTTGCCGACCAAGGCTGAACAGAACTCAGCGCAGTCGGGATGTATGTGGCTGCGGGCCTAGGGGCGCTGGCTGGACCCCCCTCACTCGGCGTCCCCGCCCACTCCCCATGTCCCCCGTGTCCAACCTCTTCCTCCTGCTCAGGCTTCCTCAGAACCCTCAGAGAGAGTCTCTCTTTACCGAGAACTCCCTTGACCTCAGTCCTGTGGTGGGTGGGGATCATCACACTTCCTCTCTCCAGAAGTTGCAGAGAATCGTGCACGTAGGCTCCAGTCCACACCGGAGAGGTTGGGACAGGGCTTGGGGAGGCAGAAGAGATGGCAGTTCTGACTGGGAGGCGCCTCCAGACGGAGTACGGGGGCGGAGGGGGGCTCTGTGTTGGGGGGTGGAGGGGGCAGAACACCCCTTGGGGCTAAGGATCTGCCTTTTCCAGATGGGGGCCCTGCCCACAGTTGCAGGGAGGGAGGGCTCGGGACCCAGGGAAAGAATCTTTGGCCCTGGGTGGTGGGGGCAGAGATGGGACAGTGGAGACTGACAGAGAGGTGAATAAAAGAAAACGTGATGGGTAAACTAAGAAACACAAGGTGCCTCCTCAGTGTGCCCAGGGTGCTGAGCTGGGGGAAGGGTCAGCAGTACCCTACCCAGGGGTGGTCATACATCATTCTGTGGGCCCAGATCCTCTGTGTCCACATCCACATCCACCTTTGTCACGTTCTCACAAGCAGTGCCTCTGAAAAGGCAAAGAGGGATCTGCAGATCTTGATCCTCACTGTGATTCTTCAGAGAGAAGAAAGGAAAACAGGTGGTGTGGGTCCTTGGTTTCGCAGCTAGCCTGTGGCAACAGCACAATTAGGACCCTGCCTTCCTGCCTCTGGGTCCTGGGTTCCTGTCCCCTGACCCCACACTTCAGCATAAGCCAAGCAGTGATGAGAAGCCCACTTTCGAGTGCCTTTAGAGCTCCTGTTCCACAGTGAGGTCCCAGGAGAATGCGGGAAGGGACCTGGAGTCCCAGAGTCATATGGGAAGTGAAAATGCCCCAGGAGTGCCCAGAACCCTCCTCCTCAGGGACTCCCAGGGTGAGTAAGGCTCCCTTACTCACCCATTAGGCCGCCGCCCTCTGCAGGGCCCCTCCCAGCCAGGTGTCAGTGGAGAAGGAGGGGGAGGAGGGGCTGAGACACCACTCCAGTCCCGGGCTGCTGGCTCCCAAGTCTGGTGTTGGTGGGAGGGACCGGGCGGGGCGGGAACAGACGGCTGCCTGCCGGGAGCCAAAACGAAAGCACTCTGGCTGGGACTGGCCCGGAGTCAGGACTCCCGGGAGAGGCGAGCGAGAGCGGGCCAGCGCCGGGACCCCAAGGCTGAGGAGCGATTCCAGCCTCTCCTGCCCCGAGGCCCACGGCTGAGTGGGCGAAGAGGTGGTGTGTCTGCCCCCCCTTGGGGGGGGGGGCAGGACAGGGCCTCAGGCCTGGGTGCTGCCTGGCACCTGGAAGATGCCTGTGCCCTGGTTCCTTCTGTCCTTGGCACTGGGCCGGAACCCCGTGGTCCTCTCTCTGGAGAGGGTTGTGGGGCCTCAGGACACGGCCCGCTGCTCTCCGGTGAGTCTGGGGACCTGGGCGGGCTGAGGAAGGCTCCAGGTTCGGTCCGGGGCTGTTGAGGCCCTAGCCTGGCTCCTGTCACTGCCATCCCTGTCAGAACTGCCCTGGCTGGTCTGTCGGGTGCTGATGGGGTAAGAGAAGAATGGGGAGGGGGCAAGAGCTAGATCTGAGTTCTTCTGGGAGGAACTCAAAAAAGGGAGAAAGAGTCGGCGGCAGAGGGAATGTTAGGTTTGGAAGCATAAACTCTGACTTCTCTGTACCTCTCTCCCAGGGCCTGTCCTGCCACCTCTGGGGTGAGTAGCTCTACTTTTAGAGAGGAAGGGTCTTCCTGGGTTGGCAGCAGGGAAGGGGGCTGGGAGCTGTTCAGCCCAGGGAGAGCCCAAAGCTCCTTGGCCCTCCGGGGGTGTCAGGTGTATCTGGACTCCGGGGTCTGAGTGGCTTCAGCACCCACCCCGCCCTTCACACGCAGATGGTGACGTGCTCTGCCTGCCCGGGAGCCTTGCGTCCGCCCCAGGCCCCGTGCTGGTGCCCACACGCCTGCAGACAGAGCTGGTGCTGAGGTGCCACGAGGAGACTGACTGCGACCTCTGTGTGCGTGTGGCTGTCCACTTGGCCGTGCACGGTGAGCCTGGCATCCTGTGACTGGGCATTGGGTGCACGTGAGTGTGTCTGATGTGGACACGAGGGTGGGGGAGTCTGTCAGGCAGCCCAGGGCATCCTCAGATTCTCCTGGAGGGCACGGGCCAGTGCACACCCCCCAAGTCAGCCTGGTCTCACCGCCCGTCCCCCAGGCCCCAGGCCTGGCCTCTGCTTCCAAGCACTGAGCTTCCTGGAAGGAAGCCAAACCCAGAGCCGAGGCTGGACCTGTGCCTTGCTCTCGGGCCCTTCCAGGGTACTGGGGAGATCCTGACAAAGAAGAGAAGTTCGGAAGAGCCGCTGACCCAGAGCTTGAGGAGCCTAGGAACGGTGAGGAGAAACTGGCCGACCCAGCTGTCCCTGCCCAGAGCCTCGCCCTGGCCTCCTGGGCCTGACCGCCGCCCGGCCCTGTTCACAGTCTCTCTCCAGGCCCACGTCGTGCTCTCCTTCCAGGCCTACCCTACTGCCCACTGCGTTCTGCTGGAGGTGCAAGTGCCCGCTGCCCTGGTGCAGCCTGGTCAGTCTGTGGTACGCAAAACAATAATAACGCTAACCACTTCCTAGAGATGAAATTCATGAAGTACTTTCACGTGCACTATCTCTTTAAGTAAGTCCTGATTTCGGCAGGGCTGTGGGCAAGTCGTTTCAGTCCTTCATGCTCCAGTTTGCCTATCCATAAAGCGGGAATAAGGATAGTCCCACCTCGGGACTTCCCCGGCAGTCCAGTGGTTGGGACTTCCAGCTTTCACTGGAAGTTTGATCACTGAGGTTTGATCCCTGGTCGGGGATCTAAGATCCCACAAGCCATGAGATGTGCCTCCCCCACCAAAAAAGAAAAAGTAGAATAGTCCTATCTCATAGGATTGTTGAGAGAATTAAATGTTGGCTGTTGTGAGAATTAAATGAGTTGATATATGTAAAATATCTGGTATAATGCCCAGCTCTTGGAAGAGTCTCGGAAAGTTTAATCTTCCTTCTGTAATCCCTTAGCCGGCCCTGCTGTCTCTCCTCCTGAGGGTGTGTGCTTTAGCACTAGAGTCCTTGAGGACACGTTCACGATGGAATCTGGGGCCATACAGTATAGTCGTTGGTTGGGAATAGGGCAGAGGGTGAGTGGAGAGGGTCCATGGAGAGGATTCTGAGCCTCACACCACCAGCCTTCCGCCACCCTCTCCTCACAGGGCTCTGTAGTATTTGACTGCTTCGAGGCTGCCCTGGGGGCCGAGGTGCAAATCTGGTCCTACACTCAGCCCAGGTACCAGAAGGAACTCAATCTCACGCAGCAGCTCCCTGGTAAGTGACCCCAGAGCCTGAGGGACCCCAAGTCTGGCCCCTTGTCTCTCTCCCCACTGGCTACTGCCCCCCTGCATTCACCCCCTTCCTTGTCCCAACTTCACTCAGGCACTCTCACCCCCAGCCTCCCCAGGTGACATTGCTCCCCAGTGGGCACTGAAGTGGATATGGGCGACATTGAGGGGACAGGGAGTCTTCCCAGGGGTTGGTTTGCCCCCCTCCTTTCTTTGGCCCCTAACCCCACTGGAGGCTTTTCTGTGATCTCTCCCCAGACTGCGGGGGTCTGGAAGTCCAGGACAACATTCAGAGCTGCTGGGGTAGGAGCTAGGTCGAGCTGGGAGGAGGGAGGGGCTTGCTCTGGAGGGGGCGGGACCCTGGGAGTCAACTCAGGTCTGGCTGCCACACCCCACAGGCCCACAGAGCTCATTCATTCATCACACATGATATGCGGTAGCTCCTACTCACTGCTGGGCATTCAAAGCTGAATTCTCACTCCTTAGAACAAATATTTATTCATACCAGGGACATCCAGAGGTCCAAAGCATGGTCAGGATTACGGTGTAAACCTCCCCCCAATATATCAAAATAAAAATAGCTTTAAACCATAAAATAAGGGCTAAGGATCTCAAGGTTCTGATGATGTTTTTCACGTGCACTATTTGGACATTTGTTTCATTCCTTTTAAAAAAATACTTTATTCATCATGGTGTACCATACATACAGAAAACTGTAAAGTGCACTAATTTTAATTCCAGTTCAATTAATTTTTACATATGTGTACACTTGTAGAACTACCAGCCACGTCAAGATAGAAACATTGTGGTGCTTCTGAACTCTTAAATTATTTCAACTTCATTTTCTGCTTAGTTTCTTAAACTTAAGCTTGATGCCTCTTTGGTAATTCATTTAAGACTGCTCAGCACCAGGGCTTTGATATACAGATACACATCATGGATTTCATGTCTTTATTCATTTAGTAGACCTTGATTCACTTAGTCATCAGATATTTATTGAGTAATTATTCTGCCCGAGAAATATCCCTAGGCACTGGAGATAAACCAATTAAAAAAAGAAAACCTGACAAAAATCCCTGCCCTCACAGAGCTGACACTCTAGCTGGGAGTCAGGGTCACGATAGAGATGACGGAGGACAAAATAAACACGTGGAAGTGTGAAATACACAATAAGTTAGATGGTAATTACTGCTACAGAGAAAATTCAGGGAAGAGGGATATGAAGGTTGGGAGTGGCAGTGGGCAGTGGTCAGTCAGCAAAAGACATGAAAGAGGCAAGGGAGGAGCCAAATGTGTATCCAAGGGGAGAGGGTTCCATGTGGAAGGAAGAGCCAGTGCGAAGGGCCTGAGGCAGGAGTGTGTTTAAGTATTAGTAAGGAGGATAGTGTGTCTGCAGCAGGTGAATTAAGGACACAGGTGCTAGGAAGTGAGATTAGAGGGGTCACAGCAGCCAGACGGGAGGGACTTGCAGGCATTGTAAGGACCCTGACTTTTACTGTGGGAGTGAGGTGGTGGGGGCAGGCATCAGAAGGTTCTGAGCAGAGGAGAATGTTTTATTTTAGTGGTTATGGGGTACTTTCTGGCTGCAGAGGGAGAAGCAAGGAGAAGAGCCATCTCCAGACCCCATACTGGGGTCTGCACAGGCTCCATCCTGGGGTGCGGCCAAAGTCTGGTTTGAGATGGAGACACAGGCTCTGCCCTCCAGGGGCCCCTAGTCTAAGTGGTTTGAAGGAAACTCCAAAGGGCAGTGGGTGGGTATGACCCAGGCTTGGCTGTGCAAAACAGATGAGGGAAGACTGTCTGTCTCTGCATCCCCCCATAGCCCTGCCCTGGCTCAACGTGTCTGCAGATGGCGAGGACGTGCGCCTGGTGCTGGATGTCTCTGAGGAGCAGCGCTTTGGCCTCTCCCTGTACTGGAACCAGGCCCAGGGCCCTATAAAACCCTGGTGGCACAGTAACCTGGTGAGGCCTCCCCCTCCCCAAGTCCATTCTCACCGTAGGCTGACACCCATGCTAAAGGTGCAAGTGCCTTATCACACGGGG